TCCAAGCTATACATGTTAAGATCCTTTAACCTTTCCTTGTCTAATCCAGCAGGATCATGCCTAAACTTTAAACAAAGCCTATTCACTTTCCAGAATAATAATAAAAAAAAAGAAAAAGGAAATATGTCTGTGCACATGATCTGACCTACACTGCCTTTGTTACCCCACTCCTGCTCCTTGGGCTATAAGGGATTTCTGATATAGGCGATGTCACCATTTAGTCCATCGAATCTCCCAGGTCACTTAAAATCCACACGGTCAATTGCTAATTCAGCACAAGCCAGAGGTTAAAACAAAAGATCACAATCTTACCACGATAAAATAAAAAGTTGCTAATATTTTATATACAGAAAATGAATAGTAAAAACAAAAAAACAAACAAAATCCTTATTTAAGTTATTTAAAAGAAATCACAGCAGATCAGAATTTGTTTCGGTAACTAAATGACAAACAAAATTCTGAAAGCAAATCCAAAATACAGCTCCCTAGGTTTAAATGGTTTAATGCAGCATACTACATATAACACACTACAGAACAACAAATAGACTGTGTGAGAATATATACATATATCTATATACACACACATATACACTCACACAAATGTAGCACAACATAAATAGAAAGAAGTACTGCTCTTGTACGAATACCACAAGCTACAGATCTCAACATTAATGTACTGAATGCATATAAACATGCTTACCTATGCAACCATTAAGCACACAAACTAGACTATCCTAGGCATTACAGCATGCAGTCTTTATATTAAACAAACTCATGCAGAGCTTCAAGGGGTTAATGGGACATTCAAAATGGAAAAGTGTTTTTTGTTTTGCTTGTTTTTTAGATTAGGTTCCATTTGGCCCTTTTCCATCTCAAACCAATCTTAACATGTGATTAACGGCTTAGTACTCATGTATTACCCAATTCTGTTTCATGGGAAATATTAGTAAATCATTGGTTGTTGGTGTTCCCACTGCAAATATTTGTATTGTGTTCAGCAGTCCACACACAAAAACAAAAAAAAAAAATATACCATTACTACTCTAAATCATACATGTTAAGAGGTTAAAACAAAAAAAGTATCTTTTGACGGATCCTTTACTGCAGTTTTATAGGGAATCGATTTAACATGTAAAATGGAAAATGAATTGTATATTTTACTTGAACGGAGTTCATCATGAAAATGTTTGAATCTGTAATCAAAACTGACAGCAGTTATATTTAATAATAAAAGGAATAAATGCTTGAAATTATCTTCTGGCATTTCTTTTTCTATATTTTCTCCTTAAAATGACCTTTTTCCAAACATAAAAAAAAACTTAATATAGTCTCCAACTATTGCATGAATACATATTGGAAAAACAAAATCTTGTTAAATGAGAATATTGTACTTGGGGACAAAATAATATGCACATCCCAATGATTTATGATTCACAAGGAAGACTAATCAAATCAGCACCAGGAAGTTTCAAAAACATTTGCCACTCAGAACAAAACTACAATATACTACTTCTTACTTTGAATAAGAAAAGACACACAATAAACTGTAAATAATTTTAAAGCAGCATTAAACGGGCAAAAAACAAATATCTGGACAAGTATAATGGATAACCAAAATACAAATTCCCAATGCTAGACTTTAAAATCAAAATGAATGTAACTAATAACAATCAACAGATTAACAGACTGAAAAAGATTTACAGATATCATATCACCAATCCAAGATTGGAAAAAAAATATACAAATTATTCAGTGGAATAGATTTCATATTGGAATGAATCCTTCATTCACAAATCATGTGTATTACAAGTTCACTTTCGGGTATGTATGTGTAGATGTATGTAATCTAAACATTCACGTTTCTTTTTGAGTAGGTGTAGATGTATGTAATCTAAAAGCTGTGCTGGAGAAATAGCCTGCAATTGTATAGATTTAAATATAAACATACCTAGATTCTGTTTATTCATAAATCCTGCAGTCCATGGTGTTGATGCAAATTAAATGCCCCACCTCACCCCAAAATTGTATGCAGTCAGCATCCCACAACTTCTCGCATGTGTGTACATATAGAATTGCGGAATGGAGCTGTGCCAATTAGAGAGGGAGCGTCTTGGAGCAGACATCACAACAGTAAACACCAAGACAAATTAATGTATAGCTGAATAACTTTACATCTACATATTAATACAAAAATGTTATATATATATATATCGCTAATACAATATATATAGGTGAAGTTTCTTTAAATCAAAAAGTCTTTAAAGTGACATCAAGTTATGATGGCCATGGCAGACATACTACGATGAGATTTCTTAAACCTATTAAATGTAAATAAATATTTCCCAGCACCGATTTATTTTTTTATTGCAACTGGCAAATTATGAAATTCCAGATTGTACTTCCATGTCCTACCAATAATAATAATAACCTTAGTTCTATGGCTACCAAAACGGTACCAACAATGAACAACCATGGGAGAGAACAGATAAAAGGTTTAGTACAAAATTAGTCTTGATTGAGATGTTAACACTTACATAAACATTTATTTAAAAAAAAAAAAAAATACATTTAAATGGACACATTTTCTACCCAAACGAAAAAAAATGTTTAATTGATATTTTGTTAGACATAATTACAAACCTTAAATACAGCCAGACACCTTCTTCTACAGATTAAACGTTTACATATTACATTTTTTGAAGATTCTTTCCTTTACATAATCCATCCTTCAAGATGGATTTAAAATGAGTATTCTAATTTCTAAAAACCAACCTTAATTGGTTCAATAAAACAAATATTAGTCGGTTATACTTTTTTCTTATACTCATTTTCTTTCACGCTAGGAAAAAAATTTTTTTTGACACTCAGTGGTATTCTGAAACAACTACATTTAGTAATTTATGAATGAAATGAAAAGAAAATCAACAGCCGGATTTTGATGACTTTTAGGTATTGTACTTAGACCAGCTAAGACCAAAACTCACAAACCTACGTATATGTTTTTTTTAAACCTTTACCAATATATCTTTCTTGCCAAAAACAAAGGCTAACATTCATTGCCGATAAATGACATTCAAAAGGATATATTTTGTCTGTTTTCTTTCTTTAGCACACATTTTGCACTGCATACACCAAGAAAAAAACAAAAAAGTTATATGTCCTGAGTGGAAGTGTTAAGTCAGCAGATGTATTAAGAGATTGAGGGTTATAGTAGTTTTTCTACAAATTCCAGCATTTTACATTTGCTCACATCAAATTACTTTCAGGTCAAAAAGGCTCTTTGACATATTCAACATTTACATTCGATAAGCAGTGTACATGCTGGGTTGCCAGCCTCAAATAATATTTAGGGTTTTGGTATTTACATAGTCCGTGGGATACCATGAAAAGGTACAAGAAAAATAAAGGACAAAAAAAAAAAAAAAATACCCCTAAGTTTATGACAATGCAGCAGCAAATTTGAACCCACAATTGCATTTACTAATTTCTCTATGTACTGTGTGGCTACAGTGGAACGATCAACCAACATAATATAAGCAACGCTCCTTTCAATGACCCTCTCTGGTTCTTTGCAGATCAAACGAATAAATGGATTTCAGATTTTAGTTTTAGACAAAAAAAAATAATAAGATTAAAAAAAAAAAATACACACAAAACATTTAAAACTAAAGAAAAAGAAAATCAGAACCAAGGGGAAAAAAAACAAAATCTCTCACCAGGCCCACAATACAATTTCAAAAGATACATCAAGAATAATCTAAACTATTGTTTCATTATAAGCACACAATAAGGCACATAATAAGTAAATTAAGTAAGTACACAGTAAATCTGATGTAAGTATTTTAGTTATTATAGTGGTACAAAAAACCCTTGAGGTTCAAGTCTTTGTTTTTTTTTCTCAATATTACCAAAAATAATTATTAAAAATCTGTCAAACCAAATGATAGACCTGAATAGTTTTCTTAAGACTGTAAACTTCTTTTTCAGCAAAGAAACAGTTCATGTTTTTTTTCATTTTTATTATTATTTTTTTTTTTTTTTAACCGTGAACCTTTGCATTTTGTTCCAAAGTCCTAGTGTTACACAACACACTTAAATGGGCTGACGGCACTTGAATTTCATTAGCTACACTAAACTGCATCAAAAATCATGCATGCAATTATACCATAACTGCTTTGTTGGTATTACTGAATATATTTTACTTTTGTTTTGCCTAAAACATTTTTAGGCACAAAATCCTAACTCTGGGCATATGTGAAATAGTACATTCTCAACAATATGCGAACAGGCCACTGTTAAAAAAAAAAAAAAAAATAATAATAAAAAAAATGCCTTAAATAAATAATTTTTTAAAAATCTATGGATTACCTACAGCAAATGTTTACCATAGACAGAAAAAAAATAATTGAAGGAAAAATATAGATCTGAAAGAGAAAGTTTCAATGCTTATCTAAATTGTATTTTTGCAAGTGCAGGCACCAAATAATTTTTCAGCAAATATATTTGGTACACAGCCCCATCATTATGATGGACTCAATATGGAGGAGGCAAAAAAAAACCAAAAAAAAAACCAAACAAAAAAGAGTAATCAGAAAATTTCCCAACACTCTAAATGAGCATATTCAACACTTAGATGATTGTCAAAATTATGTTGTGTAAGGCTAATATGGAACAAAAATCAAAAGGACAGAGGAGTGAGGAATGGCAAAAATAAGAATTATAATAAAATAGGAAGTGTTGTTCTGGAGATTTTCCATAAAAACGCAAAATGTTCGTCTTACTGACAGCAAGCAGACAGTTTCATTATTTCAAGTCTTGGTGATTTCTGCTTTGCTTTGTCAGTACTTATGTGTGTGTTGACATGAGGAGTTCAGTCTTCTCAAATAAGTTGGTCTCGTAGCATCTTCAGTCTCTGTCTGAGGATTTTTGCTGAAACCTTGGTCCAGTCTTTAAAGGGAAGAGTGTAAAGTAAGGATAGGTTGGGGATGAGGAATTGCAACTCATATCATGGATTTGGAGAAAGAAACGCGCAGATGGTGGTTCTCTCCCAAGTCATGGTTGTGCAGTTCAATTAAAGCCAGAATAGCTTCTTCCACAGATCCAAGCTGGATTAATGCCATCTTTCGATCTTTTCTACAAAAAGAAAAAAAAATACAGGATTTTGTTATAGCAAACCGCTGGAGGATTTAAAAAATAAAAAGTCTATAATAAAAACAATTTGCATATAAAAATACATTGGCAAACACTATATAAAAAAATGTTGGTAGAATATATATATGTACACCAAGAATACATCCATACTTTTACTGTCTTTCATAGACCTTAAAGGAACACTATAGAGAGTCAGGAACACAAACATGTATTCTTGACCCTATAGTGTTAAAACCACCATCTAGCCTTCCTGGCCCCCTCTTGCCTCCCTAAATATAGTAAAATCTTACTTAGATTCAAGTCTGCAACGGCTGCCTCTGTCCCTGACCTGCTTGCTGACATCATCAGTACTGAGCCAATCACAATGCTTTCCCATAGGACTGTCAAGGAGGCAGATCAGGGGCAGAGCCAGTACAAGTCAAATACTGTCCTGGCCCATCAGCATCTCCTCATAGAGATACATTGCATCAATGCATCTCTATGAGAAAAATTCAGTGTCTGCATGCAGAGGGTGGAGACACTGAATGGCAGTACTGCACACTATGCAGCATTGTCCCAGAAAGCACCTTGAGTAGCCATCTGAGGAGCGGCCAGTGGAGTTATCACTACGCTGTATTGTAAGACAGTGTTTACTGAAAAAAGCCTGACGGTAATGATTCTCCTCACCAGAACAAATACAATAAGCACTTGTTCTGGTGACTATAGTGTCCCTTTAAAATGCAAAGAAACTATATTAGCAACCTCTACTTTCCTTGTGCAGTGTTTATGTAACAAGTGTGTATTGTGTTGGCATTTAAACCCAATGCTATGGCTTTCTGAGTTTTCCATAAAGGTTCTAGCTTTATAAATAAATTTGAAATGTGACAGCACTGAGTATATCAGTATACAAGGTAATGTTTTTAAACAGAGTACAGAAACACTTACTGGAAGAATTTGAAGGCCTTGACCGAACAACCAGTGCTAGCAAATAGTCTCTTGAGATCATCATCAGTAACTGAAGGCCTGTGTCAAAGACAAAACATTGAAATTACTTTCCTAGTTTACAGAGCATACTCAGGACATGCTGGGACTGTTTATTCCAATGTGTTTAGTCAAAGGAAAATCAAAATGATGATACAATATATGCAATATTTTCACAATACTTGCTGCATGGACAACTTTCAATTAATGAGAAAACCAAGTAAAAATGAATAGCCATAAGCTATTCCTTTTGTTCAAAATCTATTTTATTACAAACCTAAAATTTGACCTTTCAGTTTAGTAGATAGATCCCTAATTTGGTATCATTACGTCGGATTTCCATAATTAAGGGTACCAAATTAGGGAGCAGTTGTGTTTAGTAAATAGCTCCTAATGTGGACTTAAAATAGCAAACCCACATAAGGGCACCTAATTAGATAGCTATCTACTAAATGGTTAAAAAAAAAAATTAAGAAAATGTTCATCTTTAAGCTGTTTAGAAGATAGCGTTCTAATTTGATATTGTGTACATTACCTACATCCTATATACATGCAGCACACACATTCTGTACACATGCAGCACATCTTTCTGATGTGCTGCATTTATTACACTGGTGAAAATAGTAATACTGGCAGTTATCATGCACCGGATGAATATGACGTGCCTATGCCAAAAAATTAGTAACCACAAAAAAAAAAAAAAAAAAATTGCATGTGGACCCAATTTTTTTGTTAGGAAGCACTGGCATAGATGCTTGCTAGCGTTGCTACAGCTTACAATTGGTATTACATGTCCATTACAGTTTAAATTCACCTTGGAGGGAAGTATTCAACAACTGTCAGAAAGTCCTGCTGTACAGGAGTAAAGGAATATGCACAGTATTCCCACAGGAAGAACCAAAAATAAAAATTTATTTTATCATAGCATACTGTTTTACTTTCCTACATATTAGTAAGCCATAAATCTTAAAGTTCATGAAAAGACTGTGTTTAATTCTGATACATACGGAATATTTGACAGATGCAAAGTTGCTGAAGGTGGGAAGATATTCTGGAAGTTCTTTGATCCAGGTTTCTTGAAGCGATGCAGTGGGCTATTCGTATAATCCTTGGTTAGACCTTGGTCTTCATGACCCTCTCGGGGAAGCTGGACAGCCTGATGCTTGGAGAGGGTAATTCGCAGTACCCTTCCATGAAGTCTTTGTCCATTTAAGTGACTCATGGCTAAAAAGGAAACAATTTAGACCAAACACATTTTTATAAATAGATAGGGAACACGTGTTAATACATGGTTATTTTTATTAGGTGTATATGGTTCAACTATCCAGTGGCATCGTCAGTTTTCATCAAAACATATTAATGGAATAATATAGGATCAGGAACACAAATGTGTATTCCTGACCTTATAGTGTTAAAAAACCAACTAACTGCCAACTACCCCCGTTAGAAAAGGTAGAAACTTACCTTTATTCCAGCGCTGCGCAGGTCTGCCGCTAGCAAAAGTATTGAATTGTCTGAGATCGTAAATACTGATGATCTCAGCCAAAGAGGAAGCGAAGGGGCCAGAAACTGTGCTGGCCAATCCGCATCTCCCCATAAAGATGCATTGAATCAATGCATTTCTGTGGGGAAAGTTCAGCATCTCCATGCAGAGCTGTCACTGAGCAGGGGGTTCGTATCAGCATGACCACGCCTGATCATTGCGCTCATACCGATACTTCAGACAAAAGTAAGTCCCTGATCGGCGCGGCCGCACATGAGCTGGGCGGTTGCTCCAAAAAGGGAGAGTTAAACTCACCTGGATCGCGGCAGAGTGCCATTCGATCATCCCAAAAGACGGTCCTGGCTGGTGCAGCGTTCTAAAGGACACCAGCCACTGTGGTCCTGTTCTTACTGATAAAGGGCCCACATTAAAGATGGCACCGGCGTGTGTGTGATGTCACAATGTCGACGCACACACATTTTGGGGTCAAATGCCATGTAATGACCAATCACAGCACCAAGAGGCATATTTAAACCCTGTAATGCCTTTTCTCAATGCCCTGTCGTGGTTTCCACTTGTTGGTCAGAGAGTCTTGGTAATACTTTCTTGTGCACCACTGACCCAGGAAGCATATCCAGTGGCTGTCTGAGTGACTGCCATTGGAGGAGTTCTTAGGGAGCAATGTAAACAGAGCTTTTTCTCTGAAAGAGTGTTTCTCTGAAAAAGCAGTGATTACATGAAATTGCCTGCAGGGACTGACTATACTCACCAGAACAACTACATTAAGCTGAAGTTGTTCTGGTGACTATAGTTTACCTTTAATAGCTACAATGCTAGTGCACAATACAGTAAGAGTGAATGAATCTCTATTGTTGTGAAAATATATCCTTAATTTATAGGAAGATGGGAGTTTAAGAAAGAGTTTTAATAAACCAAAATCAATTTAAATAGGATGGTTTACCTACCAAGTTGTGCTTGGGTTGCATCTGCCATCTGCACCAGTGCATTCTCCTTTTTGTTAAACAGTATCTTCACACGGTGGACATCCCCATATACCCCTTAAAAATAAACAAATAAATAATTAATAAGATTTCACATATCACCACAAGTTGTCTTTATAGGAGACACAGTAGGACACCATGAAGGTCCATTTACTTGCATTGTGTTCTAAAAGATAGTGTTCTAAACTTTGCTTCAATTCTCTGCTTTGTCAAGTATAAGTATCTAGCTAAATGGAAGAATATTCTAAAAGAAGTCAATGACAAATGCACAAAAAAGCATGCATGTTCTTATTAAAAAGGCCTTGATTTAATTTTTTTGAATAAGCTTCTCAAATTTATTTATTTATAAACTATTTTACCAGGATGGATACATTCAGATTCCTCTCGTTTTCAAGTATGTCCTGGGTCCACAAAACATTGCATTGTTACAATAGGATACAATATTACAAATATACAATATACAAACTATGTATATATACACATACACTAAATTTAATAAATAACAGGTAATAAAAATAGTCAATCATGACAGGTGCATTCTGTGCTCAGGTATATTGCCATAGATCTCTTAAAAGGTTTTAGATTAAATGAATATTTGACTGTGTCCCTGAGGTTATTCCATAATTGCGGTGCTCTTTAGGAAAAGGAAACTCGAGCCACTTTATTTTTGTATTGCGGTATGCTAAATATTGTGCTAGTACTGGATCGGAGGTTATAGGAGGTGGGAACAGCCGGGGAGAGTATGCTACTCAGGTAGGGTGGGAGCTTCTCATAAAACGCTCTTAGGCACAAGTCTGGAAAGGTGAAGAGTGCGTCGGGATTCCAGCAACAGCCAGTGTAGCTCTTTTAACATGTCACAGGGGTGGGTAAAGTAATTACATTCTAGTACGGAGCAGCAGACCAAATTATATAACGTATTAAGTTTATTAAGGTGGGTTTGCGGTGCGGGTGCATACACTACATCCCCATAATCAATGACCGGCAATAGCATTTGTTGCACTGTTTCCTTACTGTAGGGCTCAGGCAGGATTTGTTTCTGTACAGAGAACCTAGTTTTGGTAAAAGTTTTGAAAATATTTTTTTCAATGTGAAGGCCAAAGGATAGATTGGGGTCTAGCAACATACCTAGGTATTTAAAAGAGCAGACTGCTGTCAGTGTGCTATTTGAATTTGTTCTTATACACAATTGTTGGTTTTGTAGCTTACGCAATTTAGGTACAGTTCCAAGATCATTGTAACGGTTTTGTCAGTGTTTATGAAGAGTTTGTTATCCGCTATCCACTTTTCTACCTCTGTGAAATAGTTTTGGAGCACAGCCTCAAGCTGCGGTAGCTTGTGTTTTTAGTAGCGTAGATTACAGTGTCGTCTGCATACATATGTACAGTTGAGGATTTGCAGACGTTAGGCAGATTATTTATAAATAATGTGAATAGCAGGGGGCCGAGTATGGAGCCTTGGGGAACACCATACATAACTGGAAGAGAGAGGGAAGCGCTGTCAGAAATGGCCACATATTGCAATCGGTCTGAAACATACGATCAAAACCAGGTTTGTGGACGATCATCAATGTCTAAATTTTAAAGTTTTTGCAAAAGAATGCCATGGTCTACTGTATCAAAGGCCTTGGCAAAATCAAGGAAAACGGCTCCAGTTAAGTCTCTTTGTTCCATGCCAATTTGGATGTCATTGCAAACTTTTAAGAGGGCAGTCGAAAGTTGAGTGATTTGAATGAAAGCCTGATTGATCAGGGGTCAGATAATTTGATCGTTGATAATATTCACATAGTTGCGTGTGGACGCATTTCTCCAAGATTTTTGACAATACAGGGAGCCATGATATTGGCGATGGCTAGATACCAAAATATTGTCCCCACTTTTATGGATAGGTACAACTTTTGCAGTCTTCCATAGTTTGGGTATGTATCCTGACACCAGGGATTCATTAATAAGGATAGTGACAGGTTTAGCAATTGCTAGCGCACTGAGCTTCAGCAACATTGCTGGGATTTGATCTGGTCCACACTGGTTTTTCATTTTTAAATGAAATAACTGGCACAGGTCTAAAATTGAATTTCTCTATATGAGGAGTTTGAAGATTTGTTAGGGCCTGATCTTTATTTGCGGTCTGAAAATGAGTGTCATTTGTTATCTTAGCAACCAGGGTGGTCACACATCCAACAAAATAATTATTAAAGAGATTTGCTACATCTAAGGGGTGTTGCAGTTTTTGGTTGACCATTTTGACAGTGGAGGGTTGGGAGTGGATTGTGGGGGTTTGTATGCTATTTATGGTTTTTCCAGATGTTTCTTGGGTTTGATAGGTTGTTGTTCAAATTTTCACTGAAATTTTGTGCCTTTGCCATTTTTGTTTGTTTTGTGCATGCATTTCGCCATTGTCTGTAAGTACAGTGATCGTTCATGGAGCCAGTACACTTTAACTTTGGCCACAGTGAATCTCGAAACTGGTACATTTGAATGAGGTCAGCTGTAACCCTGGGCATGTGTGTTCTTTTATTCACACTTTACACAGAGGGGCATGCAAATTCCAAACATGCAAGATGCAATTGCAGCGTCTAGAGCTGGTATTAGACCTAGTCTGTGCCATGGCATGTTCTTGAGATCACTTAACCCCTAAAACAGTTCCTCCCCTTATGTACAGATTTTATGGTGTTTTGGGAAGTTACAGGGTCAAATATAGCATGTTAAATTTTTCCGTTTTTTCACATTGAAATTCGCCCGATTGGTTACGTTGCCTTTGAGACCATATGGTAGCCTAGGAATGAGAATTATCCCCATGAGGACATACCATTTACAATAGTAGACAACCCAATGTATTGCAAATGGGTAATAAATCCAGTCTAGTAGCCACTAAATCACAAACACTGGCCAAAGTTTGTTTTAGCCATTAACCATGATTCCGAAAGCACAATGATTTTTGGTTTGTAAAACACCAGGCTTATAGTACATCCAGTTTACGGAGCAAGCTACGTATATTGCAGTGCACAAAAGAGAGGCCTTTTTTTAGTGGGGAGATTAGGACTAGAATTAGCTGGCGGACCAGGGTTAGACTCCACATTATTTGCCACATTGTTACGGCAAGTAACATAAGGAAAAGGGATCTGGATATAATTTTTGTTCAACCATATAGTGAATGGGATAGAAACCTAGATACCTATATAATCATGATCTGGAAAAAAAAATTTCCAAGTTAAATGTCTACAGAAGTCAGCGTTAAGGTCTGCGTGAATTTTTGGATAAATATAATTTGAAAAGTTTTTGTAACAGATCGTGATTGTTTGAAAATCTTAAAACGAGGCTCAAATTAGGTGAAATGGTCTGAGTGTCATTTTTCTCTGCACCGTCTTTATCTTGACATTCTATGTGTGTGTGTAGCTGCTATAAAATGAATGTTTGCAAAATGGTGCATTCATGATGAATGTTACTAATTTTTATTTAGTATCTGTGAAGAGATAAGAGGGGCTAGAATTGGTCAATGCTTTATAGGTATGGGTTAGCACTTTGAATTGACTCCTATAGGATACAGGAAGTTAACATAAAGATTGTCAGAGGGGTGAGGTGTGAGAGGATCGACTAGAGAGGAAAATCTGTCTGGCGGCAGCATTCAACATGGTTTTTGGGAAGACCAATTAGTAGAGGGTTACAATAATCCATGCGGGAAATTATTAGAGCATGGACACGCTCCTTAGTAGCATCTTGCATAGGAAAGGGGCGGATGCGGGCTATGTTTTTAAGATGGAATCTACAGGATTTGGTAATATGCTGGATGTGAGGCTCAAAGTTGAGGCCAAAATCAAGTATGACACCAAGACAACGTGCTTGCAAGGATTGACTGATGTGGATACCACTAACTTGAAGGGAGAATGAAAGAGGAGGATCAGCATTAGGAGGACAAAAGACAATTAGCTCAGTTTTAGAGAGATTTAGTTTCAGAAAGCGGGAGGACATCCAATCAGAGATGGAAGAAAGGCAAGCAGTAACACGTTGCAGGACAGCAGGGGAGAGGTCCGGGGAAGAGAGCTATATCTGGGTGTCATCTGCGTACAGGTGGTAGTGGAATCCAAATGAGGTAATAACTTTGCCAAGAGAGGCAGTATAAAAAGAAAATAGAAGAGGACCAAGGACAGAGCTTTGGGGGACTTCAACAAAGACAGGACAAAGGGAGGAGGTATCAGACAGATATAACCATACAACACACATAGATGAGGAAAAATAGATATATAATACACAGTACGGGGCACAAGACAAAGATACCTTTACAATATACAGAGCTGGGTAGACTGCAGAGATACCCATACAACAGGCAGAACTGAGTAAAATACAGAGAATAACATACAGAGCTGGGAGCAATAAGAGGATACTCATAACTATCTCACACAGCCAGGATCACTTGATTGATAATACGGAGCTGGTAAAAAAAGCTCTATTTTCTTAGTAGTTCTCCTGCTATAGTACCTTTAGCTTCCTATTAAATATTGCTGCAGTTATGAAACATGTCAGCGACTGCATTAGCTCTCAGCACACAGTGTGCACACGGTTAAAGCATCAAGATACTGATAGACGCCACCCATGTCAGCTACTACTAACTCACAATTAGCTCTCAGCACATAGTGTACACAGGGTTAAAGCAGCAGGATACTGCTTTTACCTTTGCAGCAAGCAATATAATGAATATACAGTAGCTGATATGGTTAACAGAAGCAGCAAACATTACAGATTAAAACAGAATCATATCAGTTCTCAGAGTCACAGTCATAGTCCTGCAGTTTTAAGCTTCACAACATGAGTGTCTCGTGTCTCTATAGACTGATTGAGCACTTTAAAGAAGATGGTGGCTATGTGCAGTAGGAGTTATCAAATAATAATGACAGACAGCCCAGTGCCAATATTTTTTTTGGCTTACCACCTGCCCCACCAGAAAAGGAAGTTTAGAATTTCTAACCTACTGCAAATAATTTTTGTCCTGACATAAAACCTAGTGGGACGCTGCCCCAAGTGCCTCTATGGACAGGCCTCCACTTTTGGAAGGTATATATACAGGTTACACCACAATTAAAAGAGTAAATGTGAAAATTCAGTAACTTACCAAACAAGATAAAGAGACTGTGAGGTAATATAACCTGTGGGAGATAAACATATAAGGATGGTAGGACCGAATACAGACTGGCAACAACTGAAATACATTAAAGGACCATCTTCTTAGTGAAGAAAGCTATTTATTTATTTTTTTTAAGTATGTGTGCCAGATGTTTTTTTTCTTTTTACATGTGCTCTCTATAAATTTGCATAATACAACAAAGATTACAATAAAATTTTTTTTAAAAACTGATGTGTATCTATACAAAACACACACACAATATATTTATATCGACATACAGACACATATATACCAGTACATCAAAATAACAAAATTCAGTCCACTGAACTTCAAAAATAGCTTTTAACTGAGTAATCTATTTTATAACACTAGACACGGGAAAAGTAATGAAGTATTGGGGATTTATTAGATTATAGGATCAACCCCTTCGTAAGTCTCCCACTATTTACAGAGTAGTTCAAAATATGTGCAGTAAAATCCCTCAAAAACAATTCTTCCACTGTGGAGTATGGGACACTATACGATATTTACCACCTTACACACGCAAATGGCACCTTCTATGGTCTTTGAAAAAAATGCATACACCTTGCCAGTTATAGCGACCCTTTAAAGGCCAGAGCTGCAAAAAAAAGGCAACGGCCTGTCAAGCCAAATTCAACTGCAGCCTTTTAACAATATAGTGGATCCAGCAGGCAGCGAGAACCCATTTTATACAGTATTTGCCGGGAGAGTGAAAAGTTTGAACCCGGTTATGTCCAACACTCCAGAAGTGAATTATGTCCAATTATAAAGACTAATGCTTTATTTCTTCATAGCATTGCAGCCAAGGTACTCTGCAATTGTCCCTAGACCCTAGAAAACGTAATTATACAGAGTTATAGCTACTTATACAGTTATACCAAGAAAGCAGCTTACATCGGGGTTTAGGTTGCTGACCAACAAAACAGAGTGTCCTGGCATTGCAGTTATTCCAACCATACGTCCAGTGATGGCAGAAGTGGTGAGCGCAAGTGGGCCCAGGGCACCTCCTGGAACACCCTGCATCGAAAGGCCTGAAAAGAAAAAAAGGTTTTATACTTTACTTCATCAATAGGAAATCAATTGTCATACGGTCTCCAAAACAACACTTTGAAGATATAGTTTAATTATTTCTTATTATCAATTGGCTCCTGTCACCACTATTAGGAAAAGTTTGTTAATGCATGGAACCATCTACAGAGTTCTAAATCTATAAGTCGGGATATCTATCAGGCAGATCTTCAGCTTTTAATATCACGATGACTAGGATCATGTGATACTTGGCTGAAGGACAGACGGGGGCTATCTGGCTTATAGTAGAACTGCTATTTAAAACAAGCCAATACAAAGGACATGTGTGTATGGATGAGTGTGCATGAGGACGTTAAAATAAATTAACTGTTGTTCCAGTCATTGAAGGAAATATACAGAAATAGATGCTTTTTTTTAATGGAAAAACCTTGAAGATACATATAAAAATGTCTGAATGTGTTTATGCACATTAATAAAGATTGCCCACAAAAATTGAGTTTTATGTGCTTTATTAATAAAATGAAATATCTCTTCTTTTGGCAAACCTCACCTGCCTGAGGGAAACCAATAGCTGGAGCAAATCCAGCAGCTGCAGCATACGGGGATGAGATGATACCTGGAGCCCCTAAGGGAAGAAAATATATACATATTTAAAAACAACTATTAAATTAATCAGCAGATAAGGAAATGTAATAGACAGCGTTCTGATGTTCATATAATCAGACTCCTTTCCCCATACAAAAAAAGCTCCATCTGTTAAAATACTTTTTTGCGTAAAAACTTGAAAGTTTAATATTTTTACTTAACTAAATAATTGAAAATCTGGTTATCATTATCACTAGAAGGTTTTGTTGTTTGTGGCAATGGGAACAGCATTGGAGGAGAACATCACAACTGTAGACTGATGAGATTAATGATAACACAATTGCTGGAGCATGCAATACCAGCAGCCAATCAGAACTTAAAGAATTTCTTAAATTGAGCTGTTTAGTTCCCAGCATTCCACAATTTTTTTGTTTTTTTAAGAATAAATAAATAAATAAAGGTTAAAACAAATGCTTGTTTGAAACGGTGATGTTGAAAGCCCTCTATTACCAAGCAAGGCTCTCTTTTATCAAATATGCACGATTACTTAAATTGTAAAATATTTATAATAAATGTAATAATTCTTAAAATAAATTCTTTGGTGATAGTTTATACACCAGATACACCCACTTAGCAACAATGTACTATTATATACTCGACTTGTACTTAAAGGGACACAATAAGCACCATAAACATTGCAGCCTATTGTAGCAGTTATGGTGTTGACTAGTGGTGAAATCACCCAACTCTGTTTTAAATCATTTGAGTTTGACACAACACTCTGACAAAAACAGAGAGTGCCATAGATGCCCATGGCCTTGCCCCTTAGAGTCGTCATCTTCCTGCTCTGCTCTCCCGCGTGCCCTGCTGTGATGCTTGGAGCTGGCATACAACATCACTACGGCCCTGACTTCACTAAAAGGCGCGAGACCGAGCAGAGCAAATAGCAGCAAGATGACAGCAGCCACACTGGATCCCAGGGAAAGGATCCACTCCAGCTCTCCCAGCATTGTAAATTAAATTAAAACAAATATTAATTTGTGAGAGGGAGTGTGTGTGTCAGTGAATATGTGTGCGTGTCTATGAATGTGTCTGTTTAGGTAACCGGCCCCACCCTCTGATTGCATGGGAAGGGCGTTTTTATTCACCATTTTTCCCACGTCATGCCGGTTTCACAGCAGCTTGCCTGCCTCCATCGCTGAGTAAATCAATCCTGATGATCTATGATCCCATAGGAAAGCATTGTGAGGCTTTTCCGCATAAACGGCAAAACACTGCACCAATCAGCATCTCCTCAGAGATGCATTGAATCAATGCATCTCTATGAGGAAAGGTCAAGGCCTCCATGCAGAGCGTGGAGACGCTGACCATAGGTGCTGTGCAGCACTGGACTAGGAAGTACTTCTAGTGGCTGTCTGAGAGACAGCCACTAGAGGTGTTACTAGAGGTGTTACTAAGAACCACTGTAAACACTGCCTTTTCTCTGAACATAGAGCCACTAAAATGGAAGCCATTTCGGTGATTCCACTGCACATAAAGAAACACCTATCTGCAGCAACAAGTGTCAGTCTAATAGTTTTTCTGACTAGTCCAGCAGCAAGGGGTTAATGAGACAAGATTCACAAGAGCCGATTGACGTGATAATTAGCTGTGATTCATAACTGCATTGAGAAAAGATAAAAAAGCATAAATTAAAAGAGTGTTTAAGATTTCCATATGAAAATCGATCGATGCTACGCTAGCAGAATGACATGCGTACAATAAGATAATTTAAACCTGTCAAAAATCTAAAGTGACTATGACACTTTATGTGACTACCATACATTTAAGATAGGTGGGGGGATGGAAAGAAAATTCCCTTTCCACAACATGACAGCTTTACATTTTTGGAAAGATTTATAACTAAATAATAATAAATAAAACGTGATAGGACCGATCCACCACATCTTATTAATGAAGACCCTTGGAATGCTGTCATTTTACTGACTGACACGATTAGAAACACTGGAAAACACATTAAAGATGCAAACCACTGAAATATAGGTTTAAAGGCTCAGGGACAAAAACAGCTATCCAGTGGTAGATAATTAATGAAAGATTCCTAACAATAGTATTAAGAAAAAATACAACACACTCAACTTCAAACTAGCTTTAAAACAAAGAAAGGTTATTAAGGTAAAATTTACTGGCATAAAGTTATACAGGGTGGGCAAAAATTCAGAGTAGAGATATTAAGGAGGATACATTTTTTTTTATTAATGAACCAATTTCAATGAAATTACATATAATTAATGCTTAATGAATGGAGATCTGTCTGACTAGTTACGGTGACATCTTTCCAATGAGCTTCATTTGCCACCTCGCAAAGTTGGGCAATTATGATTGCATTCTTTAAACATTAGTTATTGTTTAAAGCTCTAGTGCTCGAATGACTTCCTGCAGGATCACCCCGCACATGGCGCATTTGGTAGGTTGCAATTGGCACTGATAAATTATCCATGGATTTTCTGTACCCCAGAAATCACAGTTTTGCTTATTGACAAAGCCATTTAAATGAAACTGAGCTTCGCCAGACATGATGAGTTGATGAATAAATTGGCTTTTTTCTCTGGCTAATTCATTGTTCCTTTGTGAAATTATCCTCAATAAAACTCCAAAGACTCCGTTATAATACACCCTGTTCCAAATTATGCAAATTATATTTTTTTCATTTACCTAAATAATTGAGGTAACAGTCAGCATAATTCTCATGTTATCAACTATTAAGAGTACAATTCAAATTTTATTGAACAAACCTCCTAATGATAACAGTATTTTTTTTTTTTAAACAAACTTACAATGCACTGTTCCAAATTATTATGCACAGTAAGTTTCAAAACACTTTTAGGTTGTAAAGAACTGAAAATTGTCATTTGTTGTGTTTGCAGCATATTTACTGAAATCAAAAGCTATTTCAATCAAACTTATAAAAACATTTTAACTTTTTAAACATTTTAACAGGTCACATTACATTTTAACATAGGACCCGTTATTTGATAGCAGCTTCACAAGTCTTGCATCCATTGAACTTGTGACATTTTGGACAGTTTCTGCTTGAATTTGTTTGCAAGATGTCAGAATAGCCTCCCAGAGCGGCTGTTTGGATGTAAACTGCCTCCCACCCTCATAGATCTTTTGCTTGAGGATGCTCCAAAGGTTCTCAATAGGATTGAGGTCAGAGGAGGATGGAGGCCACACCATGACTTTCTCTACTTTTATCCCCATAGCAGCCATTGATGCAGAGGTGTTCGTTGCAGCATGAGATGGTGCATTGTCATGCATGAAGATGATTTTATTACGTAAAGCATAGTTCTTCCTTCTGTACCAGGGAAGAAAGTGGTCAGTCAGAAACTCCACATACTTTGCAGAGGTCATCTTTACACCTTCGGGGACCATAAAGAGGCCGACCAGTTCTCTTCCCATGATTCCGGCCCAAAATAGGACTCCACCACCGCCTTGCTGACGTCGCAGCCTTGTTGGAACAGGGTGGCCGTCCACCAACCATCCACTACTCCATCCATCTGGACCATCCAGGGTTGCACAACACTTATCAGTTAACAGGACTGTTTGAAAATTAGTCTTCATGTATTTTTCTGCCCAATGCAGCTGTTTCTGCTTGTGAGTATTGGTTAGTGGTGGTCGAATAGAAGGCTTATGCACAGTTGCAAGACTCTGGAGGACTCTACACCTTGATGTGTGTGGGACTCCAGAGGCACCAGCAGCTTCAAATATCTGTTTGCTACTATGTAATGGTATTTTAGCAGCTGCTCTTCTTTTGATCGGATGCATGGATCTGGCAGAAATCTTCCTCAATGTGCCATTATCTGCACTAAAACCATATGTCCTCTGAATCAGCCACAAATCTCTTAAAAATAGTGCGATGATCACGCTTAAGTTTTCGTGAAATATCTCATGTTTTCATACCTCGTCCAAGGCACTGAACGATTTCACTCTTTTCGGCAGCAGAGAGATACTTTTTCTTCCCCATATTGCATGAAAATGGTGCTCTGCTTAATAATGTGGAACACCCTCCTTTAGTAGTTTTTCCTTAAATTGGGCTCACCTGGCAATCTAATTATCACAGGTGTCCGAGATTGTTTTCAGTGATCAAAAGAGCCCTGAGACACAATGCCATCCATGAGCTAAACTGAAAAACAAAATATTTAATCTTTGTGACACTTAGAATAGAATTTGCATAATAATTTGGAACAGGGTGTATGTACCTGCAACAACAAAAAAAAAGGTATTGGGGAGAGAGAGAGAGTGGGATTGGAGAGGGGGAGGTTTTTATTTTAATATTTAATTCAGCAATGGAGGGGAATTTCTTTGTTTGCTTTTATGTCACTGTTCATCTCTATTCTTAAGCACCATTCTCAATTTTACATGAATGTGAGCAAATAGTATAGCCCTATACTATTTAGAATGTATCCTGCTGCTTCTGTCAAATCACCAATAACACAAGTAACCCAGTTTCATAGGCCACCATACAAGCCCAAGCCATACCATTGCCTCTAGCATGTATCACAGATGATGTGGTATCTGTGAGATTATAAACCGTTTCTTCTCTTTTGCATACTCTGTCATTTATCTATCCAAAAAATAGTTAGAGAATTGGGGAGGATTTTTTTTATAGACCCTATAAACCCTAAAACTTCAACTTCAATTGTGTTGTTGTAATCCGCTAAATTCATTAGAAGCTTACCAATGTCCATAATTCTCTCTCTCTATAGATATTATATATACACACACACACACACACATATTATAATATATACATATATATACACACACACACACACACACACACACACACACAGTATGCATACTACAAAGAAACAAGGAAAACTACAAAATCCTTTCAATTATAGCAACACACCATTGTTGTTACGCAGCTATTACATACAATGAATCCTAGAAGGTAAGCAAGACAGATCAAGCAATTGTGTCAATTGCAGTCTATTGCTGCTAGTAGTTGGGGAATTTGAGAAACAAAATGTAGCCTGGAATTCCAGCTGATACAATTCATGTGCAAACGTGTCCCAAAAATCAGGTTATATGAAACTACACTGGAATGAGTAGAGGGTGTTCACAGGTTGATTCAATTTATCTGTGACTGGCAAGATGTTTACATCACTGGAGGACAGAGCTCACACCTTTAACCACATTGTGCATTAACACACAAAGTCATTCTAAATCTATGAGACCACTTCCTGGTTGAGAAGGGCATCACTAGAAAAGTATCAGATTTAGACATATTGAGACATGTTTTAGATGTTTTCCTTTTGTTAATAGGCAATCTTTCTAATGTTTTAAAATATGTGTGGTTAACCCTTTCTCTGGTGTTCCTAGCTTAGGTGACTCATTACTGGTGTCAAAGAGGACAACTCATTACAGAAGAATCTTACTATGCACCTTTACTCCCTACCTAGGCAACACAAGTGCAGAGGAGTTTAATTATACGGAAGCTTCAATTCCTGTGTAGACCCAAAGGATTTCAGTGGGAAAGACCCCTAAATCTGTTCCACTACCTAGTACCGTCCTTGCAGTAATATCAGGTACCAGCTCGACTACCCAGGCTGTTACTCTTGTAAGTGTAAGTGAAAAATTAGTAACATATTGCACTCTTGAGAATCTCTTACTGTGGAAAAATATAATAGAAATGCACCAGGCAGTAAACAAAATAAACGTACAAGGAAAATAAATCCAAATAACTGGGGGACACCACTAAGCCAGAAAGTACAAGTTTCATGTCTAACAGGAGACTCTTTTTCAGCAAATTAGGTCCAAACCCCATGAAGAACAGCAAGCAATACTGTATATAGGGCTTAGCTGTGCCACTCTCCTTTTTTTCTGTTTTTGTTTTCTTTCTAAATCTTTGTATTTTCACCTGCTGGTACCCTGCTTATCAAAACATTCACCTGTTCCATCAAAGCTCCTGGTGCACAGTGTGGTCACTGTTTCTTGCATTCACAAGAGACAAATTGACTGGCATACATCCCAACAGGGTGCCAGAAGTGATGTGACTTGTACCACTGGCGATTCCCACAATGGTCAGATCCGCCCAGAGAAGGAGTGGACGCGCCAACTGAAGGACGGAAGTGGTCTGTCTGGCTGGTAGCAAGAGGATAGTTCCCCTTGTGTCCCTGGAGGTGGGACACTGGATAACTAAAGCGGGACAGGACCCCGAAATCAGGACTGTTGGGGGTTATAAACTCTGGGAGATTTACCAAAGTGTCACCGATACCTTTACTTTAGATTTTCATAAAATTGTTGGTGTAATTAATTAAATCTGTCAGATTTTTTTTAACCTTTTTTTTCCACTCTGAAAATTATTTTTGATTATGTGTAATTTTTTTCATCAGCACAACAGAAAGACACAAAAGATCAATTATGCCACTATAAATTTGGCAGTCTTATGAAATAGACATTTGTGCAAGACATTCACTTTGAAGATAGCTTTTTAGATAATTGTAATAAATACAATCAAAATAATGATGACATTTAACAGCCACTTTCAGAACACTGATGAACATCCCCCAAGGAGAGACCACTAAGGGAAAGATGGGAGGGAGAAAGAGGGAAAGATGGGGGGAGACCACTAAGGGAAAATGGGGGAGGAGGAGAACCACTAAGGGAAAGATGGGAGAGAACTCTAAGGGACAGGGGGGAGGGAGAGCACTATGGGAACGTGGGTAGGGAGAGCATTAAGAGATAGGGGGGCAGGGGAGAGCATAAAGGATGGGACAGGTCAGGGGGAGCACTGAGGGGAGGTGAGATTACTAAGGGACAGGGGAGCAGAGGAGAGCACTAAGGGACAGGGAAGAAGGGGAGAGCACTAAGGGACAGGGGAGAAGGGGAGAGCACTAAGGGACAGATGGGGAGGGTAGATCACTAAAGGATGGGAGAGCACTAAGGGACAGGGGAGAAGGGGAGAGCACTAAGGGACAGGGGAGAGCACTAAGGGACAGGTGGGGAGGGGAGAGCACTAAAGGATGGGAGAGCACTAAGGGGCAGGAGGAGAGGGGAGAGCACTAAGGGACAGGAGGGGAGGGGAGGGGACAACGCTAATGGACAGGAGGGGAGACATCTAAGGGACAAGGGGAGAAGTGGAGATGAGAACACTAAGGGACGGTGAAAATGGAAGAGATCATTAAGGGACGGGGGAGTAAGACACACAAAGAGATTGGGAGGATTTAGGAGACATACAAAGAGGGGGGATAAGAGACACATAAGGGGCTTGTAAGAGATACACTAAAGGGGGGTGTAAGACACAAAACCTAAAGAAAAATATACAAAAAAAATACAATTAAAGAGTTGCTCCCCTCTCAGCCCCTATCCTACCCCATAAACCCTCACTTTCCCACTACACACATACACAATCCATCTTTACACATACACACCTACATGCACAGAAACATGCAATGCTTCCCTACTCACATACAAACACACCGAAACATACGATGCATCCTACACTCACAAAGAAACACACCATGCATCCCTTACACACACACACACACACAATGCTTCTCTTAATGCATCTCTTACAGACACACACACTTCATTACATTACATTACATACACACCTTGCAATCCTTACACATAAAAACACAGATTCACACAATGCATCCTTAACACACACACACTGCATCCCCTATACACTACATCCCTTACACAAACTGGTATCCCTATACACTACATTCCATAAGAACACACAGACACACATTACATCCTCTACAATAACACATAACACATCCCCATACACTCCACTCCCTGTGAGCGAACTCATGGGTGGTCTTTGTAGGCATAAGGCTTATGGGCGGGCCTTGAAGGCATACTCATGGTCAGGCCCTGGGAACCCAGACTGTGATCTTTGTAGGGGGCCCCAAAAAATGAAGCTGCTTCCTGTTTGTAGACTTTTGTGAGCACTGCCTCCAGAGAGCCTGTTTTAACATCAGTGGAGCCAGACTGCAGCCTAAGCCCATCATCATCCTCGTGTCCTCATCAGGTGGTAAGTAGGCAATCCAGTATATTACTAGTGACACTAATCCCTAATTTACCTCACATTAAAGGGACACTCTAGTCATCAGAACCACTGCAGCTTGATGTAGTTGTTCTGGTGTCTATAGCCTGTCCCTGCAGGCTTTTAAATGTAAACACACTGCCATTTCAGAGAAAAGACACTGTGCAGCATTGGCATTGGCTCATATGGCAGAGCATATACTTGCAACGGCCCTGCAAATATATAAATACTAGTATCAGGTAAAGATTTGCTAAAACCATATTTACAAGCAATGTAGAGCAAAGCATGTTACAGTTGTAACTTTACAAAATCTCAATTATTGTAGATGATCAGTAGGTGTATGTTAATTTAAAAGCTCCACAGCTTATTTTGAAATATTTGTGTGTTGACCAAGCCCTTATGTATTTTGTATCACTAGTCAGCCACACTCAACTGATATAAAGAGCTGATGATATAATAATAGAACACTTAATAAAAGTTTAATTTTGAAGTAATTAAATCACAATAAGAATTGGTGCTGCAAAAGTAAGTTATACTGTCTTTTTTGGTCAACAATATGTGTCATCTTTAAAAGAAGTATTGTAGGTTAGCAGTTTGATATGTGAAAATAAGACTACACAAAAAAAAAAGTTAAATTATAGTGACACCCAGTGTCCACATGTTCACAGAACGCACAACTAAGAATTTAAAAGGATTTTACATTATTAGAAATATATACAAGAGAGGAGAGGAAATGCGTAAATTTGATCTGCTCTCCAACGATGTAATTCCATCATTCAAGGGTCTAATAAAAGTATCAAAGAAAGAAAAAAAAATATTTTTTTTTAGAAAAAGGACTACAACACTGTATAATGTATAAAGGGAATGGTCTAAAACATAATGAATCCATACATACAATGGACACATTGAAGGAGAAAGAGTGGTTTCAAGTCAGCTGACCGCTATGGCAAGGTTACAATTCAGAACCGGCTTGTACCCACAGCCAACACACACACAGACATAACCTGATCTATCGAGAGCAATCTGGACTACCGATCAATGCTAAAAAGTAATATTTCATGAAATATACTATTTCTCTTTATTTCACCGTTCACATACATCCAAGCATGCAGGACAAAGAACAACTACTCTATCGGTATATCTGTTATGAAGCAAGGGAGAGAAAAAAAAAGGAGCCCTATCAAAATACATTAAGCTATCTAGGATAATTAGCAGTCACGTTAACCAGCTCCAATCATGGTTACCTATGCACTAATCCCTTTTGAAGTGTTCTCGTATGCACTAAATGCCCAAAGTTAGCAGGGTTGTATTTAGCACTTAGCAGTGTTTGTGTATTTGAATGTAAGCATGTTTTTGTATGGAGTATGTTTGTGTGAATGTAGGGGTGTGTTTATATATAATTTTGGTGTTTAACACAGAGGTGTGCTTGTATGTAGTGTTGAAGCTTGAATGCAGGGTTGTATTTGTGTGTACCTTTGAATGCTGAGAGGTATGCACATAAACACCTCACATATGGATACACATGCAGATACAGAGATATGCACACTGATACACATACAGATATACAGACACATATACACACACCGAAACACATACAGATACAGTCACACAGATGCACAGACTGACACAGATACATAACCTGACACACACGCAGAAACACAGACCCAGTGACACACATGGAGAAACACAGACACACATGCATATACACACAGTGACAACATACAGATACACGCACTGACACACAGATCCACAACCTGACAGACATGCAGATAAACATACACACAGATACAAACACTAACACACAAGCAGATACACAGACACACATATATACACATGCAGATACAGATACACACACACACATCATATAGAGTCACACAGCAATACAGACACATATACACAGCCTGACACACACAGATACAGTCACACAGATACAGATACACAACCTGACAAACATGCAGATACACATACACAGATACAAACACACATGTAGATAAACACAAATATACACACATGCAGATACACACACTGACAACATATAGATACACACAGATACACAGGCACATATTGACACACATACACATCAATTAGCCATTTACATCTGCTCCCAATCTTAAAAAACCATTCCCAGCCACCAACTAATGATACTAAAAGCAACAAGTGCCAAATACACACACCACTCCCTGTGTATCAAAACAGGCAATAATAATACTTATACATGTACAGGTACATATAGGAGATGGTCCATATAAAAACCTATAAAGATAAAAAATAGTACATAGTATAGCCTGTATATACAGAAGAAGGAAATATGGAAGTGATTGAATACACTCACGGATTTCAGAGCCGTGCCAGGCTCTGTATATGGTGCCCAAGGGTGCCTCAGAAGGCTCTGTGGAGAATCTTGAATAATATCCCCCAGAAGTAGGAAAAAACAGCAGCAGAAGGATGAATAAAAAATAATAAATTTATTGTAAGTAAAAATTAAAAATTAAAATAGTAACTCGTGGTGTATGGTGACACACAGAATCACAGTCATGCAGACGCGTTTCAACTCAGTCCGAGTTTTCATCAGTGCATAAAACATCCAGCTGCTGTTCCATTTTAAAATCACTGCTTATTCTAATTGCCGGTCACATGGGCGGAAGTTCGAGTGGCCGGCGTCTGACGTCACTTCCGGTATTTCAGCATTCATTTTCCTGCTTGATTGTATTCGATGCATTTGCCCAGTTGAAGCTGAAAACTCCATGTAGTGAATGGGCATATTGTATGATTATTAGAGTGCATACAGGAACGATGATTTATACTAAGAAAAGTGACATAATTGTCTATACAAATAGCAGTAATCATACAATGATATGTATAAAAGAGAAAATTAATTGGTAAACAACATTGTAAACACATAATACCTTATGTCAGTTTCAAATAGATTTGTTAGTACATTTGCCCAAATGAAGCAAAAAGCTCCATATTAAAGATGGGCACCTTTCATATATTATAAAGTGTGTACATATAGGTAGTCATTTATAACATGAAAAGAGACATAACTATTTGTGCAAAGAGCAACAATAGTGCAATGCTGCATACCAAAAGGAAAAAAAAAGGAATATATATGTATTAATAAAAAACAACAACATATGGGCACATAGTATGTGGTATCTTAAAGGTATACATCACATCTAGGTTATGTAAATGTAGCCCATATAGAATAGGATTGGTGAGTGAAAGAAAAAAGAAAATTTAATTATAAAAAATGAGCCAATTCAAAATCTAAATTCAAGCCCTTAGGGATTAAAGTGTTTAATTCGAATATCCACCTACTTTCAATTTTGCAGAGTTCTTTGAAATTATCTTCACCCCTCCAATCCTTTTTCTTTTGAGCAATGGCAATAAAATTAACATGCGAAGGATCACTGTTGTGACATTGTAAGAAATGTGCGGAGACACTATGTTTGGCATAACCCCTCTGTATATTGCCCAAGTGTTCCAGCATGCGGGTTTTTAATGTTCTCGTGGTCATTCCCACATACTGGAGTCCACAAGGGCACCAGAGGAGGTATATCACATTACTAGAGTGGTCACATTACTAGAGTGGCAGGTGAGGATAGAATTGATCTTATATTCCTTTTTGGATATGTTAGAAGTAAATTTAGTGTGTGTGTCTTTCTTAGATTTTGTTCTTTTGCAAACTGTGCACATTTTACATGGATAGAAGCCATATTTTTGGTTAAAAATATTAGTATTAGCAGTCTGAGTTTTTATATGGTTTTTAACCAATAGACTTTGGAGATTTTTTGTGCCTCTATATACAATTTTTGGTTTTTCACTAATGATGTTATTAAGACCTTCATCGGTTTTTAGGATGTGCCAGTGTTTCTGAACAATAGATTTTATATGTTTAGCATCACCACTATAGTCCAAAATTAAAAGGGGTTCCTCTGTTTGTTTAGTTGCTTGTCTATCTTTATATCCTAACTGGGACTCTCTATTTAGTTGTTTAATTTCCTGGATTTGGTGATCTAAAGTGGTTGGATCATACTTCTTTTCAACAAAAAAGTTTTTTAATCGTCCCGCCTGTTCCTCGTATTCCTTAATGTCACTGCAATTTTTGAAAATGCGGTTGAATTGACTTTTGGGTACATTGCGCAACCACGGATCATAATGACAACTCGTGGTGTCAATGTACCCATTGACATCCACCGGTTTAAAATAGGTTCTGGTGAGGATATGGTTGTTGGAGACATAAATCTCTAGATCTAAAAACTGAACTGACGTTTGGCTAATTTGACTAGTCAAAACAATATTTCTGCAATTGTCGTTAAGACCCTCCAAGAAGAGATCCAAAGAAGTTCTGGACCCCTTCCATATAAAAAAAATATCGTCGATATATCTGCGATAGAGGACCAGACCCGCCCCCATATCGTCCCGAACTGGGAGGAAGGTACCCTCCCAGTGAGACATAAACAGATTAGCATAGCTGGGAGCGAATCTGGTCCCCATCACAGTTCCGACTAACTGTAGAAAAAAGGAACCATCAAACCAAAAGAAATTGTTGGTAAGGATTAAATAGATACTGTCTATAATGAAGTTAATCTGGTTCTCAACAAACTTGTTACTGTGTGACAAAAAATATTTAATAGCTTCACAGCCCAGCTTATGTGAAATGATAGTGTACAAACTGGTCACATCACATGTGACCAGATAAAAATCTTCTTCCCATTGAATGTTCTGTAGGGTCTTTAATAACTGTGTGGAGTCCCTAAGGTAGGTTGGTTGAGATGTCACCAAAGGTTGGAGTTGTCTATCTATGTATTCAGATAGCCTACTCAAAAGGGATCCTACCCCGGATACTATGGGCCTTCCAGGAGGCTTCTTTGTATCCTTATGAATTTTTGGGAGAATATAAAGAACTGGTATGCGACATACCGATATATTTAAATATTTATATTCATGTTTATTGAGAATCCCATCTTCCATACCTTTACTTAGTAGTGAGGTGTATTTCTTTCTTATTTCTGGGGTAGGGTCAGCTTTAAGTTTAACATAGGTGGAGGCATCTTGAGCTGTCTGTATACCTCTTCCATATAGTCCGCAACATTCAGCACAACGATGCCTCCACCCTTGTCTGCTGGCTTAATAATAATATTGTGATCTTGTTGAAGATCTCTCAGGGCTTTAATTTGAGAATGGTTTAGATTACTTTTTTTCTTCTTAGATATCTGTCACATCATTAGTTACTAGTTTCTCAAAAACTTTCATTTCACCACTAATATGATTTTTTGGAAAAAAATGAGATTTGTCTTTTAAGTTTGTATGTATGAAGTTGTCATTATTAGTTTCCCTTAATACATTGGTAGGGAATTTCTTAAAATGTTTCTTTAGACAAAGTTTTAGAATAAATTTATGAATGTCTATAAAGGTGTTGAAAGGTTTATTAGTACTAGTCGGTGCGAATTTTAAGACCTTATTAAGGACTTCTAATTCTTTATTTGTTAGTATTTTGTTTGAAAGGTTAAAAATACCTAATGATGGTTTTTCCCTCTTTTTTTCAAAGTCCAAAATTCTTCCTGCTCTACATCCCCTTCTCCCTGACCCCACGGTCTTTTGGACCTTTTTTCTACAGTTAGTCGGAACTGCGATGGGGACCAGATTCGCTCCCAGCTATGCTAATCTGTTTATGTCTCACTGGGAGGGTACCTTCCTCCCAGTTCGGGACGATATGGGGGCGGGTCTGGTCCTCTATCGCAGATATATCGACGATATTTTTTTTATATGGAAGGGGTCCAGAACTTCTTTGGATCTCTTCTTGGAGGGTCTTAACGACAATTGCAGAAATATTGTTTTGACTAGTCAAATTAGCCAAACGTCAGTTCAGTTTTTAGATCTAGAGATTTATGTCTCCAACAACCATATCCTCACCAGAACCTATTTTAAACCGGTGGATGTAAATGGGTACATTGACACCACGAGTTGTCATTATGATCCGTGGTTGCGCAATGTACCCAAAAGTCAATTCAACCGCATTTTCAAAAATTGCAGTGACATTAAGGAATATGAGGAACAGGCGGGACGATTAAAAAACTTTTTTGTTGAAAAGAAGTATGATCCAACCACTTTAGATCACCAAATCCAGGAAATTAAACAACTAAATAGAGAGTCCCAGTTAGGATATAAAGATAGACAAGCAACTAAACAAACAGAGGAACCCCTTTTAATTTTGGACTATAGTGGTGATGCTAAACATATAAAATCTATTGTTCAGAAACACTGGCACATCCTAAAAACCGATGAAGGTCTTAATAACATCATTAGTGAAAAACCAAAAATTGTATATAGAGGCACAAAAAATCTCCAAAGTCTATTGGTTAAAAACCATATAAAAACTCAGACTGCTAATACTAATATTTTTAAACAAAAATATGGCTTCTATCCATGTAAAATGTGCACAGTTTGCAAAAGAACAAAATCTAAGAAAGACACACACACTAAATTTACTTCTAACATATCCAAAAAGGAATATAAGATCAATTCTATCCTCACCTGCCACTCTAGTAATGTGATATACCTCCTCTGGTGCCCTTGTGGACTCCAGTATGTGGGAATGACCACGAGAACATTAAAAACCCGCATGCTGGAACACTTGGGCAATATACAGAGGGGTTATGCCAAACATAGTGTCTCCGCACATTTCTTACAATGTCACAACAGTGATCCTTCGCATGTTAATTTTATTGCCATTGCTCAAAAGAAAAAGGATTGGAGGGGTGAAGATAATTTCAAAGAACTCTGCAAAATTGAAAGTAGGTGGATATTCGAATTAAACACTTTATCCCCTAAGGGCTTGAATTTAGATTTTGAATTAGCTCATTTTTTATAATTACATTTTCTTTTTTCTTTCACTCACCAATCCTATTCTATATGGGCTACATTTACATAACCTAGATGTGATGTATACCTTTAAGATACCACATACTATGTGCCCATATGTTGTTGTTTTTTATTAATACATATATATTCCTTTTTTTTTTCCTTTTGGTATGCAGCATTGCACTATTGTTGCTATTTGCACAAATAGTTATGTCTCTTTTCATGTTATAAATGACTACCTATATGTACACACTTTATAATATATGAAAGGTGCCCATCTTTAATATGGAGCTTTTTGCTTCATTTGGGCAAATGTACTAACAAATCTATTTGAAACTGACATAAGGTATTATGTGTTTATAATGTTGTTTACCAATTAATTTTCTCTTTTATACATATCATTGTATGATTACTGCTATTTGTATAGACAATTATGTCACTTTTCTTAGTATAAATCATTGTTCCTGTATGCACTCTAATAATCATACAATATGCCCATTCACTACATGGAGTTTTCAGCTTCAACTGGGCAAATGCATTGAATACAATCAAGCAGGAAAATGAATGCTGAAATACCGGAAGTGACGTCAGACGCCGGCCACTCGAACTTCCGCCCATGTGACCGGCAATTAGAATAAGCAGTGATTTTAAAATGGAACAGCAGCTGGATGTTTTATGCACTGATGAAAACTCGGACTGAGTTGAAACGCGTCTGCATGACTGTGATTCTGTGTGTCACCATATGGGACCTGCACAGTTACTATTTTAATTTTTAATTTTTACTTACAATAAATTTATTATTTTTTATTCATCCTTCTGCTGCTGTTTTTTCCTACTTCTGGGGGATATTATTCAAGATTCTCCACAGAGCCTTCTGAGGCACCCTTGGGCACCATATACAGAGCCTGGCACGGCTCTGAAATCCGTGAGTGTATTCAATCACTTCCATATTTCCTTCTTCTGTATATACAGGCTATACTATGTACTATTTTTTTTATCTTTATAGGTTTTTATATGGACCATCTCCTATATGTACCTGTACATGTATAAGTATTATTATTGCCTGTTTTGATACACAGGGAGTGGTGTGTGTATTTGGCACTTGTTGCTTTTAGTACCTTTTTCTATTACTTGATTTTAGGGTGTTGGGGAACACCCTTTCCACTCCAACTGTGCTCCTGTTTTACTGTGTAAGCGCCATTCACTTTTCTTCTTTTTTGTATCCACCAACTAATGATACTTGATCATCAATTACAGGTTTTTCCAAATTTTGGAAAATTGACTTGGGTGTGCTATAAATACCGTTGTTGGTCACAGCACTAAGGTCCATGTGTGGAACTGACTTGACTTGCGCTTCTAAGCGGTCTCATCATTCCACGCTTTGATGTAAAGTTGCCCATCTGCAGGCGCAATATTATTGTGGCTGCATTATTTGTTCTAAATACTCCCATGTGAGACCATTTTAGATTATCTTTCTAATCCACGTTTTCTGTATTCCTATTATAGCATCTTCAAAGAGACACAAAGCACAGCAATACCTCGAAATGTGCTTGAAACAAATGGACATATTTACACACACCCAGATAGATAGACATACTGACACACACACACACACACACACACAAACACACACACAAACTAACAGACATACTGACACACATGCAAAATTTACAGCTTGAGGCAGAGACATTATTACAATTTTCAGAATGGCTTTAAATTTGCCCTTGTTACCACTCACTATTACATTGATTGTTGTAAAGTATTTTCAGAAACATAACCCATCCTTTCCTACCTTGTAGGCTGATTTATCTGCCATCCAGTATGGTGACTGACATGGCTGGGAGGCTGCTCCAGCTCTCACAGTCCCCCTTATCTCTGCCTCCGTCGTCTCTCCCGGTGGGTGCTCTCTCTAGGAGGAAGTGACTCGCGGCTGTCACTTCCTCCCATTCTGCCAGTAAGCAAGGTGGCCCGGACGCCAGACTGGGCCACTGCTGACAAATGCCCATTGGGTGGCACTTAGGGCCACCTGGTGGGCCTCCTTAGTCTGTGGGCCCCCAGCTGCAGTCGCACCGGCGGGCCAATGAGGGAAAAAATAATTGTTACGGGCAGCGGGGCTGACTGGTCAGCTGCCTTGGGCCCCAACAATAACTAGGAACGGGGCAGCTGCCGCTTGTTAAAGACAGCCCTGACCACAATGTTTCTATTGCAGGGTTAAAAATACACTTCTAGTGGCCATCTTCCTGACAGGAGAGCTTCCTACTCCAGAACTAAGTGAAACTGTAATCAAATGCTGTAAATACCTATTCAATTCTCTATCAGAAGCACTGAAGTGGAGCAGATCGTAGCTTAAGCAGAGGAGTCCAGGCAATGAAAACGGGTTCTCTCTTTTAAACTTTAATTTTTAAAACCAAAAGGGAACAGGGGAACAGAAGGGAACCTACAGTCCTGAAAAAACTATTGTTAGCATTTCAATTTTCATTAATGAAAACATAGCCAAACAAAATAGCAGGTTTCAGGTGATGATCTTTCCGAAGGTCACACATTAGGGAAGAATGTTATCATAAATACGGCTCATCTAGTCTGCGTAATATTCGAAATACTTTTAATTAGTCCCTGGCCTTATCCAGTGGTGCATCCTGGTTTTGTGCTGCCCCGGGCATGACAAAACCCAGGCACCCCCCCGCCCCACCTTCTAAATACACACACATTCACTAACAGACACATACAGAAACACACTTTCACTAACAGACACGCATACACTCTCACTAACAGACACACACAAACTAACAGACACACTCCCTGACACACACACACACACACTAACAGACACACACTCCCTAACAGACACACACACATTAAAACAATTTTTTTTTTTTTTTTATTCAATCCCCCCAGCCTCCTTACCTTTGGGAATGCTGGGGGGGGGTTCTCACTTTCCCTGGGGTCCAGTGTGGCTGCTGGGCAAGAAAATCCGGTCAGGCGAGGGAGCACTGATTAGTGATTAGTGAGCTCTCTGCTCAGCTCCCTCAAGCGCCGCAGAATAAGACGCCTGGAGCCGGGAGCTGACTAATCAGTGCTCCCTCGCCTGACCGGATTTTTAGACAGCCGTCAGGCTAACAAGACATTTGCATGGGCATTTGGGGGCGGCTTTTTTTGCTGCCCCCTGGAAAGGACCGCCTGAGGCAAGTACCTTGTTTGCCTCGCGGCTAATACGTCCCTGGCCTTATCTTATAGTTAGGAAAGCATTATGCCTATGCCATGCATGTTTAAACTCCCTCACTGTCTTAACCTCTGCCACTTCAGTTGGAAGGCTGTTTCATGCATCCACTACCCTGTATGGTAGTGGACCAAAGTAATGCTTCCTGAAAATATTTTTAATCCTTTGCCCCTCTAATTTAAGACTTTGTCCTCTTGTTGTGGTAGTTTTTCTTCTTTTAAATATAGTCTCCTCCTTTACGGTGTTGATTTCCTTTATGTATTTAAATGTTTCTATCATATCCCCCCGTCTCGCCTTTCCTCTAAGCTATACATGTTAAGATCCTTTAACATTTCCTGGTAAGTTTTTTCCTGCAATCCATGAACCAGTTTAGTAGCCCTTCTCTGAAATTTCTCTAAAGTATCAATATCCTTCTGAAGATAGGGTCTCCAGTACTGTGTACAATACTCCAAATGAGGTCTCACCAGTGCTCTGTACAATGGTATGAGCACTTCTCTCTTTATTCACACAATAAATTAAAAATTCACACAATTAAAAATTCTCAGAAAAAGGAAACACACCAATGACATATAGTATGTAATTATCGAGATTCTTGAGGAGTCTATTGGCATGAATATCCAGTTTATCTTTATTATTGTTATCAAGAAACATTTTCTATTAATGATGGCATAAGCTGGGCAAAATCAAGAATGTTACCAATATATCCAGTTGTTATGTACAGTTTCTTTGCACTTGTCTATTTTGCAGTACATAAGATATGCCCCAATGCAAAGTCTGAAATGGACCTTGTCAAATCTCTATTTTTTATTTATTTATTTTTTTGCATTTATTCCCCATGGTGGTCCACATGACCATTTTTAAAATGTATACTTTACTATTTAAAGTTATTTCATTTACAGGTGATTAAAGGGGGTTTTATTATTCCAGTCACATCAATTTTGCTGACATGGCAGAATAAACAATTTCTGTGGAAACTAAAGAAACACAAGCAAAACGTTTCACCTATCTACTCTTTAACCATTGTCTCTATAAACATATGTAAACTGTATGAAACCGATATTTGGATGAAGATGCTGTGTCACCAACTAGCCCAACGTCTGATTTAATTTAGTGACATCTTTCACTAGACTGCTTATCTCAGGGAGAGAATGATCTTGTATTGACCATCTGGGCACTGGCTGAGGCTGATCGGCATTGCAGGCCTACATGTGTTCAAGTGAAAAACATGCTCACGTTGGATGTCCATAGCATGTAACAGGCACTTGCTTAACAGTTGGCAGAGGTGTAATTAAGGTGTGGGGGAGCATGCATGTAATTATATTGGTCCTCCACCCTATCAATACCAAACAGCACTCTCTCCCACACTCATTTAAATGATAAACTGTCCATAGGCCGTTGCAGCTGGGTAAATATTGTGCCTGGCTGAACTTCACCATTGCAATAAATTTAGATGACTGAAAGAAAACAGAACGAATACAAAGAAATATGGTTGAAGCTGAATGTTAGCCATGTGTAATCTTGCATTCAGCACAAAAAAGGCAGTTTTGTTAGTCTGGTTACTTTATAATTACCATTATATATATTTACCATATTTTACTATTATACACACACACACACACACACACACACACACACACACACACACAAACATTACGTCGGTAAGCTATATAATTTATTTTTTTAATTTATTTTTTGCCTATAGGATTATTTCTCATGGGTTATGCCACTTGTTGGCACACATGGAAACAAACTTCCATCCACTGAACACCTTCCCCTAGTAAACATTTCAATTAGTTTCACCAATTGGTTTAAGAACGTTTTGGCACTGTGGATTTTTGTCAGAGTCCTCCGTTACCCCACTGCTTATAGCTTTTTATTGCACCGAGTATTCACGCAATCCATACTCCCATTATACAATTATTTGGACAGATAATGTATCATGTATTTTACTACTTTACATTAAAGGACCACTATAGTGCCAGGAAAACATACTCGTTTTCCTGGCACTATAGTGCCCTGAGGGTGCCCCCACCCGCCCGGCTCTGGAAAGGGGAAAGGGGTTAAAACTTACCTTTTTCCAGCGCTGGGCGGGGAGCTCTCCTCCTTCTCTCCTCCTCCGTTCCTCCCTGCCGGCTGAATGCGCACGCGCGGCAAGAGCTGCGCGCGCATTCAGCCGGTCTCATAGGAAAGCATTTACAATGTTTTCCTATGGACGCTGGCGTGCTCTCACTGTGAAAATCACAGTGAGAAGCACGCAAGCGCCTCTAGTGGCTGTCAATGAGACAGCCACTAGAGGATTAGGGGGAAGGCTTAACCCATTCATAAACATAGCAGTTTCTCTGAAACTGCTATGTTTATTAAAAAATGGGTTAACCCTAGCTGGACCTGGCACCCAGACCACTTCATTAAGCTGAAGTGGTCTGGGTGCCTAGAGTGGTCCTTTAATTGGTAAAATAAAAAAGATGCAGTGGTTAATTGCTTGGAGTTTTTATTTGACACACTGGGAAAAGCCAAACAAACTTGTGTTCTCTTCACCTCTAAAGATATGGGTAGTTACCAGGTGGGTAAAACAATTGTAACAACAGTACTAGGAATGTTTGAAATGATTTAGGGAAAAATTAAGCATTACATTTCTTTTCAGTGTTGTTGTGTCGTTATGCAGTCAGACTAAATTACCGTTAAACACAATTACATTACTGTTACCTTGCACAAACAGTATTTTTTATTAATGACATTACACATGGCCAGGTCTCCGGCTCCCTGTAAGTATCTACAGAAAGCTGAAAGTCTTATTACATATCCCCTAGAACTCTTCTTAAAGAGGTTTATGGGATGTGCACAGTGTCCATTTGAGAATAAAAGTACAGGTATTTAAATACAGGTACTTCCTCTAATCTGCAAACTTCAAAGATACTTTTTATTACTTCCAACAAGAGGCACTCAAAAAATAGGTATGTTATGATTGCTTTGTTTTTTTTCTTCGAAGGAAGGGAGGATAAACTCTTGTCAAGTCCTGCCAACCTATGCTCCTGGATATTATGCAGTCCTGCATATCAAAGGGAGGCACAGAACTAATCTTAACTTCTGCTACAGGTAGCCAATTCTACTGTGTATCCTTTAGCTGCCTCAAATTCATAATTTATTTCTCTTTAATGATGTGTAAAGATAAATATACAACTTTATTTATTTAGAGGTTTTAAAACCAAAGATACAAAAAAAAATCACTGGTTATTCTTTTTCGAATACTGCACAAGTAACTATAATAGAGCTTGACAGGCCATTAAAGTTGTTATCTACATTAATAGATTGTTCATTCGTAAGCATGGGAGGGGTGGGCAAGGACCGTACTATAGCTGTTGAATGCTGAACACACAAAAATTAAAAAACAAAACATTAGCCTGTAGGTTTTATCATCATGCATGACAGCCCCATCTATTCAGTTTTCTAATTTCCATTCAATACTGACAACAACCATTTCTTAACACCAGATGCGTGTACACAATAGACATCAGCGAAAACTTCCTAAAATAAAAGCACAAACATTTGTGATGGTGTAGTATATTTTGGAAAATTGACTAAAACACATTTAAGCTAAGCAGATTTTATCACTACAGATATTCAGAGAGAAGTATATTTTTATCATTAATTGTATACAAATGATAGAAATGGGTTAGACATCAATTCAAAAGTATCAATTTAAAAAGTGTACTACCTATTCTCTGCAATTTACTCATTGACTAAAAAAAAAAAAAATAGAAAATCAACTATAACTTATATTAATCTTTTTTATTAGATGCTCCATTTTCATTTAAATGTATTATGAAGATTTATCTTATTATGTCAGAACCCTGTTCAGACATGGCAAACCAGGCAACACATTGCAAAACCTCCACAGCTACCATATTCTGCAACTCAGTGGAAGCATGTCACTGGACCACCAGAGATCGTAATAGCCTGGCAGGGATCTAGGTAATGGGGCTGTAGTGGCTATGATGCTTGGGGTAACCCTTAAAGGGACACTGTAGTCACCAGAACAACTACAGTTTATTGAATTTGTTCTGGTGAGAAGAATCATTACCTTTAGGCTTTTTGCTGTTAACACTGTCTTTTCAGATAAAATGCTGTATTTACATTACCGCCTAGTGATAACTTCACTGGCCACTCCTCAAATAGCTGTTAGATATCGTTCCTGGGTCATGGCTGCCTAAAATGCATCCAAACAGTCATTTTCTCCTCCCTCTGCATGCAGACACTGAACTTTCCTCAGAGATTCACTGTTTCAATTCATCTCTATGAGGAGATGCGGATTGGCCAGGACTGTGTTTGAATCATGCTGGCTCTGCCCCTGATCTGCCTCTTTGTCAGTCTCAGCCAATCATATGGGGAAGCATTGTGATTGAATCAGGCTACCACTTCTGATGTCAGCAGACAGCTTGTTTTTCTGAGTCTAACAGCATGCAGAATTACAGCTTCAAGCTTGAATACAGTAAGATTTTTACTATATTTATGGAGGCATGAGGGACCCAGAGGGGGTGGATGGTGGTTTTAACACTATAGGGTCAGGAATACATGTTTGTGTTCCTGACCCTATAGTGATCCTTTAAAAACCAAAATACAAAAATTCTGTTTTTAGTTGGACTATTTTGGCCTTAAATTTGAAATTCACTTTGAATGCATGGTAATTCTTACCTTAGTGAAGAACTTTGAAAAAGTAACAGGGACATGCCAACATGATGAATAAGGCAATTTACAAACTCTTTCGAGAAGACAAGTTTGATGTGGGCAGCATGTTCGTGCTGGCAGTGCAGCAATTATGCAGACAGTAAAGAGATGTGACACAAAATGTATGACAGTTTTTTTATTGACAGTAATTACAGGTAGCCCATAACAAGCTAAACAGACTGTAATAAGCTAAACTGTGGACTATGGTTCTTGTTACACACAAAGGGAGTATTTATCAAGTGACATTCAGAACATGGAAATATAGAAACTAATTTGATTGTACTTTAGAAGTGGCATCTCTACTTGAGCAAAAACACTGAAAAATGCAAAGACAAGAGACACCAACGGTGTTCTTTTCAGATTATTACACAACTGCAATCATTTCTCAGGCATTCACTGAGGTCATGCTAATCTTTAAAACTAAAGTGCAAGCACAGCATAGACAAAGTGCTACTTTTGTTGGCAAATAAAATGTAACCTTGCAAGAACCGATATGTTTTATTACTGGGAGATGAAACAAGCCTCTTCCTGGATAGAAGAAAGACTTTACTTTAAATGATATGCTTCTTAATGATGTATCTAAATCCAAATACTATTATACTTTCTAAAAAAGACATTCCATTGTGATTTACAGTAGGGTTATACAGAATGAAGATTGACATACAATGAAGAACAAGGAGGATTTTGTTCAAGAAGACTGCCACAAAGGAGAATCTAGAACAGTTTTTTGGAGTTTGGTGGAGAAGAGAATCTTTAATTCCCATCCAAATTCCAGGGATTATTTTCATTTCATGCAGTCACAAACTCAGCAATGCATGTTTTTTGTTGTTGTTTTTCTAAAAATGAAACAGTTATAGAAACACAATTGCCTTCTATGCTGTTTAGAAGGCTACTCCATCGTATCTAGGCTCCTCTAGCAGTTATTTCACCATGATCTGACTTTTATTCTTGATTGATTTCTTCCCTTGTGAGACTATGGTTGGACTGGGTGGCCAACAGGATAGGCTCTGATTTCAAGCTACAATGTCTATGAATCACCATAACTATTATACAAAGCCCTGCAGCAGAATGCCTACTTCATGTAGCCAAGTACAATAATTCACATGCAAATTTGCAGTTATTTTAAGGATATCATAAGGGGAACTAGTAATGTTCCTGAAGACATTTTCATTATACATGTGTTCTACATCCACGTTTGTAATGACATTGTATTTGCCCTTCAAACTGAAGAAGAAGAAGAAGAAAAAAAAGCAACACACAACAAATCGTAAGTAATCAAAACTTAAACTACCAATAAAAAAATGGGGAGAAGAGTCCTGTCCGATAAGCTTTCATGTGTAATTGAAAATGCATGCTATATCTGTGTAATTAATAATAGTAATATTACAGTGCTCACCAAAAGCTGTAGCCATTGTGGCATCAAGTGTGGGCTGCCCTTCGCCAGTAGGTAGATCGATGCGGGTAAAATCACGGCTCTTGTCATTGTTGTACTTGACATTAAGGCTTGTTAGCTTGGAGGATTCAATGCGTAGAGTACAGCATGCATTGTATATATTCTGCCCATCTAGAGCCTGGAAAAGAGACAGATGAGAAAAGAAACAAGATTATGGGTGGATAATGCATACAACGTGAGTCACAGAAGTAGAAATGCAATGAATATGACTGTTTCAGTAACTGCAGCTCAATTATTGGTTTATTATTATTAGGATACATCAACCAACATTAGGTTTAAATGGAAGGATTCTTTGCACATCTTTTTCCCTCAAAGGAGGTTAAGATTATTATTACTATTTATATAGAAACAACATATTCCAGAGCACTTTACAATTATAGAATGAGGATATGTGACAAGTAATTTACATACAGAATGTAACAGAGGTGAATAGGTGAAGGTCCTGCTAAACCAGTTTGCAATCCATAAGATTATCTTTGAAGGGTACTTTTCAAACAATGTTTACAGTGGTGTTTTCCAATAATCTAATGCAGAAGTGGGGGCATCACTCAGAAGTACAGACTGAGCATGAGATGTTATTAAAATAATAATGTAAAATAAACCATTTGATGAGATAATGATAGCAAATATTTATCAACTGTTGATTTGGTTAAGTAAAATTATTAATTTTTTTTTTAAAGCACAAGAATGCGCACTAGGCGAAGTAGGAAAAGCATTCTATACAGACTCGCTCAGGAGCCTCGAAATGGACAATCACAGTTATTTGTGAGATGCAAGCCGTTTAATAATATATTCATTTCAAACCTTTTTTTCTATGTACAGCTCACTCAGACATCGCTTAAATGAGCACTATAAGGTCAGGAACACAAACATATATTTCTGACCCTATAGTGTTAAAGCCACCATCTAGCCCTCTCTTGCATCCCTAAATATAGTAAAATCGTACTTGTATTCAAGCCTGAAGCTGCTGGCTTTGCACTTGTCTGCCTCAGACCTACAAGCTGTCTGCTGATATAATCAGAAGCGTTATCCTGAGCCAATCACAATGCTTCCCTATAGGATTGGCTGAGACAGTCAAGGAGGTAGATCAGGGGCAGAGCCAGCACAATTTAAACACAGCCCTGGCCAATTAGAATCTCCTCATAGAGATAAATTGAATCAATGAATCTCTATGAGGAGCGTTCAGTATCTGCATGCAGAGGGTGGAGATACTGAATGTTGTGATGCACACTAGGCAAGACAGAGATGAGAAGCAGTTCTAGCAGCCATCTAAGGAGTGGCCAGTGAAGTTATCACTAGGCTGTAATGTAAATACTGCATTTTCTCTGAAAAGACAGTGTTTGCTGCAAAAAGCCTGAAGGTAATGATTCTACTCACCAGAACAAATGCAATAAGCTGTAATTGTTCTGGTGACTATAGTGTCCCTTTATTTGCTTTGCTGGCTAGTTCCTTATACCTCATTTTTATACATCCATATACTGGAGTTTATACATAAAGTTTTATTTTCAACCAAGCATCAAAAAGTGGAGCAGTCACTGTGGAACTTAATACAATTTTCAAGCTGATAGTTCCACTTTCAGAATTACTCTTTATGACTGACCCCTATTGTCACTTAACAGCCTCCGTAACCATATGTTAATTACATTTTCTAGACTTTACTCTGCTATCCTACCCGGAGTACAATCCAGCTCTCAATCACACTGTATGAATGTGTGTGATGCTGATCAAATAAATGCAAGATAAATTAAAACATACTGTTTATGAAGTTAGAGGAGTGAATTAGGTTAGTGCTGTGCAATTAATATGTCACTTCCCCACCAATCTTTGTGTCACAAAGAAGCTCCACTTTTAATATTTAACGTGGCTCTGTCACATATTGTTTTCTTTTTACGTGTCCTCCCTCGACTCTGAGTCTGTATTGTCTCCCCAATGTATATTTTATTTTTGCATTTTGCCCATTTTTACCATTTTAGGGTATTCTGTCAGTGATTAATGCATGCTTCTGTCATGTGCCGTTTTCCAGAGTCTCGCGCATGCTCACTGTTTGTCTAGATTTGCGATGCTCTGAGAAAGATGGATCATGAGAGTAGAGAAAGGATGGATGAATCTTGCAGGTGAGTCTTGTAGGAAAATGGGACTAATGGGACTTGACAATGGAAGTGGAGCTTGCCTTAAGCTTTATCCTTTGTCAAGGGTAAGAAAAATACACAAGACAAAATCGTCCCTTGTGTTCTATGTTTTTACCAGAAAAAGATCAGAAATTAAGAAAAGAATAGATTTAGAGAGTGGAAGAAAACCAAGAATCCAGCCAGAGGAGTTCTCCTGAGTTTGTGGCACCAGACATTAGTATAATCAAGGTTTTCTTTATCAATCAAATGTATATTTTAAAGATTTTTCTCATTTGCTTTTCACAATTAAATCTGCACTCCAACTATACATTATTTAATGTAACAGCTAACAGGGTCTGGGATTGCAAATTCTGAATATATTTCCTGACTTTCCTGTTTAATAAAAAGTGGAGATGTCATATCACTCTTCTATCCCCCAAACACAGAGAAATGCACATTTCCAAAACTATATATTACTGTGGATAACTGTGATTCACTGGTTCAAGTTTTCTTAGAAATTTTGAAAATCTAAATAGTGATCATTTATTCAAACTAAGGGATTGGAATTTACTTGGATAGGCTTGGGAGGCAAGATAGTGCTTTAGATGGAAATTGGCTTTAAGGAGGATATGGAAATTAGACTAGAATTGGTGAGAAAATATCGGAAACTGGAACAGAAATAATGCTGTGGAGATGGAGGTTTTTGTTGGGATAAGAGGTAAAGGCAGAAGATGGATTTAGGACAGTCATATTTTGTCAAAGGGTGTCAATGTCACTTGGGTAGCAGCAGCAATAGTTTTTGATTTTTTTCCCTTTTTTATTATGTAATTTTCATTTTTCACTTTCTAGACAAAAGTAAGAAAAACAAAGCAGAAAACCATAAAGGGTTCTTTGGAATGTAGGAAAAAACTACAAATTCAGTTTAAGGCAATGATGAACTCATGTCAGTATAACATTTCTGCAATAACGTAACATTTACAAGTATTCATGATAAAAGGAATTATTCTAGTCTTCTGATCCCGTTAATAATTTTCAGTGCAGAGATTTAGGTTATTTAGTTCTCTGAAGTAGAACAGCAGTGGCCTCATCAAATTAATTTCATTTCCAACCGTAGGGGTAGCACAGGTCAGTAGAAGTCACAAACATTCATCCCCTGCTATCTTTTCATTGTCAACACTTATTAAAAGTAACAGATGCTATATAACAAAAGATTCTTTATTTCTTTTCTATAAAGCAGTTTTTAGAAAAAATGGCTTTAAAAATGGCTTAGGAGGGTCGAAATGTATACCATACACTTATCCGTAGGTTTGCAATATACATACATACATACATACATATATATATATATATATATATATATATATATATATATATTTATATATTTTTTTTATCTTAAATCCCACATGCATGAGTACTTTCACATCTTGTTTTGCAGATCAGATTAGAATTTAAAGTTAGACACTGTTGGGATTATTTAACATTTGCTTTCATATTTTGAACAGTTTTGTGAGCATGCACCATTTTCTTATTTATAAAACGGTTACTCTACGGTTTATATATTGAAGAAGGGATTTTTCTGACTTTGCTGTAATGTGCCAATATAATCTGCCTTTATTTCACTTTTTATTTCCCTTGTTGATTTTACCATTGATTACATTCACAAAGGAAGTCAAATTATTTATAAATAAAGTAATAAATTCTAAGGATGAAAAGACAAATATTGAGGAATTTTTGAACCCCCCCCCCAAAAAAAAAGGGGGGGGGGGGGCAGGGCGAAATGTCAGAAAAAGCGCAATAAGGAACATTTTGATGCAAATTAGGCAATAAACAGGGCAAATACATGAAGTGCCAGAAAATGCACATTTATACGTAAACACCAAAATCCATTTCTTTGACAGTTTCTGTGACTGTCCAGGGACTTTGTCACAAAGAAGTTAAAGAGGCAATGTTACTTTGCAGGTTTCTATTTTATTTATACTCCATTTATGGATACAAGTACATTCCATATCATCAGGCCTATATGGGTTCAAGTACATGTACAATCATATTCGATGAAATGAAAACAAAAAAAGAATGAGTAAAAATCAATAACACAAATATAACCCCAGGTCAAAGAATATTTAGCCAATGCCTCAGATAATGAGATTAGCCCTAAGATAACAGAGGTCAATACTCTGACCGTCCTCTTTATGGCCAGACACCAATTGTAGAAATCATGTATATGTGGGTTAATATTTATAAGTTTTGCTTGTTTTTTTTTTTTTTTTATTTGGATGATATCACATTAATATCTTGTAATCCTATTCCTTTAATCAGTTGGTATCATAATGACCTTATTGCTATTGCTTTTATCCATACAATATGGAAATATCTGCGTATTATAGTCTGAGCAAAAGGAATGGGGGTAGGGTACAGTTTAATATTTGTATATTAATCCTTTTTTGTCCCACTATTTCCCCTTGTTTTTTTCTTTTTTACATTTACCTTCTTCTAGTTATATATTATCACGGAATCCACTTCGACACTGGTTTTTGGAGGGGCCTGTGTGCCAGCCTCCTACCCTGGGACTATGGGCCCTGTGATAACCCATTTTCAAAAGTACTGTTTCTGCCCTTTGAACTTTTAACTGGAACATATTCAAACATGTGGCGGTGACCATCTTAAATTGTCCAGCGGCGGTTTGTCGTCAAGTGTATGGAACTGTTTTAGGCATGGGGCCATGTGCACGGTGGGGCAAAAATAAGTCTTCCAGGAAATTCCTGAACCGATCTGGGTGATTTTTGGATATGTTGTTCACCCAGATCGGGGCTATCAGGGGATGTGACTGTGGGGATATGTTGTATTATGGGGTACTTTTTGGGATTTATAAAAATTTATGTTTTTTCTGTTTAGAGTTAATTGAGTTAGCCCATTGTCTTTGTTAATTGTATCACAGGCAGAGGGGAGGGATTGTGTGCTCTAAGTGGGGGTGTCGGACATTGTTGTATTGTACTGATTGGTTTGTGTCCTTTGTGTGCCTGTGTTCAATCAGGTCCAGGGGGTGTGCCTCTGGCCTGAGGAATTGTATATAAGCAAACCTGTACCAATAAATCCTCAGACTTGTTCTACCCTTAATGAAGTCTTGGCTCATGCTTGGGGGATTGCTATAATCACTATACTCGTTAGAGTGTGATTACTAGCTCTTGTAAGAGCTGTTCCTGCTCTCTGGATTACAAGAGAGGTCTACCTACTGGAAGCTGGATCCTGGTCTTGGGTCCAGATTGGGTGGAAGACAGCGAGACCCCAACCAAGCTGTGGCGGTTCGTGGGGTCTGTGGTGGTTATGGTGTCTAGTGGAGTGCTTGGAGCCCTCGGGAAGCACTAGGAGCATCAGTCAAACGGAGGTACCCAGTCGGGGTGCCAGGTGATCCGTTACATATATAAAGGTAGGGACTTCTTTTTCTAATGGGAAGCATGATCTCTGGCAATGGGCGTAGCTTAAAATTCAATCTCATTTGCATAGTTTATTTACCCACAATCCATCGGTCAAAGAAATCCCACAAAAGGGTAAACTGCGGACATTATGGACAGAGGAACAAAAACAAACAGTCTTGAGATCCAATGCAAGGAATATATCTATCTATCTATCTATCTATATCAAGGGAATATAAACATTAAGGCTCAAGAGACATAAGGAAAGAAAAACTGTAAAGAGGGAAAACAATTATACGAAAACTAATTATCGATTTAAATATGTTGCATATGATTGGCAGAATGTGTATGTTGCATATGACAGCATACAGGTTTTACTAATTATTATGTCTCAAAATATTCTACAGTTAATATATATATTACATTACTATAATAATAATGAATACTCTTATATTTGTCAATTATGATCCTAATCAAAGTCTTATCACTCTGCTTGCATTCATATGGCCTGCTAATGAATGAGGGTAAAACGAGACCATCTATAATTGGATCTGCTCTGTATGATGATAGCCATATGTTTGTACATAGCACACTTCACCATTTAGTAAGCCGGGTTACGTGCACCAACCAGCACAGCCTCAGTACACACCTGTAGGAGGGAGAACTCAGCCCAAATTGAGTGAGATTTGCAAACACAGCATGTACAAGTTGGGCAAAAATAATATTGGTTTACCAGAACATTGCAATATACAGAAAGCTATAATTCTAAGGACCTTCCTAACTGAATGAGATAATATGGTTTGTCAAAAAAATACATATAAATATATTTGAGCAGGCTTGAAATGGCGAAGCACATACAGATGCGTAATCAAAGGATTCTACTTGCTTGACTGACATTCCAGACGCTTTAAAAATATATAAAAATACAATAATGGAACACCACAATCACCACTACAGCTCTGGCAAATCCCAGGTAAGAAGTTAAACTGTTCAAACATGCTTAGACTTCTTACACACTCACAGTGGAGGGAAAACACAAGGGCCCTTCTCGCACCATAACCACTACAGTGCGATGTAGTGGCTAAGGTGCTCAGTGTGTTTCTTTAAAAATAATTCAAAACAAATGCAAAATAAATTTACATTGGACATCCCTGCATATGCTGCAAATGTCCACATTTTCTATTTCCCACTGTAAGTCAGATCAGAAAGCCAATCATGATGTTAACACTTACAGAGGCTCTTTCATCATCTGGGGTCTTTTGCCCGCTGAGTGTCCAGAGGGCAAGGTGGTGCAGGGGAAGGTGAGTTATACTTACCTGAACCTGTTCATCTTCAGCCGGCTTCAGCGACCAAGAGCCAACATCAGCACTTTATTCTCGTGCATGCACAGGATCCACCATAGACAGACTTTCATTAGTGGGGGCTGGGGGCTTGACAAGCTTTGACTAGGCATGACTGTATTTTTTTTCTGCTTCACAAAAAGGCAGAGTCAAAGTAGTCCCCATGGACCCCATTTTGACTTTGTATATCACTTGACTAGGTTTTTAGTTTAAATATACACATTTACTGTGTTGTAATTTATTAAGATTTTTTGGGGGGGAGGTGTAGTTCAACAAATGCAGGAAAGTTAATGTGATTTTTTTTTTTCAAAATAAGTTTTTAGGCATTTTTAAATTTATTGTATATTTTCTCTGCATGAATTTCAATGCATAAGAATGCATCTGTTCCAGTCTGGACTTAAAAGGATAACGCAATTCATATCAACCATGCTTTCTAAGTTTGTTGTATTTTAATTAATGCTTTTAGTAGGGGATTTGCCCCGTGTTTCCTTTGAAAAATCAGCTATACCCTCATGCACCATTAACTTCTATTAATGGAAATAGTGGATTACAGAGCTAGATAAACACTAATTAGTATTTGTTAGTTCAATCGTGTAATTCTTTCCAACTGGTGTTGCATTTCAACTAGTAGTTGAGTTTCCTGGGTATATAAAGGCCATGTTACAGGCTGCTGGGAAAAATCCTTATCACGCCTTTGCCAGCTATCAACCCAGCCATACTAGAGAATACAGCCTGGCCTCATTAGAGGCAATCAAAGGCAAGGGTCACCAGATACCCATCTATTTTATTCCAGTCTGGAATCTATAGCATTTAAAATGATCTTAACTTACACCAGGGCTCTTTTCAAAATTGAGTTTTTTCTACAACCTACCTAAAATCATTTCTGTGATGTTAATCTGTGACTTTGACACAGTGTTTTAGAAATGTGGTTAGCAGAGTCTTTAAGATATTTAAAGCACATTATATGATTCGGTTTGTATCTCTCTCTACCCACCTCTATTTCTTTGTATCGATCTAGATAGAAAGATGCATAGATTGAAATGATACAGGGTTATTCACTACAGTGAAAATTCAAGGTGAATTCAAAGTAAATAATAGATAACTTTATAGCACAATATAGGTGTGGCGGGACGGCTGCCTGTCCGTGAATTTCCTTTCGGATATTATGTGTGTTTCATTCCCCTCACGGACCACTCAGATACCTTATTTAGAATGTTAGAACCTTCACACCTCGCAACATATGTGTCAAAACCTCAAACTGCAAAGGGAAACAATTAATGAGTGCTTCTCTGGGTGTACGTTATTCGTAAAGTCGAACGCCACTAGGAGGAGCATTCGTGGATTGTTTCCCACCTCGTTCGTATCCCAAACGAGGGCCTCCCCGGTGGCCCATTAAAACGTTCACTCCAATTAATCACACTCGTAACCTAGCTGTGAAACTGCAAGCAAAGTAATTATTGAAAGCTTCCACGGGTGGCTGCTGTTTGTAAAGACGAGCACCGGCCAGTGGGAACATTCATACTCCAAAAGGAGGCGCTTCCCTTGTATGGGTTTCATACTAGGACCTCGCGAACGAAGACTATTGATCGAGGGACCGTGGCGAGGGTCCTTGAGATTGGTGTGGGCACTCTTGGCGAGTTTGGCGGCTCTCATGAGCCTGAGGGACAAAAAGACTAGCTCTTTTCCCGCGGGAAGGCTTTGCTGTGCCTGGGAGACAGAGGAACAATCCCTTTTTCCCGCGCCTAGACTCCCAGGCACAGAGGTTCTTGGGAAGAAGACCCCTGGCGGTTGGTGTGGGGAACCCTCGGGATTTAGTGGCAGGCTTCAAGGACAAAGGGAACAAAGTCCCTTCCCGCGCTGGGACCCCCAAGGAGGGGGGAAGAATCTGGGGGTGGGACCTTGTATGTGTGTGTGTGGTCAACCCCTTGCACAGGGTTATGTATAAAAGCTGCATGTGGCCAATAAAGTGGTTGTTGTACCTCCAGGACGGTGTGTCATCCAGTTACTGGGGAAAGATGGGTCTCTCTGTATTTTAAATAGTTCCTGATCGGCTGAGGGAAGGGAATTAGTGGAGGTAACCGGTCGGGTTACCCATGGTACGCTACAAATGGCACCCAGACCACTTCAGCTCATTGAAGTGATCTAAGTGCACTATCCCTTTCCCCTTAACCCTGCAATGGTAATTATTGCGGTTTCTACAAACTGCAATAATTACCATGCAGGGTTAAGATTGCCTGTAGTGGCTGTCAGACAGCCACTAGAGGCACTTTTAGGTGGTTAGGCACATTTTGGTCGCCTTACGCTCTGCATCATTGCAGCAATCCTTTCCTCCGCACATGCGTATAAGCACCCCCACCTCTCCACCTCCCATTTTATTCCTAACACTATAGTATTACTTTAAATATTCTCTAAATCAGCTATTCTGGTCTTAAATTTAAAATGTATTTTTAATTCAGATGGGTGGGTGAGACAAGTACATATACTGGTTTTATTCAATACTTCTATTGAGTCAGTCTTTTTTCTTTTCTTTTGTGACTAACCAGAGATAGTTTGAAATAAACCATACACTCTTAATTGTGTTTAGACCACCAGTGCTTCATGTGGTTTTATTTCCAGTTATGCCCTTAAGCAATAAGTGGGTGTAGAGGAAAGGATTAATGTACAGGGAAAATCATCTTTATGACAGTCACAAATGGGTCAGTATGTGTTCCGGCAGGATAATGACTGACAAAGTAGCACTTAAACGTGTTGTGCCCATTAGTCTTTTTAAAATGACGCTTCCCTGATGAGAGCCAGATGGGAGTGTGATCAGAGCACAGACTCTTAAGATTTATGTGTTCTATTTGACAACTTTCAGAAAAATGCTTTTCATCTATATTCACGTTCTTCCCTAGATTAGCGTTTTGATTGTTACAAAAACCAAATAGTTGATCATTTGCTTTAGCTTTGATTTAAGGCATAATGGGACACGGTTAGCTTACGAATGTAAAAATACATTTCTGTTGTTCTATTAATTTTACTAGTTGTGCCAACTATCAATGCAAACTCCATTTTGCCAATAAGAAACTCCATATTTGTGACTATGTGCCTGTCATATATGCTATGCTGTATTAATGTGTCAAAAGAGAATTGTTGAAATAAAGTACTTGTTCTAGCTAGTATTAGTCAGTATTCATAACTACTGTGCTATATACATGGGGTTACTTTGATATCTGAGACCTTCATTTAAGCTGAAAATTAGAACCAATTGTGTTAATAAATCAGTAATTCTGCATTTTTCGTGGTTATTTATTATCTTTGTTCATGATTTAGAACCCACTCTTCTACACCGATTGGTTTGGAAGAGTTATATTGTAAAATAAAGAAACAGATCAACTCTTAAAGGGTTAACCTTTGTTTGCAATACTTAGTCTGGCTTTATTTTATTCTCTACTGTTTACAAACCTATCTGGATTGGAATCACACCACCAGAACATTAAGGATTTCTTAGTAGTTTCTCAGAAAACAGTCATGTGTAAAGCAAAGCAAGGCAGAGTAACAGGATATCATCTGTCATTGCAGCAAATACATGGTGTGTCCAACACATTGAGCAGGGCTGGGTAAAAGCAGCCTTCTGTTTGATGTATCCCATAGTACTTAACCAGGCAACAGGAAGGAAAGCAAAACTGACATTTTAAGACCGCTAAAGTAGTCGAGTCTGTGTTAATTTTATACCACCAGAGGGGTTAACGGTGATTTGGAGCAGTGATTTTGTGATTGCACAGGCTAGGTTTTTTTTCATTAAATTCAGAACTGCATATATATTGTAAATAAAAGCCATATGGCAAAATTGTAATGAAGCAAATTGGAATTTCTTACCAAAGGATTTTTGATTTCGGAGCTGCACTTTAAAAATCAAAGGCTGGTACAATGTTTAGTAAGTGATACCTTGGTCCAATAGAGTATTGTTTATCCATATCGCCCAAAATTTCAGAGGGACACTTCAATTTTAGGGGTGTCAGTGGTGGTATGGCCAGGAGCAGGTCTGTTCTGAGAAATTTTAGGTGACTTACTAATACATTTTGCAACTAAAATGTAATTTAGAACAAGAACACTGTATCTTACTTACACAGACTGATTTCTAAGACACATTACTGTGAGTATTACAGTAATGTGTGGAGCTCTCCTGTACAACCATACAAACCAATAATATGGAGCTCCTATAAAAGAGGGACATTTGGATAGAAATCAAGGACATAGGGACTATGCCACAGAACTAGGGACACTTGGCAAGTATGGGCTAGGTTTTGCTAGTTTGGAAATCAGTGGATATGATGGTGTTTTATTACAGTGTGACATGACATGCTTCCTTGATAAAGGCAATTTTGCAGAAACATTGGGGGCTTTTTGTTTGATTTTCTCCCTCTTCTCACTTTTTCTGATATTGGTTCTTTTTGATGGTATGTATTATTTGTTGGATAGCTTTTTTCAGGCATCCATACGACTCTGTATCTGTAATACGATTCTTGTCTTTTGCCAGCTATTTTTCATGTATGCATGTGATTATGGTACATTTTGTATATTTCTTGTACTATTATTGTGACATTTATGCTATGAACTTTTGGCATGCATCTTTGGATACTGGTTAGTTTGGACCGAATTAATAAAGTTTTTTTTACCTTTATGGTTGTGCTCCTCATTCAGTTATATTTGTAGATTTTTTTAGGTCCTTGGAGAAATAGGGCCTTTGACTGAGCACCCTGTTTTGGCTATTTTGTTTCTTGTTATTTTAAGCTTATGTTATTTGATTAGTGTTCGCACCTTTTTCTAATTCAAGGAACATATGAACCAACATGTCCACGGATTTCCAATCTACCTACTGGTGAAGTGTGCATATGTATTTGTAGGTCAGCAGAGCATTGTGACATTTACACTCTTCTAAAACACAGACAGTGTCGCGGTGTTAACCTTGCTAATGTTGTAATATGAGAATGTGCCGCTTTTTATAGTTCAAAGGGCTTCTGTCTTTGCTCTTTCATGGTCTGACAAAAAGTTTTATGATGACTATTAATTCTGTGAGCACCATCAGAGCTGGCAACACCGCACAACTCCATATAACCCACACTTTTCAGGCAGTCAATGGGCAATCTAACAGATTATAGTCCATCACAAGGTTTGGATGGGATTGCGAACATAACACTGAAAAGTGCCAGACATTTTTATTGAGCAAGAGACCACATGTTAATAAATAAATAAAATACTGCTGATGCAATGATCTAGCATGCAAAGAATTGTTTAGGGTCTGTACATTGACACCCAATAAAGGAGCTTTGCTAGAACTTTTGATCATCTTCCACAAATACACTGTAGTGCAAACACAGAAGGACTAGAGAGGTCACCCTGTCAAATGTCATATTCATTGTCATTGCTTGTGGAAAGCTCTGGCTACCAATGGCCAGCAATAAATGTTTCAATTTTCATACTTTTGGCACTGGTTATGAACGCGTGTAAGGGGACTTGTGTCAATAAAGCTGTGGAACTACTCAGGGAAGAGCCTCCTAGATGCCCCATAAGGGAGTGAACAAAAGCATGGTGCGCCACTCAGGGCTATTGTTGTAGTTCGTAGTGATAGCCCAGGAAACATATATAATAAAAGCATGCTGTAAGGGTCACTTCTTTAAGTGTAATATGTAAATCGCAATTAAATCTCTCCATTGAGTTCAGTTGCTCGACAGGGCCGTGAAGTGATATTGGATGGGCTGAACACAATCATTTTGTGCAGTATGTTTATTGGGGGCTTTTCTCTGTAGTCCTCAGAAGCAGGACACCAGAAAACAAATATGGGATTGTGAGACTGGAACTCATATTCAGGACTGTTTGGTGCGGAGAAGGGATACATTATTTTTTATTTGATTAGGAACAAATAGGTCCCGGTCTTTACAGGAAGTAGTGGTTTTTGAGACAGTGAGTAAGAGTGAGACATGGGTTAAAACCACCATCTCAATTCACATGGTTTCCCGACTGGATCAAAACATGAAGTTGCCAAACAGAAAACACACGTGCTTCCATTTTTTATCCTTCTGACTCTGCCTACAGCTGTTGAAGATATAGGATCTAAGCTGCAGTAATATCACTAATACTCAAAACAAGCAACTTATCAAGATGGTATCCTGAGATAGCAATGTATACATTTCATTCAGAAACCATTTATCATGTTTAAACATTACTTCCCATTAATGACTGATTGATATCAAATAAACAGCGATATGTGAATTCTATACATTGTCATAGGGCATTTTCATGCACTGCCCAACAGCATATAGAAGAACCTGTATGCCAACATGGCTTTTTCCTATGGGAAAGCATTGGATTGGCTGAAATCAAATTCTGATGATGTCAGCGAGGAGGATCTGGATGGGGCCAGCGCCTGCGTACCTTGGCGGCTTTGCAAATAAGGTATTTTCTATTATCTTTTAATGAGGTTAAGGGGGTGGGCAAGCCACCAAAATTGTGTTTTAGGAATACATGTTTGCATTGCTGACCCTATAGTGTTCCTTTAACGATGATATGTCAAATGTCAATGTAGAGAATGAAAGATTTGTTCATTAAACTATGAATTCATAACCTGTCACATTTGTACCAAGACAGCCAGCATGGAAAAGCAAGGAAGTTGGACAGTATATATCCACATGATTCAGTTCACTACAATAAGTTCCACAGACTACTGTATGAAATCAATATTTATTCTCTCATGAGACCATATGTGTTGAATTGATATTACAGTCATGTGAAAGGTTAAAAAGTCTAGCTAATTAATTCAGTTTGATGTATCTATTTATGTTAACATCTGGCCTATCAGGTGTTCCCTCTTTAAAATCTTAACAAAGATTTTTCTTGTTTGTTCTTCCAGACAGAGCTTAATGCAAATCCTATTTGCACATTCCTTCATTTAGTATTTCATCATATAGCCCTTAGTTTGCTACACTCTAACCCTGGCCTGCATTGTGATGTCATGTGCTGTGTGGTGATGTTGTTGAGTATCTGTATGACCTGGTGATTGGTGTGCAAGACAAGGTCATGAGACAAAACAATTATCTGCGCAGCCTCAACCATCATAGCGTTCGCAGCGACAGCTCTTAGGCATGCAGGTATTTCCTATACTATCGTGGGCAGGACTTTAGAATAGAAAGCTACTGGACGTTATGCTGTACCATGGGCCTTTCCCAAGACTTTAGCAGCAGCCATGCCACACTCCGTACAGTAGAGATAAAAAGGTATAGCATTATTAGACAGACCTAGTGCAGGAGCATTCCACAGGCCTATTTTGATTTGCTGGAAAGCTTCTTCAGCAGTAGAAGTCCACAAAATCCTATCTGGCATGTAAGGCAGAGAAAATTCTCTTAATATGTGGTCCCAGTGTGAGCAGTCTGGTATCCACTGGCAGTAATAGTTCACCATGCCAAGAAAGGAGAGGAGGAGGCTGTCTTGGTCTTGAGTCCCATTCTGGAGCAAGGACCCATTCGCAGCGGTGGAGCATAAAGTCAAGTTACCTAACTTTAGGCTGGCAAAATTGTAGTTTGTTTGGTAAAACCTTGTGACCCATGTCACACAAATTATGCAGCAGGCTGAGAGTATCAGTCACACATGCAAACTCTGTAGAGCTGCAGATGAGCAAGTTATCTACGTACTGGAGCAGGACAGAGCCACTTACTGGTTGCCATGGTTCCAGACTTTTACGTTCCACAGTAAAGAATGCTGTGGGGGAGTCATAGTAGCCTTGTGGGAGCCTATTCCAAGTGTACTGGCTACCCTTCTATGTAAAGGCAAACAATGGTCTGGAGTAAGAGTGCACTGGGATGCTAAAAAATGCACTGCACAAATCTATGACACTCAAGTGAGTGGAGGTGGCTGGTTTAGCTGAGAGAATGGAGTTCACATCTGGGACTACCAGAGACAGGGGCTGTACCTGCGCATTGAAGAAACGGTACTCACTCTTATGTTGCTTGGGGACTGGATTTATCAGGGAGTTCCAAGAAAAAAATGGTGGAAGAAATTATTTCATTCTGTAGCAACTCTGCAACAACAGAGGCTATACGTAGCTCCTTTTCCCTGGATAGTGGGTACTATTTGACAAAAACAGGTGTGCAATCAATAAATCCTGGATCCGTGGATGAGATGGCTGCTAGATGCTGGGGCAAGGTGTCAAGCGGGTCTGGCAGTGTGATGGATGTCTGGCGGCAGACAGGGTCGACTGGGAAGAATGTGTGTTCGTAATGCAACATTGGTCTTCCATTCTTCCGCCATTCAATTAATCCCTTATCTGTCACAAGGTATATAGTATCTCTCTAGACCCAGATACAGACCTGATACAGCGAGCATGTCTTCACCTTCAAAGTCAGAAGGGAAAACAAGTCTTGTCTCATTGGAAATCATGAGTGGAGATTCAAAAATCCACTGAATTGTTTGTGGTACCGCTGTGATAACTGTTACCAAGGAATTCAAAAGACATTGGAGGGGGGCAGGTACAGACATTTCACCACATCCGTGTCATCTGCCTCAACAACCATGTTCAGCAACATAGCATAGTCCTTTCCAGATAGCAACAGCTAAATTAGAGTATAAAATGCATGATTTTGGACAGTATTGCACACAAGTGTTCCGAGATAAAATGTATAATCTGACAAATGTGATATATTTTGAACTTCAACAAACTGCCATCCTGCAATCTGGACACATTAATTTAAAAATATTCTCCTGCCCAACCCCCAAAATAAATCAATTAATTAATGTAAACTGTTATTTTGAATTAAACAATCCAGCAAATTAAAATCACTTTTATTTTGTGTGCACAGTCTTTATTCTACACAGCTAGACAAGAAACATTGAACCTTAATTAGGCAAACATTTAATATTTACTCAAATGAAGCTATAAAACCAATCTATGCATCAGCACTACAGCTTTTGTTAGACTTGCTCTAAACTTAATAGCTATTCCAAAGGTTACGCTTGTGGTTAGTAATTGAATGTGCGAATTAAAAGCACTTGATATTTCTTTATATTTCATATTATTCAAATTATTGTTTTCATGTGTTCATTGACCCATAGTTTATCTTTGGTACATGTGACTCCCCCTTGGATACATTTGAAGTTGTCGGGCAGTGCTTCAGTACAATCAAATTTCATAGGTTTACAAAATAAAACAGAAAAAAAGGTGGATGAATAACATATTAACAAAAATCTGTAACTGGTGGTAGTCCATTGAATGAAGTAAAATGAATACTGAAGTAATAATCTAAATTTAAACAATACAATTTATAACACGTATAAGCAAATTTGCCTCGAGATAACCAGGATACGGAACACAGAATTATTTGTGCATACACACAAATTATATTTTTTATAAAAATAGCTACTAGACTATCATTGGCTGTAAATCTGTGTCCATCTATAAACTGTGCTAACCAAATCACTACTAACTATATTGATGGACCATCTGGTCCCCTAAGCCGGGTACATTTCTCGCCAAACCACCACCACCTCTCAAAAGACTATAAACACTATGGACTATCCTTCCATGCCCAGTGCCCCTTCCGGGTTTATTAAAGCCGCATTTCATCAGCCAGGGGGCCGCTGAGACACGGCATGCCTGACCGGGAGCAACCCTAAACCATCATGGAACTCCAAAGCAGATCGCAGTGTCACTGCGATCCACTTAAACTTTACCCAGAGTGCTCTCCGTCCAAGAACCATAAATCAGGGCTCTTTTTGGAGGGTTAGCAGAGGGGGTGGAGAGGCATCGAATAACACCAAGAACTTGGGAGTGCTCCATGTACCCACGGAAAGTGCTGTGGTTTTGGGGTGACCGTGGAACTCTACCCAGCACTCTGGAACTCTGCGCCAGGAGGCTAGCTGCGTACTGCTGAACTTTTGGCTTCCACCAAATTCGGGCTAACCATATCCAATCTGGGCGCTTTTTGGACAGCATGGGCGCCCCAGAGAGTCCTTTACGGGGATTTATGACATGTTGGGCTACAGACTTCGTAAGAGAACTAATCACTCTAGACTGTAGACACTACGGGAAGGGACAAACTAGGCGGTAGTAACCCAACTGCTTGTGGGTATGCTGCCACGAAAATATATATATATATATATATATATATATATATATATATATATATATATATATATATATATATATATATATATATATATATATATATATATATATCTCTCCAAGAGGGCTGCACTCACCTAAACATGCATACATTATAGGGTGCTGCTGGGGCCAAAATATACAAAATACAGAATCCAGCGCACTCGCTTATTCGCTAAACAATGATTTCAGATTGTAAAAACACCTCACCTAGGCAAAAAATAATGGGGGTTTAGTTACATTATATGATCATATATTGCATAAGCCTGTCACAAAAAAAGGTTAGATAGCGTCCACGGGAATCGATCCTTCAAGTGGATTATTCAGCAATGCTTGATATGGAAATGTCAATGTACCCCATTCTTGGCAGGTCCTACTCTAGCAGCCTAATGTTTGCTCTTATGAGATTAATCCACTTATTTGGGAAATACTTCCTTTACTGGGACTCTCTGCAAGTCAAGGCTAAATAGGGTCCTGGAATGAGGCACCTGTGACAGGGAGGGGTGCAAAACCAAGGAGTTGGCCTGGACTCCAAAATATATAAATGAAACCAAGAGGGCTGCACTCAGCTGAACATGCATACATTATAGCAGAGAGTCCCAGGAGGAAGTATTTCCCAAGTAAGTGGATTAATCTCATAAGAGCGGGCATTAGGCTGCTAGAGTAGGGCCTGCCAAGAATAGGGTACATTGACGTTGTGGCAGGCTTATGCAATATATGATCGTATAATGATCATATAATGTAACCCATTATATTTTGCCTAGGTGAGGTGTTTTAAAAAGGAAACTAATACAATCTGTAAGATTTGAAATCATTGTTTAGTGAATATGTATGTTATATATAGATACACACACACACACACACACACACACACACACACATTTTTTTAACAGAATTAAATGAACTGTAAAAAATACACAAGGTCACCCACTGAGACTTAAGATTTTACTAACAGCAGCAAAAGGGTCTCTTTACAGGGTCTCTTTACAGTAACAATTAAAATTGATTCAACTGCCTTGAAAGCTAGTCCTATATAATTTAGAAGGAGCCTTTAGTAATTCTCTAGAAAATAGATACTTTTTAGGAAAAGCAGGATTTGGCCTAGAATAGTTAAAAATACATTAATAGCACTATTAACATTTAAAACACTGTTGATGATCTAACTTTTTTATAGAAATGCATTAAACAAGGATTATGTCAAACATAGAAACAAATCAAAACATGTGTTTATCCATATATGCTTCTGAATACAGGGAGTGCAGAATTATTAGGCAAGTTGTATTTTTGAGGATTAATTTTATTATTGAACAACAACCATGTTCTCAATGAACCCAAAAAACTCATTAATATCAAAGCTGAATATTTTTGGAAGTAGTTTTAGTTTGTTTTTAGTTATAGCTATGTTAGGGGGATATCTGTGTGTGCAGGTGACTATTACTGTGCATAATTATTAGGCAACTTAACAAAAAACAAATATATACCCATTTCAATTATTTATTATTACCAGTGAAACCAATATAACATCTCAACATTCACAAATATACATTTCTGACATTCAAAAACAAAACAAAAACAAATCAGTGACCAATATAGCCACCTTTCTTTGCAAGGACACTCAAAAGCCTGCCATCCATGGATTCTGTCAGTGTTTTGATCTGTTCACCATCAACATTGCGTGCAGCAGCAACCACAGCCTCCCAGACACTGTTCAGAGAGGTGTACTGTTTTCCTCCTTGTAAATCTCACATTTGATGATGGACCACAGGTTCTCAATGGGGTTCAGATCAGGTGAACAAGGAGGCCATGTCATTAGATTTTCTTCTTTTATACCCTTTCTTGCCAGCCACGCTGTGGAGTACTTGGACGCGTGTGATGGAGCATTGTCCTGCATGAAAATCATGTTTTTCTTGAAGGATGCAGACTTCTTCCTGTACCACTGCTTGAAGAAGGTGTCTTCCAGGAACTGGCAGTAGGACTGGGAGTTGAGCTTGACTCCATCCTCAACCCGAAAAGGCCCCACAAGCTCATCTTTGATGATACCAGCCCAAACCAGTACTCCACCTCCACCTTGCTGGCGTCTGAGTCGGACTGGAGCTCTCTGCCCTTTACCAATCCAGCCACGGGCCCATCCATCTGGCCCATCAAGACTCACTCTCATTTCATCAGTCCATAAACCTTAGAAAAATCAGTCTTGAGATATTTCTTGGCCCAGTCTTGACGTTTCAGCTTGTGTGTCTTGTTCAGTGGTGGTCGTCTTTCAGCCTTTCTTACCTTGGCCATGTCTCTGAGTATTGCACACCTTGTGCTTTTGGGCACTCCAGTGATGTTGCAGCTCTGAAATATGGCCAAACTGGTGGCAAGTGGCATCGTGGCAGCTGCACGCTTGACTTTTCTCAGTTCATGGGCAGTTATTTTGGGCCTTGGTTTTTCCACACGCTTCTTGCGACCCTGTTGACTATTTTGAATGAAACGCTTGATTGTTCGATGATCACGCTTCAGAAGCTTTGCAATTTTAAGAGTGCTGCATCCCTCTGCAAGATATCTCACTATTTTTGACTTTTCTGAGCCTGTCAAGTCCTTCTTTTGACCCATTTTGCCAAAGGAAAGGAAGTTGCCTAATAATTATGCACACCTGATATAGGGTGTTGATGTCATTAGACCACACCCCTTCTCATTACAGAGATGCACATCACCTAATATGCTTAATTGGTAGTAGGCTTTCGAGCCTATACAGCTTGGAGTAAGACAACATGCATAAAGAGGATGATGTGGTCAAAATACTCATTTGCCTAATAATTCTGCACTCCCTGTATGGAGATTAATCAATCTGCCAATTTGGAAAAAGGTTTCAATTTGGAGTTGTTTTTTTCGTGTCAACAGGACAGGGAATGGGTAACATGTTTAATCTGATGGATTGTAGTCAAAATTTAAATTTAATTACCATGTTAGATTTTTTTCAAAGGTAGAACTGTATTAATAGGAACTATGTGGCAACAGTAAGCCACCATAGACCTCTACTTGCTGGTCTGTAATAAAACTGAAAGCAACATTAAATCATGTTGCACAGGAAGGCTACTGCCTCTGAACTAATTAAAACAGTGGTCTGGAGAATTTCAATGTATTTCTGTTATTAGTTTTATTCTGCACCATTAACAATGGAATCCCTGACTCCAATTTAGCTACAGATGTTATATATTTGTTTAGACACATAAAGCGTAACTGTTGCTTTCCTCATGGTGTCCCATAGTCTAATAGACAGACAGAATGAGTAGATGACCCAAACACATGCACTGTTTACAGTTGGTGGTCATTTTGGTAGCACTAGTTTGACATATGCTTGTTTTGTTTTTTTATATACTACAAATAAAGGTTTGTTTGAGCAGGACCATAATCACCCTCTGTTCCGGTGTGTCCAACTCATGTATATATATTTTTTGTGCCTCTACAATGTATTATTTTGTGTTTAAAGAACTAAGTATAATAAAGATAATTTTTCCGCACACAACTACGTTGAGGTTTTCTTTGTTTGTTTTTTGTTTTTTTTACATCATTTGCATTTCCTGTCTTAAGTGACAACATAATAGTTTAACCCTCTTAAGGGCACATGGCATGTGCAGGGCCGGACTGGCCCACCGGGATACCGGAAAATTTCCCGGTGGGCCGCGGCACCTGGGGGGCCGGAGAGAGAGAGGGAGCCCTGCTCCCTATATTTTAATAATATCGCGGGCGCCGGCCGCATGTCGGTGCCGCTGGGTGGCTGGTCCGGCGGTGCACTCTGAGGTGATTACTCACCTTGCGGCCGGCGGCCCCGTCAGGATCAGTGAGTGTGCCGGGCGGCCGCCTAAGCGATCCAGCGGCACACTCACTGATACTGACAGCCATGCGGCTGTCAGCACAGGAGGTCTGAGGGAGGGGGCGGAGCTAGCTAGTAGCTACCATGCTCCCTCGCGGTTCCCAGAATTCCCAGCATCTACACATCATAGAGTAGGGATTACTCTATGATGTGTAGATGCTGGGAATTATGGGAACCGCGAGGGAGCATGGTAGCTACTAGCTAGCTCCGCCCCCTCCCTCAGTCCTCCTGTGACAAGGTAAGCAGGCACACAGAAGGGGAAGGAGGGGGGGGGGGAGACAAAAAGAGGGAAAGGGGGGGGAGACAAATAGAGGGGAAGGAGGGAGACAAAGAGGGGACAAATGGGGAATGGGGGAGACAAATAGAGGGGAAGGGGGAGACAAATAGAGGGGAATGGGGGGAGACAAATAGAGGGGAATGGGGGGACAAATAGAGGGGTAATAGAGAGACACCAGGGAAGGGGGGACAAAGAGACAGAGGGGTAATAGGAGGTTGGGGGGACAAAGAGAGGGGTAATAGAGAGACACAGGAGAAGGGGGGACACAGAGACAGAGGGGTAAGAGAGAGACACAGGGGAGCTGGGGAAGAGAGACACGGGGAGGAGTTGGGGAAGAGAGACACACAGAAGATTTGTTGGGGGGGACAAAGAGACATGCAGTAGGGAAGGGGAACAAAGTGGCACAAGATTTGTGGGAGGCAACGCTGGGCTGGGGAAAAAGAGACAGAGAGTGACTGGGAGAAGAGAAAGAGGCACACAGAGTCTGGAGTTAGAAAGAGACACACATGAGATTTGGAAGGGGAGAAAGAGACAAAGTGGCTGGGGCCAAGAACAACACAAAAGGGGCTGGGGGAAAGAGAAATACAGAGGCTGGAGAAGGGTAAAAAGAAACACACAGGGACTGAGATGAAGTAAAAGATGCACAAGGGTCGCTGTAAGAGAAAAAAAGGAGACAAGATACACTAAACGAGGTAAAGGTAATAGACGTAAATTGATGTGATCCTGACAGTAATACACACACATATATATATATATATATATATATATATATATATATATATATGTGCATGTATATTGATGTGTGTATTAGTAACATATAATTATGCCTATAATATTTACACATATAGTAATATACATTTATTTATGCATAATACACACATAAATGTCATTAAATATGTCTATATATATATATATATATATATATATATATATATATATATATATAATGAGCACGTATTGGCCCTGTCTTGTTGCTAGTTGCATACTCATGCACAATAACATATTCAAAGTGAAGAGCGCACCCATAGAACTTCAAAATAAACAAGATCACTTCATTTTTTAGTTGTGCAACTGCAGACATTCAGCATTTCAGTACCATTACTAAAATGTCCTTAATAGGCCAAAGTAGTTGTACTGAAACATTACATGCAAATGTACGTCTACTTAAAATAAAGGCGCTCTTTTGTTTATTTTGAAGCCCTATATGCGTTCCTTCGTTGGAGTAAGAGTTTTCAATTTCAAGTTATTTTTTCACCCTCTTTATCAGCACACTATGCTGGCGCGATGCATTATTGGGCTGGTAAAGAATTTTTTTCCAGGGCTGATTTTAGGTCCCAGTCCGGCCCTGGGCACGTGTGACATGTCATGATTTCCTTGTATTCCAGAAGTTTGGTCCTTAAGGGGTTAAACAAGACAGTTTAACTTATACCCTCTCACAACAAAAGTAATTTAAAACAACTTAAATTACATATATAAAGTGTTTTTAACTTCTCTTATAAGTCCTGTCACATGGTAAAATATAAGCTATACTTTTGTACAAAACAAAATGTAAAAAATAAATCTCAGAGCGGAGTAGAAAGGAGCATATTACATATGTCATATGTGCTAAACAAACTACATTACAACATTGACACTCCTGGAGGAGATTATATTCTTCTCACACTGCTATGAGAATATTTTAAGAATCAAAATATTATTAATGCCTGGACAATAGAAGACCAGTGAAATAAAGTAAATGTTTCAATCTTATCTTCTTCAATAAATGTCTATTTTTCATATTACATGGCTCGATACTTTCAGGACAGATCTCGTATTTGTTTACCCATGACAAAATAGAGCCGTTTTGTTATCTAAATACCAGTAGCTTTGTTTCCCACTTCATAGAATATTTTAGATGTCAACCTCAGTTCACAATGGGGCCACTGAAATAAATTCTGCTCTTGCCCTATTGTTACATCTACCCCAGTAGTAGGTGCAGAGGGAATAGTTACTGCTGCATATTAATTGCAATTTGTTTTTCTTTAACTGTACAAGAGAACAATCACGCATATTTTCCTATTGTGACAAATTGAGTAATGGTTTGCTTCAATGTCAAGACATCCAAAATATGAATGAGAGGAGATAGAAAAACCTTGCTTTCCTCTTGCTTATTTTCCCCCTATTCTATTCAACCTTTGATGCACAATGTTCATCACTGATTTTTATTGTGAATATATAGTCACAGTGAAAAATGTAATATATAGAATACTCTCTGCCCTACCCTCAGTCATGTGATAGATAATCTGTTACTACGCCTCACTCTCTAGTCTTCCTGAGATTTTAATCTCACCATTACCCAATGCTCCTGATGACTTGACTTTCCAACTCCCTATTCCCCTTTTTAATATTTAATAATATCCCATGTACCTGAAATACTATTTTGCCAAAGTAATGGTGCTAACACCATCCAATTGCAACAAAATGGGAAAATGATCATTTGTAAGACTACATGTACTATATGCATTTTAAAAACATACCATTTATATTTATTGTGGGCAAATTGTCAGAGAGTCTGATTAGTATGATGATGCGGTTCCACAGAAATAACACAATATTCTGACTCACAGGTTAAGAACTTGTGCTTTATCAGATGCATATTTGTAGTTCTGCCGGCTGGAATGTGATGTTCATTTAAATATGGCTAACTCAATCTCATTATTTAAAACTTGGTATATAATTTACTTAAAACAAAAAGCCTCCCAATCAAGCATGATAATAGATAAGTTGACTTTATATTCTAATTGGGATGGCTTACATAAACAAAAAGTATACACAAAATAAACTCTCTCAATTAGCAGGAATACAAAGTCACTGATTTTGAACCTTAATTTGGATTGTTTTGTAAAAGCAATGTATACATTGTATCAAAACCTATTGCGACTCACTTATAAGTATTAAAGGGACACTAAAGTCACCCAGACCACTTCAGCTCAATGAAGTGGTCTGGGTGCCAGGTCCCCCAGGTTTTAACCCTTCAAATGTAAATATAGCAGTTTAATAGAGGGTTAATCCAGCTTCTAGTGGCTGTCTTCCTGACAGCCGCTAGAGGCGCTTCTGTGACGCTGGATGCGAAAATTGCATTCAGCGTGCAGAACGTCCATAGGAAAGCATTGAGAAATGCTTTCCTATGGACTGTTTGAATGCGTGTGCGGCTCTTGCCGCGCATGCACATTCCACTCCACTCAGGAGCCAACATCGGAGTGGGAGGAGAGGTCACCAGCGCCGAGGGAGCCCAGCGCTGGATTAAGGTAAGTGGCTGAAAATATATATATATATATATATATATATATATATATATATATATATATATATATATATATATATATATATATATATATATATATATATATATATAGTCAGGAAACAAGTTTGTTTTCCTGACACTGTAGTGATCCTTTAATGTTAATTCAACTTCAAAGCAAGTTTCCCTGGTACCCAGACAACAACACTGAATCAAGCATTATTTCCTGGTTAAATACTTTTCTATTATTATTATTATGCAGAATTAGATTATGATTTAAAAATTCAACATATTCTCCAGCACAGCAAACTCGGCACATAAAGGGATTGTCATATAGGAACAATTAATAAATCAGAAATGAATTATTTTTTTTTTATTTTTTTTTTGGTTTTGTTTTTTAATTTCTTTTTAATACACATGTAAAAATAGAAATTCTACTCTGGAATATTCTCTTCCTGGCAAAATGAGTTTTGTGCCATTCTTCGACAGTCTACCCATTGCTGGTTGAGTTACCCACAATATCAAAGCTTTTGTGCCCATCTATTAGGCAGTTTAAATCTATAACTCCCTAAACTAGAAATATAAATCAGTTCCGGCATTTGATCCGTGCTCTTGTATTAAAAAAAAATAAAAAAATAAAAATTCAGAAATGAAAAAAAGAAGAACCTACATAAATATTTGTGGAAATTTAAGTAAATATATTTTTGCAACAATCATATGTAAAAAAAAATATAAAAAATAATAAATATATATGTACCCACACATGTTTGGACAGAGTTTCCTTAATATGCTATGAAAAAAGGTTGGGCTAATTACTCTACATATGATCATTCTATATAATTCTAGCTGAAATGTCTTTGGTCTTTAACACCTAACCAGTTATATTTGATCATCACAATCTGGTCCGTAAAGATCCTAGGTTTGTTTGGATTGTCTACTTTACTTTGAATCTGTTAAATGACTTGGATAGTCTACAGTAGAAAGAACACATGAACTACACCTCATAGAAAGCCTTGTTTTGTCCATTAAGCAGAGTTCATGTGATAAATTCAGCAGGGCTATGGAAAGGTAAGTAGCTACCATGATTGGCAAAATAACGGTCAGGTCTGAGCAAATCTCACTGCAACAACTGCAAGAAATGTGAATTTGCGGCAAAGTTCATATCACAGATCAAATGCTTTTGGAATATATAAGCAGTTATGGACTCTAAAGCCCCACTCCACCAGTTTTCTCTTCTTACACCAACAATTCAGTCACTATGACAGTGCAGTTTTACATTTACAGAGTGTATAAATCTAAAGTGTCAGAACTCGCCGTACGTGATGCCACCCTGTCCATTCCCAGCAGTCACATTACAGAAGGGTCTCTGCCTTTCTAAGTAATTTTTATACCTGACCCATTGTGTTGGACATGACATTTTGACCCCTCTCCATATGTAGTTGGTACTAGCATAACACTGTATTCATTCATACACTCATGGTTTGAGCTTCTACCAATTCTTCCTGGATTACTTTGACTGTTTTTCAGTATCGTTTGAAACAATCCCACCCAATAAACACTGACAAATAACATAACATGAACAAAACAAAACATACAAAACCTATATGAAGGAATTGCTTTTGGAATCACAATCAATCCTACATGGCAGTTACATGAATTCTGTCAGGGCTTTTAAGCAAGCTCCAAAACAAGTCTAAATTTTGCTATTAGGATTTTAATTTTCTTTAGTTCGGGTTTTAGTGAATAAGCCTCTGCACCTTCACATATTATACCAGCACAGTTAAACACCTGTGAGCAGCAACTTTGACCAGCTATAAACAAATCATTCTGAAGGCTTTTTATGGTAACAATTGTTCGCTCCCCTCTCACTTCCCACCCCGTATCTATATAGGCAACACTACTTATCTGAATGTTGCAAAATAGGTCAGTCATTGAAGAGTTGGATCCCTGTGCAATTCACGCTCATTCATTACTGAAGGTCTTTGTTTAGCAGGCGCAACATTACACAAAGCAGCTTTGTAGCTTTGACAATGCAAAGCATTAGGATGCCAAAACCCAGAAATAACATTAAAACATGAAAAAAAATTATAGTGTCATCCTCCCCACCCCCCAGCCCTGTTCTTACAATACGTGCGAACATCATGTGTTGCCCTTACCACTTTGGCGTGATGTGCGTTCATAGGATCAGCATACTGCAGCAAGGCCTGGAACTGGTTGTTCTTTGTGAAAGTAATTATCTTCAGTACAGTTCCAAACTTGGAGAAGATCTGTAACATGAAAAGCAAAAATAAAACTGGGTAAACAGGTACATATCACATTTGGTTTATAGGCTTAAAAGAAAATAGAGGAATAAACATATGAGCCCAATTCTACATTTAACTGAGACATGAAATAAATGTGGAGCAGAACAGCAACTACACTTTGGTAGGTTTAGTTTTGATGAATATTGTAGAGCACCCTCTTCTCCAATCTGAATGGGATCAACTAAAGTTATGAGTGCCAACTATTATGACTGCCAAAGTATTGTAGGATATGTAGATCAGGTACATCAGGAATGCCAAGGCCTTCACTGAACTAAACTTTCAACAGCTTGAGCAATTTTAATGGGACAGCATGAGATATTTCTGTGTTAGAGGTATTGGATATTACCATGCAAGGTGGTCCACTTCAGGTTGCAGTAATCACTGGATGTATGTATTTTCTTTAGTTTTAATTTTAAAGGAGGGAAAACACAGCGGTCACCTTTCTAATTTCTGCAGAGAGTTGTCCAACAGTTCAGTCTCCACAGGCCAGAATGAGAGCCTCCAGGGAGACAAAATGCGTTCTAGCATGGGCAGAGCCATAGGATGATTATGGAATGTCAGGAATTTTAAATAAATTAATAAAGACACAGACTTTCAAAGTATTGTTTTTGCATATGTATTAAAAAATATCTAGATCTTGCATTGAAAATGTGGTCATCTTTTTCTTTGGACATCCCATTGAATGTATAGATTAAAAAAGATAAGCTTATATTTCTCTATCGTCTCACACAACAGGGAGTTCTGAAATGGATAATACACCGCGCATGTGCATTTCATTTCTAAATGACAAATGTCATCCAACAATTCCAAAAGTTGTTCAATACAGTCATGTCACTTGTCCTTTGTAAAAAGAATATAATTTTTTTTTAAAATGAAATAATATATAGTGAAATCATTTTTCACCTACACAACCGCTAACTTTATACAATTTATATTCTTTGCTCTGTTTAAAGAAAGCAAGTTGGTCATTTTTGGCATTTTAAGGTATGCATTTCCTACCTTCTTCCCGGTCACATCTGATATTTTGTTTCAGAACCTTAAAGAAAAGCTGCCAATATCTTACACTGGTATTTTGCTGCAGTTTCAGCATATATTATACACACACATGCACACACGTATTCCCTACTTTGTCTTTTTTATTTACAATTAAATGGCAAAAGATTACTGTTTATTAAATTATTGATGCAATTGTCTGCAAATCGTCTGCAATTGTCTCCAAAAGGAGTCTCCTTCTTGCAAGATATACAAAAGGTTCCTAAAGCTTCTACTTGCTCATGCACAAAAAGATCTGTGAAAGATTCCACAGCCTTACATGATTTCTCTCTCCTTTAGGTTCCTCCCATCCAGTAGGACATGTTAAGTGGGTTGTTAAATCAAAATCAAAAAATAAAATGCAGAACTCCAAAAACCTAACCCTTTGATTTATGTAGAATGTAAGCTTGTTTAAGCAGTTCCTGTAAGTTTTCTTGTAATTGTCCTATTTATAGTTAAATCCCCCCCTCTTATAATACTGTAAAGCATTACGGAATCTGTTGGCGCTATATAAATGGCGATAATAATAATAATAATAATAATAATGCGAGATTTGTGTTACATATGTATATATGAATATTGCCGTTTAGTAGAGGTCCTATACAGTCAACACATGATATATGCGGTGTCCAATGTATTGAAATCACCATATCGTAACCAGATCCTTGTCTGCAATGGGTGAACGTTTTGTACTGCAAATGAAATTTGCATACACAGCTCCCCGTAAATTATTAGCTATTATTAATTTGTCTAATTACTACCTTGTTTCAATGAGAAGAATACGTTTTTTTAGTGGGGATGTAGTAGAAAAAGGGATTTGCAGCACTGAACGATTCTCATAGAGATGCATTGATGAGGAGATGCTGATACTTTACTGATAGGGGGGCAGTCACCTAAATTATGTTTTCACAACTATAGTGACAGGAATGCAGGTCTGTATTCCTGTCACTACAGTGTTCCTTCCTGTCCCAGCTCCCACATCTAAAATAGTGATTAAAGTGCTACAGTCACTAAAGAAATGTATGGGATAAATCAGTTGAGTCAGTCACAAGGTTCTGCACATACAATACATTCCCAGTGTAGCTATTTTTTTTTCTTTTAATCTTTTGATGCATTAGACTGGTTGGTTTTGCATAATTTTAAATACAACACAAACTATCAATTTTGGTGCCCCCTTTAACGGATTTATTTTTCAAACATGACATCTACGATTTTAGGGATTCCTTTTACATCTGTTTGAGAATTGCCGATTTAAAAGGCATCCCAAAAATGTAACATTGAAAAAAAATAAAAAAATTTCTTTATATTCTTTATTGTTGCAGTACAAAAAAAATATAACAATACGCGTGAGGTACCCCAACGGCATTCCTCACGCTTATTTTCAACATTCATAACAGTGGGGTATTCAAGATTTTGTGCACTTTTTTTTTTTTTTAAGTTAATTAAGAAGATGTTGAGAACAGACTTGGTTGTCGCACAATTTTAAGATTTATATTATGCTTAGATTGCAGGCTAACCAGCTTACGTCTAGAGTACATGTTAAGGGAAAGTGGCTAAAGTTTGCTTAGTCGAGGACAGTTAGAGAGACAAATCATGGTAATAGGGTAAGTAAAGCATGAGAGAATGCACAAAGCTAATATCTGGTGGAGACACACGTCGGACTATTATGTTAAACAACACTGGGTGCTGGTAGCCGGCTTCTGAGTTCGAAGTAGTGCCTTGTTTCCCTACGTGTTAACATGAGGAGGCTTATGGACTATGAGACTAGCAGAAAACACATATATGTGGAACTTAAAGAAAAACATAGGAAAAAATACCACTGGTTAAAATGAGCTGGAGGGCATATATAGCCCTAGTCCATGTGGCTGACAGGTTGCAGAGTGCTGTCGGTTCAGCCTATACCTGACAGGTAGTGTCCCGATAGCCAGTGAGAGTATTCATTAGTGGGTACCTTCACTGATTCCCACAAGCCTTGTGTCGGTACTCCTAACTGCTTTGTCACCTCGCTTTTCCTCCGTTTACTTGCTTGCAGGGTCTGGTTCTGGGGTCTGTCACCAGACATCGTCGTGTCTGCGGGCGTGAGTGGAGGCTGTGGGCACCTTGCCTGCCGGCCCTCCGTCCCAACAATTTGCTGTTCGTTGTGCAGGTCCTTCTTGGGCAGGGGCACAGGCTTTTCCCAGCTCTTGTAGCAAGCTGCTCTTTGCATGCATGCTTTGGTGAGGCTGGCTGTGTCTTGTGTAGGGTTGTGGTCACTGGTGTGCGCCTACGCATCTGTGTCCCCGCCGGAGGGAGAGAGCGTCGTCTTCGGCGACATTTTTGGGCGCGCATGGCTTGGATGGGCAAGCGGCCTAGACGGGAGCCGCAGGGTAGTTCCATGGGTGAGTTTGCGACCTGAGCCTGAGTGTTGCTCAGTCTGTCGTCCAGCTTTTGCCAGAACGCTTCAAATGTAGCATTTATCCGCGCCAGGATGTCAGTTCCCTGTGAGGTATCAGATGGCCCGGGTGCCTTCTCCGCTATATTGGAGTCAACTTGCCTCAGTTGGGGTTGTTGCTGCAACCTCTGTAGGGGCGCACCTGGGATCGGGATGACCTCTGCCGGTCCATAGGAGGGGGAATGAGAGCCCGCAATCAAGCTTGTGGCCGTTGAAGGCGACAGGGGAGAGGCCATCTCCCCCGCGCCAGTCATGCTGGTAGGCCTTCAGTGGCTCCTGACCATTATTCCACATGTTCGGTATCCGCAGGTAGCTCCCGGTTTCGTGAGGAGCTTACGTGAGTAGATTGGGGTACTTTGTAGGCTTATAATCCAGGGGATTTGTCTGTAAGAGCAGGAGCTCCTCTTTTCTGTGTCCTCTCGGCTCAGCGGTCAAGCCCCGCCCCCGCATTGAAAAGTGTTCTACCACCATTTATAGAGTTCTATTTATGATGATCACCATCATCATCATCATTATTATACACATATAATTACAAAACCATGTAACCACCACCAAGCTGAACCATAACCTAAATACAACAGGAGGGAAAAAAAACAAAGCAGAGCATTTATTTTTACCTCCATTTTATGTTGTTCGTGGGATACCCGTTTTATATATTTTTCCTCTTTAACCACTTAACGACCACATGAATGCCTATGCCGTCAGCAATGCAGGCCTTTAATGCCAAGACACAGGAAATACAGTCATGCAGTAAAGGTACTAGCAGGAGTTAAATCTCTGCTGGTGCCAAAGAGCCCCAGGTATCAAGATAGTTAGTGGGGCAGACTGACTGATGAGCTGTGTGCAGCGCTCAAAGTGAGTGCTGCACATAGCCCTTTAAATACTGCAGCGGAGAAACCTCGGTCAGGCACAGTATTTCTATCACTGCTTCCTGCATCAAGTTCCCCAGGTATCTTGAAAATATCCTGGTGATCCCTCCTTGCTGCAGATCAGTGCTGGGCTCTGCCAGCTGCTTAGCACAAATCTCTGTGTGCTGCAATTGCAGTATGAGCTGGATCTCTCCGTCTCATGCTGCAATCACACAGTTGAGAGGACTTACAAAACCCTCTGTACTGTGTGAGCAAGGAAATCCCTCTGCTGATATCAAGTACCTCTATTGAAAGGTAGGATTAGGGGGGCGTGGCTACCTGCCGAGCAAGATGGAAGCATAATCCACGGCTCTGGCACATGAGCTCTCAATCTATCGCAATCCCAGCATACAGAAAGTGAGAAAGTGCACCAAGATGTCCCAGCATAAAAACAAGAAGAATGCTTCAAAAGCAAAAAAACAATTTCTTCACACACAAACCACAAATGGAGCCTACCGGCTTGTAGGCCTCAAACAAAGATGGCGACGACGGCTTACAGAGAGACAGCCCACAGCAAGATATGGAGGCATCTGATACAGCAGGGAAACTCACCACAAGCTATCTTACCAAGGCACTCAACGCCTTCTCACACAAATTGATCGCCTCATGGCAGAATTCCATGGACTCCCTGCGTAGGCAAATGCACAGCCCAGACAGAGTCCAAAATGGATGAATTCGCCACAGCGCATAATGATTTGGCAAGCCATGTGGAAAGTTTAGAGTCCAAGTTGGAACACACCGAAAGCTAAACTAGCAGATTTGGAGGATCTGGCGAGGGGGTTGCCAGAGGACTACCCTACAGTGAAAATCTTTGCAGACCTCTCTGCAGCTGCACTTCGCAGGAGAAAGGATTTTGCACCCATCGTGGAGATCCTGCGGGCAAATGGCATGCAAAACAGATGGGGGTTCCCCACTAAAGTGTTGGTTACCAGGGATGGGAGAATGACAGCTATACTCTCCTCAGAAGATGGAGCCAGAAAATTGAGATCATGGGGCCTTGACAACATCCCAGAGGATCACACAGCCTCACCACCAAGAAGACTCAGGCTGTCCTGGCATACACAACCCAGAAAACACTAATGGCTCTCAACCTCAGATCGAGTGCCGGGTTGCCTGGTACCGCAAGTATTTCTTATGCATTATTTGATGGACCGATGGTTCCATACACGTAAGCGATACCACATAGAGCGTTTACTAACTTAATATTTATGTTGCACTCATAGTCCACACATCCACAAACAACAGCCGACTTGAACGGCCATGTACTCCCACCTCGAAGTCCACGCTCGGGGAAGGGAGCTTATCTCCGCATGGCACGAGCTCCTGGTGCGCGCCGGGCCTTTCGACTGCACAACATACTAATGTGCTAAGGAGCGTACCTTATATACGCCACAGGTTGGGCCGGGCACGGCACTCACCGGGTTGCTCTCACACTTATGGGTTTAATGGTTTAGTATTCTACACTACGTTAGCGTTGCCTATTTACACACACAGAGCCTACATTTCCACGAGCAATGGCCACTATATAAGTTTCCATACTCCCTTTACTGAAAACCCATAAATCGGGAGCTGGCACCGTGCGGATTAATCTCCGCTAAACATAAGAAGCACTGCCCGCGTTAGGCATTCAATTGTCTGGGAAAACGAGACAGCACTGTTGATGAAAAAGTCTATATAAATTTGTTTTGTTTTTTTAAACCATGTTCCAAATCAGTGGATGCAAGTACCGGTCCCTTACAGGACAGGTAATCGTACCCACAATCAGACAGGCCCACAGCTGACCCTAACCCGTGGACGGTATACCCGGCCCTTATGGCCACAGATACCAACTTGACCCTCTAATGGTAGACTATAGCTAATGTCCATACAGTTGAAAGGGTACACATTGGTATGTTGTATACCGCTATATTCGTTTATTGATGTACAAGGACTATATATTCTGTTTCTTCATGCAGAGGCCACAAGCTAACATGTACCGGACGGTATGTACGTCCATACCCCTCCTTCTATACACGCTTATGAAGTGGGGAGGGGCGCTGGGAGGAGCCATATCTGCCGTCCTTGAGTCCTATTAAGCACTCCTAGCAATCCAGTGGGCAGGGGATGGTAGTCCTAGGGCTGTAGTACGCTTGCTCTACACAAGCCAGGTTTTGTCATTTAATCATATAACACAGTAGGGCGCGGACCCACTTCTAAGGATACACACTTCTATGGGGGAATTCAATACTCCTGAGTACAGATCACAAAATGTTGCTCTACTTGCATGACATGTTCTGTATACCATGAGTAATATAGCTCGCTAGCCACCCATAGGAAACAAAAAATGTTTCCCACCCACGTGGTGCATCCATGTTGCACCATACCCCACTTGGGGACTTGTTTGTATATAGTTTTCCCTACCCTGGTATTCCTTTGCTTCTGCTCTTGTCCCTTCTTTCTCAGTTACCTTGGGGCTTCACTGCCCACACCATCCCTGAACCCCCACTCAAATCCCTCCCTATATTACATAGAGAATTTGCAGTCGCTTGCTGGTCTATTCCACGCTAAACGCATATTTCACGGCTGGAATCAGGGGGTGGAAATGCTCCTGTACAATTGGCAACAAGCAATGGGCCGCCTGACCACTTTAACACACACCCATTATGAAAATGTATTCACACAATGCTAAGGGATTGAATACCCCTCACAAGTGCAGAATGCTGCTCTGGGATGCTAAACAAGCCCAGGCTGACCTTCTGTGCATCCAGGAAACACACTTTGTCAGAACCTAAGTCCCAACCTTTGATACCAAGTAATATCCTCTACAATATCATGCAATACATACGTCAAAGGCTAGGGGAGTGTAAATTCTCATCCACAAATCTCAATCATTTGAATTACTCAAACTAGTTACTGACAGCCAAGGTAGATATATGATTATCGTGTGTAAAATTATGACTCATTGTAAACCTATACAGCCCTAATACAAATCAGAGGAACTTCCTCCATAAAGTCTTAATGAAATTGAGCCCCCTCCAAACAGAACATCTGTGGTGATCTCAATCACATTTTTGATCATGAACTGGATACCTCAGCGACTCCTCAAACACCTAGATGCAAATTACTACAAACTCAATGCAAGTCTTTGGTCAAATATTTGGCAGAATTTAGCCTCTGACGCATGGAGGAGGCTTTATCCGACTGAATCATGCACCATTTCTAATGGTTCACGACAGGGATGTCCCTTATCCCCACTACTGTACACAATGGCACTGGAGCCACTTACGACTCTGATCCACAACCACTCACACATACAGGGCATCCAGGTACACTGACATGAACACAAATGAACACTTTTTTGCTGACGACATCATCCTCACACTGACTAACCCAAGGGAATCCTTACAAGCATTTGTGGCCACCCTAGAGGCCTGCAGTAGATGTTCCTACTACAAAATGAATGTGGCCAAAACGCAAGCCATGGGCTTCAATCTTCCCAGTGCCTCCATACAACTACTCCCAAAACAACTTCCAATACGATTGGAGAACGGACCATCTCACTTTCCTAGGGATAAAAATAACTTCCTCCATAGATAAATTATATAAGATGAACTAAGTGAACCTGCAAAACCAGGTGAAAGCACTCCTCCAGGGCTGGAATAAAAAGTTCATATCTTAGTCGGGCCTAGTAGCCGCGGTAAAAATGATAGTGGTCCCAAAATATCAGTACCTGTTTAGGACCCTCCCCATCCAGACACCAACATATTACTTCACAGAAAACAAACGAATATTTAACCACTTTACCTGGGCAGGCAAAAAACCAAGGGGCACCACCCCTACGATGTACAGACACCATATACGCCATTATTACCAGGCAGCCAACATCAACCCCATGATCGCTGCACATACCCAGGAATCACCCCCACAGTGGGTGGAGCTGGAGTCCGCAATGGCCCAGTGGCACCATATTTATCAATAATGTGGACCCCCACTTACATAAGACCTAAGAATTTAAAGATGCTGCCCACCACATCGTTGACAAAGCACATATGGGAGTCTCACAGAGCCAGTTTATATTTGACCAAGGCATACTCCCCAGCAATGACAGTCACCACTTTACAATTGGTGATCCCCGATTTTAATTTTCGACTTTGGGAGCAGCACCACGTCAGGTACATTACACAACTGATTCAGGGAGGCAAAAATCAAACATGTACAAACGGATTATAACCTACCGAATACAGCTCGGTTTTCATACTTCCAGTTAAGGGCATGGTTAATTAAACACTTTATACCACCAACGACACTTGTACATGAGCAACAACTGACGGCCTTCGAGCGAATCCTAATACAATAGTTGCCGGCAAGGAAAACTCTCTCTATATATGCAACTATATGCAAGCCTGAACAGAGGCCAGAATATTAAACAATTACCGTTTATTCGAGCTTGGGAACGCGAGCTAAACCTCACATTACCAGAGACGGCTTGGAAAAAATTGTTCACAAACCCCCAAAAAAACTAACCCTCTGCTCAACCCACATTGAGCGGTGTAAGAAACTGATATACAGATGGTACCTAGTGCCAACGCGGTTACACCGCATAACACCCAGTGTGCCTAACAAATGTTGGAAATGTCACGAAGGAATAGGAGATATGCTCCACATTTGGTGGGCTTGCCCGCTACTCTCAAATACTGGCAAAACATTGCACAACTCATACAACCATGACAGAATTGACCATTCCGTATACGCCAGAAAATTTCCTGCTACAAAATTACCCCTCAGGGCTCGCGAAAGGTATGATTTATCTTGCCTACCAAATTAACATAGCAGCGCTGACGCTCATCAGTAGGAAATGGAGGAGTACAGACCCTCCGACTGTACAAGAATGTATCCACCTAGTGGACCAAAACAAATCCTCGGAATATGCAGCAAGACTAGCAGCCCACCAAAAGAACAAAATTTGGAGAATAGCCTGGAATAGATGGGATGAGGTCACAAAGACCATGAACACATAACCACACACTCTCAGAAGTGTCGACACCTGTGCTCATACCGTGAGATCACTGTACAATGTTGGTATGACAAATGAGTACCTAACTATCCTCACGTTTTACATGGTGTGCCCACTGAACACTACCACACTCATGGTATGGCCTAACAGCCCGGATAAGTGCTTTATCCCGATATCGGCCCACACCACAACGGCAAATAACTGCTTGTGACATTATTGTACCACATATTCCAGTTGTACATGAATGGGTGTTTGAATATGTAAACTTCTCAAATGCCCCCGCCCCCCTCTTTACTCCTAATCGAAATGTAAATGCTCACAGCACGATGTTGAAGTTCTGTCTAATATTAACAGTCTGTAGAACATGAACACTGGGTCCGTTTGTTGTATTTGTACAAAATGTTATTACTTTAATGTCCACATTGCCTTGATGTTTGGTTCATCTATATCTGTGAACCAAAATTTCATTTAAAAAAAAAAAAAGAAAAGGTAGGATTAGGACTGGCCTTATAGGTTGGATTATGGGTTAGATTATGGTTTGGATTATGGTTTGGATTAGGAACAATATAAGGGGTAAGATTATAGGTAGGATTAGGGTAAAATGTATACATGGTGGGTACCATTGTACTCGAGACCAGTAGTAGAATTAAAATATAGGGTGTTTGCAGAAGTGGGACACAATTAATTAACACATTAATTTGACCTAAGTTTGTGATAAAATGGTTAAATGAAGAGTGTCAAAGGGATCTAAGTTACATAGGGGGTGTATTTTAATTGTTTTTTCACAAATGTATACTTTTGTGTAGCGATTTTGGATTCTGTGACTAAAATTAAAAGTTGTAATCTCAGCATGCTAAATTTTGCTAAATTTTTACTTTAAAATTGTAATTCGCTGCTTGTTTTTGTTTTATAACTTCTTAAACTTTTTTGAAATCCTAGACCTATTGGGCATTTTAAAAATCAGGACTAATTTGTGAATCTATTTTGAATAAGTTTCTTTATTTGCACTTTGTAGGTAGAAATAACTAAACGTAAAACAGAGAAAAATAAAAATTATTCCCCCCCCCAAAAAACTTTCAAATGTTTCTTTTAATATATTGTATTCATATAGAGTATCAAAAGAAAGCACTATTTCTTCTTTAAAATAACTACACATGATATTTACGGGTTCACAGAAAGAGGGAAATTGCGGTAGAATGAATGCATGGCAAATGTGCCAAAAAGGCCTTAGTCCCAAATGCGTAGCAGCGCAAAATAGCCTTGGTCCTTAAGGTCAAATTTTTTTTTAAAACTCTAATAAAATTTAGCTAGAGAAAATTTGGAAAGTAAGATGACATTGGTCTAGAAGTCAATGTTAAAAAAGGTGTTCTTTCCATACCTGATATAGTACTTCCAAGGTGACTGGGTAAAATAAATTCTCCACTATAATTCTGAGGACTGGACTCTGTCCAGGAAGTGTCAAGCCTTCAATACCAGACCCGCCTGTGAGAGTCAGGCCTCCTGACTGGACGGTGTTTACGGCCTGCAAGGCTGCCAGTGCTCTCTGCAAGAGATTAAATATATATAAAAACATTTACTACTGTAAAGAGTTGGTACTAAGAATTTCCAGTGCAGGAGCTGTATGTAAAAAAAAAAAAAACAACAACATAATTTAGAAACTTTTAACTATATGTTGATGATATCACTAGCACAATGTGTCAGCTTGCACACTATACAGATAATCACTCCCCACTCACCCCCTCATTACAATATGTGTTCACTATTAAAGTCCTGTGTCTTCCCTACCTATAAATTCTGTATTTACCATGAGTATTGCCAATGCTTCATTCCATGATTTTAGCCAGAGTTAAAGGGACACTACATTCATCAAAACATCTTAAACAATTTGTTTGTGACTATCGTGTCTAACTATTTTATAAACAATTCAGCTAAGAGTTCAGAGACATTCAGCTTGACTCAATTTAGTTTAAATATAAAGTATGGCATGAAACTGAGCCAGCAAGTCAAATAATAATGGCTGCAAAAGTGAGCCTTTAGTCTATAACCCTTATAACGTAGCACAAAAGAATCCAATTCAACACATGCTTATTTATTTTTTTCTCTCATCTTTGCATAAAACATAACTTAACATCTGCACTCTAGTTAATATGTCTTCTAAGGGCCTCATATCTTCTTCCCGGACTGTTTTGGAAAGGGCAGGATAAATTTGTAAGATTGCTTAAGATGCAGATGTTTTTCATGTTAAAACTTGTACCTCCTAATTACTGCTAGCATAGGAATGTTATCAGCTATGCTTAGACGTTCAAGGTAAAATTCCTAAGGCTTTTTATTCTTTTCCTTGAACACGTTACAAAAAGAAGCAGTTATTTGAATTATATGTAGCAAGATATAAAGAATATATGCTTAGATGTTACGATAGGACGGTCGCAGCAATCTAGTTTAGCTAGAACATAGTCTTTGGTGTCTATAATCTTCACTGGTTTTTAATTTCTCCAATTTATTTACTAAACTGAGAACTGTAAAAGAATTAACAAATAAATAGCAAACTTTTTCCTAGGTGGCAGAGCTACAAATATGAGATAGTATCATTTTTGTAATTACTTTGTCCATTCCCTACAAATAATGCTAGAAGTAGGCAGTGTACTACCCAAAAGGAAAAAGTTGCAAAATAGTAAACAAAAACAAAAAAATTATTAAGAAAAAATGACTGTGAAAAAGCAGTCCAATTCTGAGGCAAAGTTCTAAAAGTGGCTGAATGAGCCTGAACACTCTATTGGTTTCTATAGTGACTGCTGCACGTTTAGAACTGTGCCCCGGAATTTCTCCTATTATATACCCATCTCTGTTTGCAGCCATGGTGTATAGAATTCACTTGCTCCAGGTATCAGCAAGGCCCTTCTTTTCCAACATGTCATTATAATGGTAGGTTTTACCTGCAATTGAATCTTATGGACAGATTAATGTATTTCTTCATATTTAGAAGGAGATATACACTTCTTAATATGTTAATACCTTACAGACTGTGTCATTTTGATTTATTTTTTATTTCATTGCCCATTACATATGGAGAGTACTGATTATTTATCTCATATATTTTAAATACTTTTTGGTCAGTCACTCTTAGCACATACCTGTTCAGATAATATTGTGACCCTGTAATTTGCAGGATCATCATCTCAAGAAGCATACCTCACAAGTGTCCCTACTTTCTGCCCTAATGTCCCCTCTTTTCTAGGGGCTCCATGTTGTTGGTTTGTCTGAATGTATAACAGAGCATTGCATGATTAATAGTCACAGTAATGGGTCTTTAAATTAGAATTAATGTGTTAACAAATCAGTCTGTGTAATTAAGATATGCTGTTCTAGTTCTAAATTATATTTAAAATGCGCAAATTCTTATTAATAGATCACCTAAAATCTCTCAGATCTGCCCCACCCTTGGCTACACCCTCACTGACACCCTTAAATAGACAATTGTCCCTTTTAGTGCACCTGGAATGTTGGGATGAATGCAAGAACAATGGAAGTAAAATGCCTGCCCTGCTGTCTGTTAGCAGGGAGAAAAAGGGAAGACTAACCAAACTGCTCATCTTCACTGGAGCCTAGCCGAGCTGTAAATGTGGTGTGGGAGGGTGAAGGAAATCAATGTAGGACTTGCTGGAGAACTTCCGCAGCAGCTCTTTTCTTCACACACAAGTGTTGGCTTACTCAGAGCACAGCTGCAACCCCAAGCCCTGGCACAATATCCTCTAGAGGGATATGATATACAGCTTCTTTAACGTATAACAGTGGATCATACTTCCTGTCTTTTAGTGTACCACATTTATATATTTACTAATCGAAGAAAGCAGCACTTACCCCTTGGTTAGGCAGATTGTCGGTCTTCAGCTCTCTGTGGTTAGAATACTGAATGTACACAGGTTGGCTGCGGAGGTGAGGAGTAAGAGGGGTATAGTAATTCACCATGGTGACTGCTGCTTCTTCGGAAGCCATTTCCAGGAATGCCTAGAACCAAGCAGGACACAGGAACCAATGAGAGAGAGGCAGTCAAATTAAATTTCAATAAACACGAAAAAGAAAGAAGAAACAACTAATCATCGAGAAAGTGAAATATTTTACAGCTGTTTTTCCTTTGAGGTTTTTTCATCACTCAGCTTTAGCTCAAGGTGAATGCTATTCTTAGGGGCAAATACTTAAAGACAGGGGAATGTTTGCTTATTTATCTTTGAAACAGTTCTTCAGTTTGCCTGGTCTTTTGAGCTTATGACGTACTATTTCTCGGCATACCTTCATCCCTGTCTTATCAAATTACTGCTCACATACAGTCTATCTGGTCCAGTGAGCGAGCTAGAGTACGTGTGACAATTTGTTGGGTCGGAATTTATCATTCTAGAAACTTAACTGCCTATCTGTTGCAAACATTAATAAAATATATTTTTTTTTCTGCCCTTTTCAGTAAAACAGTGATCTCAGTACATATTGGATTTTGGGGCAGATTCACCAACAGTGGATGAAGGATCCCACCTCTCCACATCCTTTCCAGCACAGATTGGTAGAGATGTCATGTACCAATGAAAAAAAAGCATCTTGTATTCTTGGTCCTTGAGATTGTGACAGACGAAGTAGCTTCCAAATTTCCTAACCAGTCACTGGGTTCGTCTGGTGGCCCTAGATCTCTTTCCCATGCAGTTATATAATGTGAATTAGTTTGTGTGGAGTATGCTGTTGATGCTGTGGAGATTTGACACCTTTGAATCAGTGCTTTTATGCACCATTTTCCCCCAAAAAGGTTTTGGGATGACTGTTTTTATTTCACATTAACCACCACCAGTAAATACCGGATCCGATCTCAGAGAAACAGAATGCTGTGTTGCTTTTATGTACACTGGGGGTATTATTAAAAATCATGTTTCTGATTAATATTCCACACACAGAACCATGGGCTAAAAACTTATTTTTACAAAACTCCAAAGTGTAAAAAGTATAGTTATTTTGCTAGCAAAATGTTTAGAGACACAGCTTTAGTCCTACAGTAAGCCGTTATACAACGCTCACATGAAGATAAAAAAAATTGCAAACAGGATTGTGAACATGAATGCATGTCAATCTTTTTTCTTGCAGGAATTCCAAGCATATACATCTGTTGCCACTGTGGCAGCAATCGTGGAGGATGAAGTGGAAGCAACCTTTTGGAATGTAGATATTTTCAGTATAAGCTTTACATATGATGGAGATTTAAGGCAGCATTTTAGCTAAAACATATACTATTACATAAAGTAAATTAATATGTATGTATTTCAATACACATAATTGCATGCCTTCATGCCTTTTCAGTGCATCTCATGGCTTACCCTTTTACCCTGGGAACAGGTCTGGCAGTCCCAAAGGTCTTTCCTTGGGTGCTAGGTGATTACTCGAGATGTATATATTTAATGAACTGGCAGAAGAGATTAGCTGCATGGTCTTTGGTCAGATATGAAGTGTTTCTAACTAAAGAGGACAAACAGTTGCACACCTCCCAAAATGTCTCACATTCAGTCATGTGCTGCCATCTTGGGATGTTTCCTGGAATCCAACACCTGAGGAGCCTAATTTCCCTAATCAGCATAGCATCAGCGCATCAATAGACACACTTGTACAAAGTACCCTCAAAGCAGTGAGCCAATTGCAGAGCACCACAGAAGTGCTTGGGCAACCATAAGTATGCACACATGCCAAGCTGACATGCTCCCTTTTGGGCACCCCAACTTTGTGAACAGGTCGGTCCTTTTTCTTGGTAACCCCGTCCCTTGTCACCACCTCTTGGTGACCCACCCAACCTGGTGTCTCAGATCCAGAGACTGCAGTCATAGAGCAAGGGTAGTCTACGAGTTGCAGTGAAAAGAGGTATTCAGGTAACATTTTAATTATTGTTAAATAATATATACAGGAGGTATAGTGAAGAAAATAAAAACAATTTTATTATAATTTTATTTAGTTTAAGAACACTATTTTGAAGAGACCATGGCCATGAACTATGACATGTCAATGAAGTGCAGTCTACCTTTTCTGGATAACTCATCTACTTAAGTGCTATATTGTTAATGAGCATTATTATCTTATCAGACACAACATACACTGTATAAATGAGGAGATAGTTGCTATGACTTACATAATTCTTTATGAAACGTCTCGGAAAACAAAAAGACCTCATAAATTAACTACATGGACATTTCAAATGGTTTGGACTATGGCGTTACATGTATATAAAGATTTGTCCATGAACGTGTTTACAAAACCTAGAACATTTAGCCCACATTAACGCAAAAGATTTTTCCACTCTTAGCAATAGACTGATGGGTAGTAGAAGTATATGAAAGGATATAACAAAGGAATAATTTAATAAATACTAATAAAAAACTGTTCTAAATTTTTTTTCTTAAAAACGGATTTCTGATTTCATAAAATTAAAGCGGTACCTTTTTGCATATTTTATAATTTTCTGTTTTATATAACATAAAGCCACTTCTTAGCAGAGTGGAAATAAACTCTACCTAGTTACCTTTCAATGAGTGGTAATTAGGAAATCTCCCACTACACAAATGATTTATTTTAAAATCTTTTTTATTGAATCTAAAATAATAAAAAAATGTAACAAATAAAAAACTTTAAGGGACACTATAGTCACCAGAACAACTACAGCTTATTGTATTTGTTCTGGTGAGTATAATCATTTTCTGCAGGCTTTTTGCAGTAAACACTTTTTTTTCTGGAGAAAAAAAAAATGTTTACATTACAGCCTAGTGATAACTCCAATGGCTGCTAGAGGTGCTTCCCAGGGCAGTGCTGCACACTGCAGACTTGAATACAAATAAGATTTTACTATATTTAGGGAGGCAAGGTGGGAGTGGGGGGTGGGGCTATTTTAACACTATAGGGTCAGGAATACATGTTTGGGTTCCTGACCCTATAGTGTTCATTTAACATAAACCTAGGCATATGTTGCATGTAATAATTGGAAATGCAACTAAAACATAAAGAGACACTTTACTGCCCAAATATAAAATAAACAATCAGTGTTTAGTAGATATACCCCAAATGAAAACTTGCATGCATTTAATGCTTTTTTTTTATTACAGGTATATCTGCAGTCTTTGCAAGCCCTCCTCTTCTAACCCCACCCAGATGTTCTGTGGCTGTCCAATCACAGACTTCCCAATGTAGCTCAATGAGAAGTCTTTGCAAGGCAGTTGCTGCCTCTTAAAGGGACACTGTAGGCACCCAGACCACTTCTGCCCATTGGAGTGGTCTGGGTGCCAACTCCCACTACCCTTAACCCTGCAAATGTAATTATTGCAGTTTTTTTTATAAACGGCAATAATTACCTTGCAGGGTTAAGTCCTTCACTAGTGGCTGTCTACTAGAGGGCACTTCCTGCTCAGTAGCACAGGTTTTCTGTGCTAGAGCGTCGCTGGACGTCCTCACGCTGTGTGAGGACCTCCAGCGTTGCTCAATTCCCCATAGGAAAGCATTTTCAATGCTTTCCTACGGAGAGCTTTAATGCGCGTGCATTAGGTCTCCTCAGACGGCGGGCAGGATCAGTCCCGCCCACCGGCTGACATAAGGAAGAGGAGGAGCGGCGGTGAGCAGAAACCACTGCCGAGGGAAATTGGCGGGGGTCTCAGGTAAGTGATTGAAGGGGTTTTTACCCCTTCAGCAACCGGGGATGAGGGGAGGGAGGGAGAGGGGACCTGCAGTGTCAGGAAAACGGATTGTTTTCTTGGCACTGGAGTGTCCCTTTAAGATTATATCCATTGAGCAAACCAAACTAGGAAGTAAAAGGACCTGTTGTCTGCTTGAAAGCCAAGTGGGTGTAACCCTTTAAATTTTTTTAAAAAGTGTCAGTTTCTATTGCAATTGCTAAATGGAAAAAAAAAAAAAAGTGGATACGATCTTCACACAAAGCTTTTCAGCAAGCTAAAGTGCTTTAGGGATTCGGAGTGTGCCTTTAAATGTATCAATATTCTGCCAGAAGCTCAATATTAATGAGACTTTGTATTTATATAATCCTCCCTTCTTCGTTGCTACGTCTCTACCTAACACTGGGTTAAATATTGTTAATTGCATTTAGTAATTTGTGTGTGCTGCACCTAAAAAAGCAAAATGTAATTTGCCACAAAAAAAAACAAAACAAAACATAGATGCATTTATTAATGTATCACTGGCCAAATCAGGACTGGCAAACTCAAAGAGCCAAGCATCATTACAACTGCTGCCAAACCAAATGGTTTAATATTTTTGGATAAACTTTTATAATGATTTGATATTTTGAAAAACATTTTCATACTTTGATATATTTTACATACTGATTTTTTTTTTACATTTTAATATTTAAAAAAAAGAAAAAAAAATATAATAATAATAATTAGAAGCTTTTGCAAAAATATTAGAACTGAAGTCCATGTCTTATATGATGAAATATGGTTCATATCCATACGGATGGTTATGTGACAACTTGTAAAGTAGAGGATTTATGGTTGCTGGGTTTTTATTTTATTTATTTTTTTATTTTTAGGGACAGCAGCTCTTTTAATTATATTTAGTAGAGTTATAATTAAAACTCTAGACCTATTTATATATGTATATATAAAAAAAATAATATTTTTTTATATGATAGAATGTATATTAACATACCTGGCTTTTTCCTTTCAGCATTAAAAGATTGGTAACTTTTCCAAACGGCAGACCTAGTGAGATGACCTCTGATTCAGTGACCTCATTTGGAATTTTGCGGATGTGGAGGACTCGAGATGGAGAACAGGGAGAGCGGTCTCCTTTAAATTTTTTGCTGTCGTTCCCATTAGCTGCAAACAAAGGAGGAAAAATATTCATGGTTAAAACATTGAGCCCAGAAAATATGATTTTTTTTTTCTGTACAAAAGATACTGAGATGGAGAGCACATTAAATCTCCATAGGAATTTATGTAAAAGTAATATCCACAATTGTATACACATATTTACGAACAGGCACTGGTTTTTATCTTGGGTATGATTACGATTATTATTATAATAACAAACCCAAACTTTTTCTCTTTTTGGTTTGCATAAAAATTACTCACATGCACAATTTTTAGAAATGTTTAAATATAAACAATTATAAACACCATCATACTTTTTTTGTGAATATTATAAAATAAAGTAATTCACATTAATTTTTCAAACATAACCATGAGAAACTAATATCTACTCATTGGCTTGAGCATAAGGATCCTTAAAATAAACATTGTTTAAACCGAGACATATAGGTAAAAAGAAAAAGAAAAATGTTACTGCTGGTGACCAAAATTAGCATGATTAGCGAGATACAGAGCGCTTTCATGTTTTGTTTTGTTTTATTGGTTCCATGAGGCTCTATGGCTCTATAGCTCTACAATATCTGTCAACATATTGCTAGCAGTGGAGTACATAGTTGTTCCCTTAAACAGAAGGAATAACGGATCCGGAACAGTGGCCAGGGTGGCTGCGGAGTCCTTTTATTCTGTTAAACATCTCATATTCTATATCAGGGCTGGGTAACGTTGGGCACTCCAGATGTGGTGGACATCTATCATGATGTCCTTGCAGCTATAACCAAAGCATCAGGGGAGATGTAGTTCACAACATCTGAAATGCTGAAGGTTGTCTACCCATGTTCTAGTTTATTCTCCACATTTATAGTTCCCCTTCTCTTGATACAACAGCTGGCAAACATGTTTAATTGCCTGCACAGAGAGGAACCCTCCATGTTTCAGGCGATTACCCAAGTATTTAGGAAACACTGCGTTGCAGCCTGCCTTAACATACGGTTTGGATATAACATTGTGGTACCAGTGGTAACATCACTGCCTTAGAATGGATATCAGTTTCCGCTTTCTCTAACTGTAAAGCATGGCTGAGTATGTTGGCGCTATATAAATACTAATAACAACATAAATGGGATCCACTCGTCTGACTTATTCTGCAGCCCTCACAGAGACAACATTGCAAGTCGAAATTCACTAATAAATAATTTTACAGTAGAGCTTCATTAACTTTCACCAAGACTTATTGGTCGTTGTTCAATATCCTGGAAAAAGATCAGACGACTTCCACAGTTTCTGCAGTGACTTCAATCTACATTGAACAAAATTATAAACACAAAACTTTTGCATTTGCCCCCCATTTTTCATGAGCTGAACTCAAAGATCTAAGACTTTTTCTATGTACACAAAAGGCCTATTTCTCAAATATTGTTCACAAATCTGTCTAAATCTGTGTTAGTGAGCACTTCTCTTTTGACGAGATAATCCATCCACCTCACAGGTGTGGCCAGGGCCAGATTAAGAGCCTGGTGGGCCTGGTGCTGACAATTATGATGGGGCCTAACTACAGAATTTTATCGACCAAAAACACTAAAACAGTCATACCTCTCAAGCGTCGTGTATCTGATGGAGTTGGTGTTGTAGGGAAACTCAAAGGATGCAGCTATAAGAAAACACAAACTCTATGCTAATCTCTTTATCTAATTTATGCTTTCATTTTTCAAGTAAATCCATACCCCCTAAAAGCAGTGTCCGGTGAAGCAGGAAGTCAATGGGCGAGGTAAAAGAGTGGGCCACTAATGCAATCAAGGGACCAGAACTGCCAAAAGGGGCAAACATGCCCAAAAAGGGGGCATGTCTGTCCAAAGAACTGGAAGGCAAGCCTGGCATCAGTGTCCCCATGTCGCCTAGTCCCCTAGTCTCCCAGTTTCTGTGTCCCCATTTCTCTCTGTGTCCCCATGTCTCAATGTGTCCCGTGTCACCAGGATACTAGGGGACACAGAGACATGGGGACACTGAGACACCTGGGGACACTGGGAGACATGGGGACACAGACATTTGTGGACACTGGGAGAAATGGGGTCACAGAAACTAGGGAGACAGAGACATGGGTTCACAGACACTGGGAGACACGGGGACACAGAGATTTGGGGAACTAAGACACTAGGGACACAGATACATGGGAACACAGACACTGGGAGACTAGGGGACACTGGGAGACATTGGGTCACATGGGGGCACTGAGACACTTGGGGACACACGGGGGCACTTGTGGATAAAGACATGGGGACACTAAGACATTTGTGGACACTGGGAGAAATGGGGTCACAGACACTAGGGAGACAGAGACATGGGGACACAGACACTGGGAGACATGGGAACACAGACCTTTGGGGAAACTAAGACACTAGGGACACAGAGACATGGGAACACAAACACTGTGAGACTAGGGGACACTGGGAGACATGGGGACACAGGCACTAGGTACACTGGCTGGGAGGCATGGGGACACAAGACACTTGGGGACACTGGGAGACATTGGGCACTTGTGGACAGAATGGGGACACAGACATTTGGGGACACTAGGGACACAGAGACATAGGGACATAGACACTGGGAGACATGGGGACACTGAGACACTAGGGACACTGGCTGGGAGACATGGGGACACTGGGAGACATGGAGACACTGTGTCCCTAGTGTCTCCGTGTCCCAATGTGTCTACCTATGTCTCACAGTGTCCCCATGTGTCTCAGCATCCCCATGTCTCACAGTGTCCCCAAGTGTCTGTGTCCCCACGTCTCCCAGTGTCCTCTAGTGTCTCAGTGTCCCCATGTCTCCCTGCTGCCCCCCCCCCCCACTCCTTCACATACCTGAGCTGTAGTCTGTCTCTGCAGGCTGGTAGCTGCTGTTTGGACACTCTGTGCTGTGTAGCTGCTCCCCTGCGCATCAGTGATTAGAGAGAGGCAGATGCTGTAATTTCCTATCCCTGCCTCTCTCCATACACAGTGACCGCTACTGGCCGGTGCAGGTATTGCAGAGTAATCCCCGTTTAAAAATATTTGCATTTGTATTGCCGGTATTACTGCAATACCGGCACGGCCAGGCAGCCTCAAATACCGGCTGTGCCTTAAAATACCAGCCAGGTGGCAAATCTAAGAGTAGTGTGCAAATAAAAAAAAAAAAAAAAAGTTTAAATATTTTATTATTTTTTTTTAAATGGGCCTATTCAATGGGCATGGGCCTGGAGCTGCAGCTCCATCAGCCCCTATGTTAATCCGGCCCTGGTTGTGGCATATCAAGATGCTGATTAGACAGCATGATTATTGCAAAGGTGTAACTTTATGGCCACAATAAAAGGCCACTGCAAAATGGGGAAATTACACAAGTTTTGAGGGAGCGTGCAATTGGTATGCTGACTGCAGGAATGTTCCCCTGAGCTGTTGCCAGTGATTTGAATGTTCATTTCTCTACCATAAGCCATCTCCAAAGGCGTTTCAGAGAATTTGGCAGAACATCCAACCGGCCTCACAATCGCATATCACGTGTAACTACACCAGCCCAGGACCTCCACAACCAGGATATTCACCTCCAAGATCATCTGAGGTCATCCACCCGGACAGCTGCTACAACAATCGCTTTGCATAACCAAATAATTTCTGCACAAACTGTCAGAAATTGTCTCAGGGAAGCTCATCTGCATGCTTGTAGTCCTCATCGGGGTGTCGACCTGACTGCAGTTCGTTGTCGTAACCGACTTCAGTGGGCAAATGTTCACATTCAATGGCATCTGGCACTTTGGAGAGGTGTTCTCTTCACGGATGAATCTCGGTTTTCACTGTACAGGGCAGATGGCAGACAGTGTGTATGGCGTCGTGTGCGTGAACGGTGTGCTGATGTCAACGTTGTGGATTGAGTGGCCCATGGTGGCGGTGGTGTTATGGTATGGGCAGGCGTATGTTATGGACAACGAACAAAGGTGCATTTTATTGATGGCATTTTGAATGCACAGAGATACAGTGACGAGATCTTGAGGCCCATTGTTGTGCCATTCATCCACAACCATTACCTCATGTTGGAGCATTATAATGCATGGCCCAATGTTGCAAGGATCTGTACACAATTCCTGGAAGCTGAAAACATCCCAGTTCTTGCATGGCCAGCACACTCACCGGACATTTCACCCATTGAGCATGTTTGAGATGCTCTGGATCGGCGTATACGACAGCGTGTTCCAGGTCCTGCCAATATCCAGCAACTTCGCACAGCCATTGAAGAGGCGTGGACCAACATTCCACAGCCACAATCAACAACCTGATCAACTCTATGTAAAGGAGATGTGTTGCACTGGATGAGGCAAATGGTGGTCATACCATACACTGACTGGTTTTCAGAACCCCACCCCCACCCTGACCCCTTCAATACAGTAAAACTGCACATTTTAGAGTGGCCTTTTATTGTGGCCAGCCTAAGACACACTTGTGTAATAATCATGCTGTCTAATCAGCATATTGATATGCCACACCTGTGAGGTGGATGGATTATCTCGGCAAAGGAGAAGTGCTCACTAACACAGATTTAGACAGATTTATGAACAATATTTGAGAGAAATAGGCCTTTTGTGTACATAGAAAAAAAGTCTTAGATCTTCAAATTCAGCTCATGAAAAATAGGGGAAAAAACTAAAAAGTGTTGCATTTATAATTTTGTTCCGTGTAGAACGGTCATTAAACCATACAGAACCTATGCCAAATGTCCCTAGACAAGAAGCACTACATGGGCACAAAGTTAAAGACCTTCTAGTCATCATTATAAATACATTTAAGATCCTCCTACTTGATACAGCAGAAGAGTTTATATGTCTAAGTAGGGTTCCCAAAACCTCAGATAGGACCAAAGAGGGGGAGGGGAGAGGGTACACCAGGGCACTTCTGGCACCATCACCACTATAGACCTACCACCAGAGATTTTAGCCTGAAGTGATTATGGTGCCAAGATTGCTCCTTTAACAATGTTAGACACATTCTAATTTCTTTATATAAGATAGATCAAAATGTGTTACATTGTTACATTTCATGGCTGCTCTGTACACAAAATGTCTGCATGCTGTTCTTATCAACCGGTTAGCAAACTGACAGATGCCATCTTAGTCTTTGATGAATTATGCAACATTTATCTTTAGGACTACACATTTGTAACTGCCATGCTTTTATAAACACATCTCAAACTGATTGGAACTCAGCAAGGAACAACACATTTAGGGCCACACAGCTAAACTGGAAACAAATCATTTGAAGAGAATATCATAATATGACAAAAAAAATTACAGTTCCCTGGTGGATTCCTCCCAATTCGCTCTAGTAATGTTTAATATACGGCTGTGTGCAAACTCTGTGGGATCATAGGAATGTCTGCAAAGACCTTTTAGTTTCAGGTAAATTAATGTATATATTTTTTTGTAATTAATGTTTCGGCTTCTATCGAAGGGCTCAACAAAAGTAGTTACTAAAAAGCCTACATGCTTTGCAATATTTAAAGATTGCTAACACCTTATTAACAAAATTATTTGCACAAAAAACAAAACAACAACAATGTGTATTTCATAAATGTAGATTTCATATCCATATACAATTATAACAGCACAAGAAGGTAATCATATCATAGATCACTCAAAATAGCTGTTAACACTGTTAACATAAAGGAATTAAAAAACAAAAAATACATATTTCTGTGATTTACAAACAATTAAAATAGTGAGATACAAGACAGAGGTTGGGGCATGTTTAAAGGGACACTATGGTCACCAGAACAACTACAGCTTATTGAATTGGTTCTGGTGAGTAGAATCATTACCTTCAGGCTTTTTTCTGTAAACACTGTCTTTTCAGAGAAAATGCAGTGTTTACATTACAGCCTAGTGATAACTTCACTGGCTACTCCTCAGATGGCTGTTAGAGATCCTTCCTGGGTCATGGCTGCCTAAAATGCATCCAAACATTCAGTGTCTCCTCCCACTGCATGCAGACACTGAACTTTCCTCATAGAGATTCATTGATTCAATTCATATCTATGAGGAGATGCTGATTGGCCAGGGCTGTGTTTGAATCATGCTGGCTCTGCCCCAGATCTGCCTCTTTGTCAGTCTCAGTCAATCCTATGGGGAAGCATTGTGATTGGATCAGGTTACCACTTTGGATGAGGTCAGCAGACAGTGGGCAGGTCTAAAGGAAACAGGGACAAAATAAGCAGCTGCAGACTTGAATAAAAGTAAGATTTTACTATATTTAGGGAGGCATGAGGGGACCAGGAGGGCTAGATGGTGGTTTTAACCCTAAAGGGTCAAGAATATATGTTAGTGTTCCTGACCCTATAGTGCTCCTTTAATGTCTGTTTTTATTTAGGTGTACTGGAAGTGAAGGAGTTAAAATAAGGAAATGTTTTTAACAAGCATGTGTGTATTTTACGTCTACTTAACTTGAACTTAATTAAAATGTTTTAAGTGAAAGGATTGCTCTTACACACGTGACATAAATTAAATGTTGCATTGAAGATACTTGCCAAGACGTGTATAATTTTATTTGCCAGAAGAAGTTTGTAATGGTTTCTTAAATAAGTGGTATTGTGGCAATAAACACTGACACTTATGCAAATGTTTCTCCCCAATTACTTTTATATTCTAATAACCTTTACAATCTGTTGCATTAAAAAATTAAAACATATAAAGTGTCTGTGATTAGGTTTTCACAGTTTATATGATAGTTTACATCATCTGACGGAAGAGCACATTTTCTTAAATATTTGTTTTGAGCTTTAAAATAATGACATAACTCTATAACAAGTTATTTTTTATGAACCATGTTGAAGCATATCATAAAATGCAACTTTGAAAAGCTATTTAAATTAAAATATTATTGGACTTTTAGTTTACTGATTACATGTTGACCGTCATCATACAAAGTGTGAATGTAGACTCTTGCCAGTATTGACCAGTGCAGTAGATACTGATTAATCCATAAACACAGGGTTTATTTGTGCGCGCGCGTAGTGTGGGTTATACAGGCTGCAAGCAGTGATCTGTGTAGGTGGTCGTTTTCTCCATGAATTTATTTACGACAAAGTCATCAACAGAGGATGGAGAGGAAGAGTAAAACCTGTAATAAGATTTTTAATGAGAGAACGATAATTAAACCAAAAAGGTGTAAGTAGCACATTTTTATAAATGCTACAACATATAAAACATTTATGGGTGGTGAACTGCCTGCATGAATGCATATTCTCAAGTGGTAGGCTCTATATACCTTCAACAACCCAGACCCACCTACAACAGGAGAAACTTGATTCATCAGAGCAGGATATGTTTTTCCAACACTTCAATGACCAATGTTTGCATTCCTTACCCACTGCAACCACAGGTTCATATGATTTGCTAAAAGAAGTGGACCTTTTCTTGGTTCTATGCTATTCCTCAATTATGTTAAAGGGCGACAGAGTGTGCAGTCTTTCATGAGGCTTACCAGTGTTGTACTGGATTAAACAAGTTACTGAAAACAGTCTGTTGTCCTGCACAATATGGCTACTGGCCTCTTTTGTTAACCCATGGACTATACAACTGTGTCTACACTTATATAAGATTTAACAAGTTATTCAGAGAGCATGTCACTAAGCATATTGTACAGTCTGTCGAGAATTCAAAGTGCACTTTAAAGAAACACTATTGTGTTAGGAATACAAACCTTTATTCCCAACACTATAGGGTCATTGTCCCTAGTTAGATTCAGGGACCCCAGTTTCCAGTGTAAAAACCTTTTTAAAAAAAATTACTTTTGACCCACCCTTTTCCAGTGCAGAGACTACCTCGCAGCTTCTCACCTCTCTGCCTCTCGTCATCAAGGAGGGATAGCTTCCTCATCATTTATCTGATCAAATGCTCTTTATAGAAGAGCACTGGGGACCTGGTGTGTATGCGTGGTGTTATGCACGCATCCAGTGCTTCTCATAGGAAAGCACTGAATCCAATGCTTTTCTTTGAGCTGCAATGTCACGATGGAGTTTTACTTTGTCAGTGCAGTAGAAGGACATCTAGTGTCTGTCTGGTACATAGCCACTAAAGGTGTGTTTTAACACCTAGTGCAAGTTTTAAAATGCAGGGTTAAAATAACGGAAGATATCCGACTTCCGTACTTTTTCTAGTTTGGCAGTTATGGCCCAAAACTTGAAATCAACATGCTGGTCACTACATGGCTTTATATGTTCACTACCATCTTCTATGATATTTTAACACAATTATTTAGTGTCTTCCGATATAGGAGTTACCAAGATTTATCCACAGAGTGGATAACACAGTCCACTATCGAGGAAGTGAGAGATCGTCCGATCTGTGCACCCAATCTCCTACCTTGCACTGACCAGGCAATGATTATAGTTGCATTTCACAACGTCTGAAGTGTTACAGCTAATTTATCTGTAAAATAAACTTCTAACATGTTCTATGTATATGTATGATAGGTGCTGTGACTGAGAAAGAGGTAGTCTCTGGGTCCTGTGGAGAGCACCAGTTTTTGTCAAACTGTTGAGAAGAACCAAGTAAAGGAGCCAAGCGATTATTGGCAGCCTAACTACTACACTGAGCTTCATTGTATTGCATTGATTATGTTGTTTAGAGTGTCTTCGTCTGAATGTAAAATCTATGGTCACTCACCATGAGTGAGAATTGATCAGACTACATGTCATCAATCAAATATTGAGGCTTTAAAATGTATCTTAAAAACAACCTGCACTGTATTCTTTAAATGCAGTTAAGGGGAAAAATGCAGTTTAGTTAACTTTAGGAATGCAAAAGTTTGAGACAAAATACAATAAATAAAAAATAAAAACAACAAGACGTGACACTTTAAGAAATAAGGTATTTAATCAAACAGAACAAATTATTAGGTATTATTTTAAGCTTAAAGGACCACTCTAGGCACCCAGACCACTTCAGCTTAATGAAGTGGTCTGGGTGCCTGGTCCAGCTAGGGTTAACCCATTTTTTAATAAACATAGCAGTTTCAGAGAAACTGCTATGTTTATTAATGGGTTAAGCCTTCCCCCTAATCCTCTAGTGGCTGTCTCATTGACAGCCACTAGAGGCGCTTGCGTGCTTCTCACTGTGATTTTCACAGTGAGAGCACGCCAGCGTCCATAGGAAAGCATTGTAAATGCTTTCCTATGCGACCGGCTGAATGCGCGCGCAGCTCTTGCCGCGCGTGCGCATTCAGCCGGCGGGGCGTAACGGAGGAGGAGAGGAGGCAGAGAGCTCTCCGCCCAGTGCTGGAAAAAGGTAAGTTTTTACCCCTTTCCCCCTTCCAGAGCCGGGCGGGAGGAGGTCCCTGAGGGTGAGGGCACCCTCTGGGCACTATAGTGCCAGGAAAACGAGTATGTTTTCCTGGCACTATAGTGGTCCTTTAATCCCACTATACAATAAACTATGAATTGCAAATAAACGCCCCAAAGAAGGAATGTTTTCTTCATTTGTTAATCATGTAAATTTATTGCACTGAGCTGCATAAAATAGACATGGACATATACAGTAATAAGAGTTTGTCCTTGTTTAAATGTTCGTTGTCAAAAGGGGACAAAGCACAAGCCAACATACGAGAAACATTTTATACTTTTTTTCTTGCTTTTAATACAGGACAAAACTTAGATAGTGCTGATAGCCAAAGCCATTAGAGACATCACAACTGACATCTACCGATTTCATTATTTTCTGTAACAATTATGGATTTACCACCATATTTAATTTTGAAGTAGATACAACACACTCACACACAGATCAACACTACAAACACACTTAAAGTTAGGAGTCTTCTCCTGTTGCCAGTTAGAGAAATCAGCGATAACAACCTCCATTCAAGCTTCAGTCTCAATTCAATTTCAAGGTAAAAATACGGTTTATAAAATTATTATTTTTGTTTTACCTTAAAACATAACATACAAAAGCACACTATATATTAAGAATCAGACAGACAATCACACACATTCACAATTCACTCCTTCAATATCAGTGGTATACCATACATCTTTCAAACATAAAAAAAAAAAAAAACAACTGGCTAGTAATTCAGGCAAGCTAGACTGATACAACACTACTGAATCTGCTTAAGTAGTATCTGTACAACCACCTTTCAAAGAGCTACTGTATAACGATCACTGAATCCTACCAAGCCCGCAGGAAAAAGGTGTAGCCATAGCCCAACAGCAAGTAATACCATTATAATATATTAAAAGGGCACATCATGCATTTACCACAGCTTAAGTAATGGATTAGTGGCTAATATACCTACACCCATAGTATGAAATTAAAAGCACGGTATGTTCAAAGACAAAAGGTGACTTTGGCGTCTCAACAAACTCGGTAAAAAAGGACCAATCAGCAAAAAAAAAAAAAAACTAATATAAACCAGTGAATATATAATACAGTTGAACATTTTATAATACTACGATATTATGGGAGGAGAGTACATGTTTATTAAATGTCACAACTGCATTTTGTTATATCCTGAAAGTAATGACAGGCAGTTCTTACCTGTAGAATGGAATAAATTATGTAGGAATTTATTAGACAAGTATATGGAGGAGGATCCGCCTGTATCTAAAAACATGTATGTACTAACATAAGACTGTAAGCTCGTTTGAGCAGGGTCCTCTCCAACCTATTGTTTCTGTAAGTTTTTGTAATTGTCTAATTTATTTTTAAATCGCCTCCTCTGATAATATTGTAAAGCGCCATGGAATATGCTGGCGCTATATAAATACCAAATTTTAATAATAATAATAAACAAGAATAGTCTAAACCTCAATCAGAGTACTGAAGTACACCTACTTTGTGACAAATATTAAAATATTGCTACAAATATGGTTACTAATATATTAAGTTATGTCTATCCATTAGTTTGTGACATGAACATACCACACTAGAGGAGGGGTGTGCAAGGCAGAGAAGGCATGGCATAAAAAATAAATAAAGCGTAATGCAGGTTAATGTGGAAAACTGCAAATGGTACAAATATGGGGTTAGGTAGAAGCTGCAGGTCAGGCAAGGTCATTTGTTAATATTAATGCTGCATGGGCATAAACAACATATAGGTCCCATTGATTTCTATGTATACGGACTTATCGAGCTACAGAGTGCCGTTGATATGGAGCCCCTACTTCTAGACTAATAGAAATATTTGGAAATTTTAGTACGAAATTAGAGACCAGCAAAGCACACAGCACGCTGGGCTCTTCAAGACTCTCACTGTACCTGTAGCTGGAGTGGAATGGCTCATGGTAAGAGGCCCGTTAGCGATACCAGAAGAGAGAAGCTCGTCAGATCCCCGCTAAAAAAATAAAACAATGTATATCAGTAAATTCAATTAGAAATGAAGGAAAAGGACAAAAAAAAAAAAAAAAAGCATTTATCCCAAATAGATTACGCCAACTCAGATATTACAGTAGAAGCACATTAACAGCTGCTGGGATCATAGATTTCTTCACTGTACTATGTTATATATCTGTACCTCTAGGCTATATACATCTGTAAGCTATGTTAAAGTAAACTAGTATATTTGCTTAAGGAGTGTGGAGTCATCCTGACCTAAACTGTCCTAGTTTGCAAATCTTCATGGTAATCAGAATTCTACCCACACAGCCTCCAGATTTATTTAAAGGAATACTATAGGGTCAGGAACACAAACATGTATTCCTGAACCTATAGTGCAAAACCCACCATTTAGGTGACTTGCACCCCATCAGCCCCTTTAAAAGTTAATAAAACTCACCTTATTTCCAGCACTGCGCGGTTCCGCCGGCGCTGGTCCCGCCCCCTTTGTGACATCGTCAGAATTGCTGATTTTTACCCAGTCCAGGGTTTTCCCATGGGGAAAGCATTGCATTGGCTAAAACTGGCAAGGGGCGGGGGTCATACGCAGTTTTGGCCAATCGGCACTTCTTTATAGAGATGCATTGAATTAATGCATCTCTATGAGGAAAATTCAGCGTCCCCATGCAGAGCGTGGAGGCGCTGAACGGCAGTGCTGCCTACTGTGCAGCACTGAGCTAGGAAGCACCTCCAGTGGCCATCTGAGGAGTGGCCACTTGGAGGTGTCCCTAGGGGCAATGTAAGTAAACACTGCCTTTTCTCTGAAAAGACAGGGTTTGCATGAAAATGGCTGCATCTCATGATTATACTCACCAGAACAACTGCATTAAGGTGTAGTTGTTCTGGTAACTATAGTGTCTCTTTAAGGACCCTTCCAAAGGATGACATTCTAGGAGAGACGTCATGGATGGGGCTTAATTAAGGATTAACAGCATGACCCAATAAGCTCTTTCAACATGACCCAATAACAGCTTTTCCACTATGCCTCAAGTAAATGTATTCATGTTACAAGCCTCTAATGCATTCCTCCTGTATAGTAGTGTTTTCACAATTCACTAACAGCCCGTGGTTTACAGATATCCTTAGTTGAACACAAATAGGTAATGCCTAAATCATAACCCATTGGCTGTTAGAGAGCCATCAATTTATTTATTGTATTATTACACTCTATGTAACAACTTTGTAAATGCATGGTTTGAAAAAGACACTCAATGCACTGTTGCCACTTCAGCTTAGTAGGGAATTGATCGATTATCAGTTTGGCCGATAATATCAGCCGATATCGGAATTTTGGCAAATATCAGCATCGGTATAAATGATACCGGCAATGCCAATAATGTTGGGCCACTCACATTCTAGAGGGGGCAAGTGGGATCTAGGACACACTATCTTCTGTTTCTAGCAGTCCTCTCTCCATCTATCGGAAGCCCCAGGCTACCAAAGCGATGCCGTGGGTTACCAGTTTGAGAAAGAACCAGCCGGAAACCAAAGATAGTGTGTCCTGGATGCTAGTCGCCCCCTCTAAATGTGAGACCCCCTACCAGCCTGCAAAAAGCCACTGGATCACCAGGGAGTGTAAAGTCCCCCTCCCTAGCTACAGGTAAAAGACAGGGGGAGGGGGCGATAAAATAAAGTTTTTTTTTTTTTTATTATAAATTATATAAATAAAACTTTTAGCCCTGTTGCACCCTCTGTCCTCCCCCTACCTGGCAACATGTACAAGACAGGGAGGAGGGAAGAAAAACGGTACCAGTTACTGACTATCTGCCCAAAAGGCCAGATATAATGGGTATCGGCCCATAAAAATTAATATCAGTCGATCCCTAAAGCTTAGTGGTTATGTTGCAAGGAGTGTTTGGTTTCTAACAAACCTTATTTGAGCTCCTCTGAGCCAGACCTAGCATTTACACCCCATTATTTCTTTGAAACTTCTGCATTACGTTAGTGGAAGGAGAGGAGCCAGACTTTGGATGCCAGGATAGCATCCACTTGGAAACATTTTGACAAAATGGAGAGAATGCACCCAAAAGAGTAATTTCACAATAACCAATACAACAAGCTGTAGTGGTTATGGTGCAAAAAATTAACATTGTCCACAAAAGTGAAAGTTCAGCTATCTAGTAACATATTATAAGAGTGCAGCATTGGGAAAGAAGATGCATTGTCCACCAGTTCCATGGTGGAATTTATATGGATCCTTAAAGGACCACTATACCTAGACCTCTTCAGCTCAATTAAGTGGTCTGGGTGCCAGGTCCATCTAGTGTTAAACCCAGCAGCTGTAAACAAAGCAGTTTCAGAGAAACTGCTACGTTCACACTAGGGCTAATGCAGTCTCTAGTGGCTGTCTACCTGAGAAGACTCTGGACGTCCACAGGAAAGCATTAAGCTGACATTGGCAGAGGGAGGAGATTTCCCCAGCGCTGAGGGAGCCCGCCGCTGGAGAAAGGCAAGTGTTTAACCCCCATCAGCCCAGCGGGAGTGGGACCCTTAAGGTGGAGGGGACCTAAAGACTCTATAGTGGCAGGAAAGGAGTTTGTTTTCCTGGCACTATAGTGGTCCTTTAAAAATGGTATGCAATAAACCCATTTTACTCTACAAGCAGAATATCTTTAAACAGTTGGATTCTGAATATTCCAAAATATGTGTGGGTGTAGGCCTAGGCTAAACTAGGATTATGAACAGAGAATATCTGATTTAGACAGAGTTTTCACGCTCTGCATACAACAGGAACTATTATTCCCAATAGTTATTTACCCCCAAATACAGAGAGGTAGTTTTCCTATTCTGTGCAGATGAATGCGTGCCTTTTTTCATTTAGACCCATGGACTGAACTGTTAAGTTTATATTCACACTATCTACAGTCATTGTACATGACGAGCTGTATTATTATTATTTTTTTAATCAAACTAGTTTATAAAAATGTAACAATCAGTCATTCCGCTGCTATCAGAAGGTGTACTTACTTTTCTAAAATATAAAAACATTTTAATTTACACCTGCCTTGGAAAGATTCCGCCTGATCTTGAAAAACTTTGAACCAATTACTGGTACAGCAAAGAAAACACAGAAAACAAAACAAATAAAAAAAATTAAAAAAAAAATCAAGGATTAGTGTGATGTTTGTCACACCAATCTAATGTAAAATAAGCCACATGACCCACTTTTTTGGTTGTATGAAAACTGTTTTCTTTGTGTACTGAAATGAGGTCAACACAGCCATGTGCTTTAACTTTTATTAACCAGTTAACACACACACACACACAAAATGTAGCTTCCAATAATTCACATGTAATGCTATGTATTGTGCAAACCAAGATGGTATTATCAAAAAGAACTGGTTTTCCCAAAAATATATGAGCAACATGGGTTAACGCTTGGTGAGTGCGTTAAATGGACGTCAAACTAAAAGGGTACTTATCACTGTAGATAGAATTTTATACCACATTTAAAAAAAAAAAAATAAAAAAACTGTGCCATAAAAGTCTATCTATACATGGTGCTAGAAGTTCTGCTACTAAATGTATAGATTTCAAAACTTCAAAATAGGTTCAAATGCCGAAGAGCTGAGTGACAGGGAGAGCAGAAGAGACCTCCTACAGGCAGTCCGTTTGCTCTTCAAGACTAGCAAGCACAGCGCCTGCAATGTGGTTGCTATGGTAGCACCCTAGCCAATGCTGTTAGCACTGACTAGTGACTATTGGAACAGAATAAATAACATCACTCCATTCGGACACTGGCATGCTGGCAAAGAAAGCAGTAATCTTAGAAAAGGGCAGAAGCTGGCCGAGGCGAGCCCATGACGCTGCTAGGTGGGAATTGAGTTTTACTTTGTAAAGGTAATCTAATAACATAAATACATACATATATGTAATTATCATGTTAGAGCTGTTACTTTAATGGCATATTTGAATATTTAAGACTTTGCCACTGGCTACGATATGTTTATCAAAACTTTTTTTGTTAACATTTGTTTAAAATCCTGCTCTGGCACAGCCTAGTAATCAAATGACTCCAGCGTAAATAAAAGGGAGCCCCAGGACCCATATATTTCCAAAGTGGTCAACCCCCCGGGAATAGTGTGATTAAAAACCTTGCAGTGGCATTGCCCAGTTTGGAAAAATATTGCATTACCCTTAAATATACTTTTCTCCCAACAGAAGTAGCTCTAAATGTTCTCAACAGTTTTGCAATAAATCGTATAGCAAGCTATATTTTACTAAGAAGAACAGTGGTTCCCAAGCCAGTCCTCAGGGCACCCCTACCAGTCCAGGATTTAGGAATTACCCAGCTCTGTCTAAGGTGTTTTTTTTTTTTTTTTCTTTCTTTTTAAAAACAAACACATTAGACACAACTGTTTAATCCTGGACTGATAGGCGTGCCGTGAGGACTGGTTTAAAAACCACTGAGTAAGAAGCACCGTATTAGAATAAGCATTCCATCAGTAGGTTCAGCAATGATTTCCAAAGTGTGGTTTGCATTAGGGTTAGGAGACTGTGTGGCTAAAGAACTCTCCAAACTGTTAGCTCAACAGGTAACACTAAAAGGGGGCCATAAATGTACAAAGCACAGCATAATGCCTTTACCTATACCTGGTATGTAGGATAGCAAATACTTAACCCCAATGGTATAGTGCTTTAGCTCCAAGTGTCTCTGTAATACTATAAAAGAAAAACAAGATTTTCACCTTTAAAAAAAAAGGAGAAACAAGTGAAGGTGGATTGGCGCTAAATAGTACAAAGTAGCAACTACCCCCAGTGTCTAAAAATCACAAAAAGACACTAACAAATAGTGGAATAACAATATAACAAAGTGGGGGGTGCAGTTCAAAAATGCTTTTTAACCCCTTATGGACACATGACGGAAATATCCCGTCATGATTCCCTTTTATTCCAGAAGTTGTGTCCTTAAGGGGTTAAAATGTGTTAATATATTTTTATATCTAAAAAGAAACTCCTGGGATGTATTGATGTCACTGTTTGCCTCTATAGATTTTTATATACATATATTTTTATATGTATATTTGTTCATATATGCAGCTATGTATATTATTGATGTATTTTATTTTATCTGTAAAAGTATTTATAATTTGTTATTATTATTATCCTCTATGACTATATGAACGTTTTGCCCATCATTAAAATGGAGTTTCCTGACTACCACTTCCGGAATACTTAAATGGACGTATAGGAAATGACGCAACGACAGAACGTGCGTCATGACGTCATAACGGAAGTGGAGAATGGAGACACATTCGGCGGGAGATTTAATTTCCGGAAGTGTGGATTAAAAAGAACGCCGAGAGAAGACTAATTTATGCACTTGAAAAAGACTGATAGTCGAAACGCGTTGTGTTTTATTTAGGATACAATTTTATCATCATTTTGTTTATTTTATTTTGAGTAAACGTTTTTATACTTCAGTATCCTGGTCTGCCATTCATCTTTCCTGCATCTGGAAATAGACGCCAGTATATATAGGAAGATCATGGAAACAGCCTGGAAAAGCTTGGAAAAGCTTATTTTCCACAAGCGACTAAGCTAGAGCCTGCTATTTTAGGCTCTATATATTGTGAGTGACCCATTACCTCTGTCATACATTTTATTTATATATACAGTATTATGCTATGTATATATTATTATATTTTTCAAATTAACTTCAAGATCTTAAATTACTAAGTATATGTATTTTTTCCTTTGAACTGCACCCCCCACTTTGTTATATTGTTATTCTCTGTAATACTGATGAACTAAATGAATACATAACATTTTCCTTATTTCCAGATAATGTTAACGATTTCATTGGGTTGATTATTTATAATTATTGAATCAGTAATCCAAAGCATATCTGACTACTGGATGCAGCTATTACACCTAAGTGAGGGAGATGGCTCATATTACAAACAATACTGATGAAATCTAAAAGGAATGCAGGACTTTTCCAGGAATGCTAAGGGACATACAAACACTCGTTAAAGCAAAATACATCCCAGCCACAATGCTAAGCTTCAACATCAACCTCTAGGTTTGATTCTATGATTTGTCTTTTGACTGATATTATACACAAAGAGTGTCATATTACAGTGCTTGAATGCCAAATATATTGTGTTTTTAGCATAATACTTTACACATTGCTTTGTGATGCACACTGTGAAAAGTTACTGAGTCACCAAGCCTAAACAATAACATACTGGTCTATCAAACAACATGTTATTCTCTAAAGTGGTTATTTTACTCCATATATAATGTATAATTCCACTAAATCAATAACTATATAACATAGCTGAGTGAATAAACTATATATTGTATATCAGAGTGAATCAATTGTATCTGCAAGAAAAGTCACAAATGGTTCCTACGTTGCTAATGAATGCCTCTAAAAAAAAATCCAATAAAGTGAATTACACACATACATATTTGTTGAACAAAACAAGTAAACTTAGTCTTTCAATTTGTTACGTCACAGGAATAGATCTTCCAATTAGTCCAGCACTGCAAGATAAATGTGTCAACTGTGATGTGTTTAATTATTTCTAAGCAGTGGATGGACTTTCAGAAGTATGACGGAGGATTGGCCGAAATCATTTTTACAGAGCGATGCAGATACCGATTATCAGTTGCCTTTCGGGCCCATTGCTGATAACTGTTGCCAATATTCTGTGCATTTAAAGTTTTGTAAAAGTAACAGTCATTACCAAAAATTGGCATAAACTGAACATGCCGACAACAAGCACACTCCTATCACTCTCAGGCAGCTAGTACAGTGCAATCCCAGCACGTACATTGCTATTATTGATAGGCTGCCATCAGACGGGTACAGCCAATGTGGCTGTACAGGGCCTGGGCCTTCCCCACACACAGCCAGCAGACAATGCTTCTGAGAATTGAAGAAAGGAATTGCCAAAAGTTAAATATGGTATTTATTTGCTGGGCCCCCTCTCCTGCACAATACCATCAGACAACCAGAGAGTGTAATGTCCACCACCACCCTCTCTCCCCCCCCCCAAGAAGAGGCAGGAAAAGTGGAATAAAATTAATGTAATTTTTTTTTTTTTATGAACACTTTTTGCCTACAGAATGCAGCTTTCATCCTACTCCATATATATACACATACACACACTGGATCCACTACACAAACACACCGTGTTTGTATCCACTCTATATCCTTGTGGGCAGACTCCAGGTGGGTCCTGTGGGAATAAATCAGGGGCTCCAAAATTCTCATTGTAGTCATGCTGATAGGAGTGTGATTGCGGTCAGCGGTCACATTCACTCTCAGACAGCCAGTACATGCTGGGAACAATGAGACCCCAGGATATATTACTGGCATTTATAAAACGCGGATATATGCTGCAGTGCTGAGTACAGTGCTGTTACTGATAGGAGTGTGATTGCGGACAGAACTCACACCCCAGTTACTCTGTCGGCCAGCCCAGTAGAATCCAGTAGATGATTTACTGCGGCAACTCCCTGCCTTTATTGAGCTCCGCGTGCAGGGACTTACAGAAAGAGATGACGTGAGGTCACGATGTGGTGCTTCATTGGTTCAACCAACATTTTTTTAAAAAGCCATGTTCGATATCCCACGGGAAGCAAAGTTTCAAAGGAATATGGTAAAGAGACAACAATTCTTAGCCATGTGGCAGAAAAAAAAAAGTTACAAAAATAAATGTAAAAAAAAAAAAAGCTAAATACTTTCTGGACCAGTATAAGATATACCACTGCATAGTCACAATGAGTAAGTGGCATTGAACCGTGTACAGACATGGCAAGCATTGTCACGGGTGACTCACATCACTTTAGCACAGACATTTTACTTTCAGAGATAATTAACCACTCTATCGAGACATGTATATATTAGAGAAGTAATAAAACGTAAGCACATCCATTTAATAAGTAACGTATTCATAAACACTTAAACAATATATTTTTTATTAGCATTATCCGTGTCTGTGGCAAAGGAAAATATTT